CACCTCCCCAGGGTCCTTTCCTAAAGACGGTGGGCATCAAGTTGTCTGAGCTGCCTATCCCCATAGCCGTTCTCAGACCTCTCTTATTCCACTGATGTCCTTTCATATTGTTAATAAATGTTCACTCTATACTCTTTGCCATGCCTCACCTCTTCTCCTAGAACCTGGGCGACGCATGCCACAATTCTTTGCAGCGTGTGGCGCTGGATGTGGAAAGCAGCTTCGCAAACCACTTCATCTTCCTTTTGGCAAAAACAACATTTCTAGGCCTTTGGGTGACAAAGACGTTTGACAATGCCTGAAGAAAGCCTCAAACCCAGCAGGGTAGTAATTCCTGGGGTCACTGGTGGTTCTTGGCATCATTCCATTAAAAGTGGCAAAAGCAGAATAAAGTATGGAAAAGAAAAGACCATCGTACAAATATAGGGATATCATGAAAATTAATTAATTGATCACTTCTGATCTCAGTTAATAAATCTCTCCCTCTACATTCTGCATCTTGTGGATTCTGGCTTCATTTCTACTGTGACCCAAACCAACCAAATTTTTGTTGTTTCTGCCTAAGAGCCTGTTTACAAATATTATGCACAAGAATGAATGGGTTCCATTTAAGAATCTTCAGCCTGATGAACAGATTATTTTTGAGAGAAGTGAAGGCTTCTATATTACAAATCTGGGGAGCAGGGAGAATTAACAAATACAGAAGATGCTGTTTCCCAAGCCTGAGGAGTTTGTCCCCGGCCTCCAACCAGCTCTGATGGTTTTGCAACAGTTCCTGAAACACCCCCAATTGTACAATATTTGGTCTGTCCTGATCATTTTCCAGTATCGTCTCTCCTGCTGGCCTGACTTGCCCGACCAACATGTGCTGTGAAGGAGACACTAAAAGAGGGCCGAGGAGAGAACAGGAGGTCAGGGTGGGCGGGGAGCTGGCTAAGGAAGGAGAACGTGCCCCTAATGGATAACCTCATGTTAAAAATCTACTGGGGCTGAGGTAAGCCAGAGAAAAAAAGAAAGAGGGAAAGGGCCCTGGTTAAAGATTGATCAGACATGGTGCTGCGAGGCGGAGTTTCGACACCACCACTCTCACTCGGGCGAAGACCTTCCCTGCCTGTGTGGGAGAAGCAAGCCCAGAAGTGCCATATTGGCCCGGACAGAGCAGCTCTTCCAACCGGCCAGCCGGTCGGCCAAAAGGATAAAAAGATTTCTGAGGCTGAGATTTCTGGGCAGCCCTCCAAGGCAGCTGAGGCTGGGGAGGCAAGCAGCAGGGAGCTAGCCAACAGCAGGCAACCCTTCCCTCAGAAATGGTGGCCGAGCTCCGGGCCATGCGACGCACTGGAATGAGAGCAGGGGTTCTCCTGGGAGAGAGTCAAGGAAAGGGTGACCGTATGGGGCGGAGGACAGGGGGTGTGTGGCATCGTGCTTTACCTCCTTGGCTTGGGGAAACCAGGTGGACATTTTCTGCTGCTGGTTTATTTAATGCGATTACATCCTGCCTTTCTGCTTGTGAGGAACCCAAGACAGTTTTTGTGGCAATCCAACCAGTTAAAAGAAGGGCGAGCCCCTACACCAGGGCCGACTGTCCAAGAGGTTTCCCCTCCAGTCCTCGGATTCCAACAGGGAAGCCGTCCCCTCCACCCCTGACTTGTCACATTGCACCCCAGCGTGGGAAGAGCTTGGTTCGACACCCCTCCCCTTACTGGCCGGAGAGCTTCGTCCTGAAGCACATCACCTTCTCCCACCGCCGATGCAGCCGGTGGGGGCTGACCTTGGATGGCTGAGCGCCATCCCCTTGACCACAAGCTGGGAGGGCCAAGCACTGCGTGGAAGCTAGCCATGAAAGAGCGGGGCCTCAGTGACGCTTTGTGGGGGAGTGGGGGGAGGGTGGGCTCTGGGCCAGGGTGCTGCTTCCTGCACAGGCACCGGCACTGCAACAGCTGCATGCAGATGGTGCGAGTGTCCACGGAGCGCATGCAGCCCCAGGCCTGTCTCCAATGTGCCGCTCCGTGCAGTGGCAGAAACAAGCCCGAACCGGGTGTGCTGCAGGAGCTGCTGCAGCGCTCGGAGTCCTGCATTACCTGCTTCGCCCCTCCAGAGAAAAGCCCAAATGAAAGGCGCCTAACATGTGGCACTGCAGAACTGCTAGTGTGCTACACGTGAGCAGGCTTTCCCCCCTCTCTCACAGTACTAGAACCCGATGGGTCATCCGTGAGGCTGATTGGTGGGGTATTCAAGACAGATGAAAAGAACTGCATCTCTGAACAATGCCGCTCTCCTCCGCAAACCGCAGTGACAGCCACCTGTAGGAAAGGCTTGAACAGGAGACTGGGGCAAATACACAGAGCAGAAGGCTCCCCAAGGCCTCTGGTCTTGGGGGCTGCAGGCCTTTAACTTCAGAGCCTATAAAGATGCTGGGGAAGATGGGGAAGGGAATTAAATGGGCCTCCCACTGAGGTGGCCGGACGGGAAGATGAACTTGATGGGCCATAGCCTAAGCCAGCTCAGTACTTGTGTTCTTAACTTGCACAATACCATCCGTTTGCAATGACATTTTTTTTTTGCAAATTTCCTAGCATTTTGGACTGGAAGACAAAGGGAAAGCAATTTGATCCAGAGAGGTGAAAGGCAGAGCACGATGAAGTGGATAAAAAAATCATTCCCAGTCCCAGGAGTAACTGCCCAAAAACCCAGACATTACCCTTAAAGTTAAAGTCTTAAACTTTAGGAAGCCTCGTATTTTAATTTGCGGCATTTTGTGCCTGCAGCTAAATTCTCTACTTGCTTGGTGCATGTGACTGTGGACAAAAAGAATTATGCCATGCCTGAAAAGCAGTTCTCTACCTTGTTGCAGGCCTCTGTGGCACTGACAGAGATAATCCAGAGTCCTTCTTCAACAGGCTTAGTTGTGAGCAAAACTGGCTTAAAACACTTTGTCCCAGTAATCTAGCAGTCTCCACCTTCCCACACACCACTCACTCTGAAATCAAACAAACTATTGCAGGAAATGCGACTGCTCCTACCTCATCCATGCTGGAAGTTAAAGCAACAAGCGAGGGGGATTATGAACCAGCATGCAAAAGTTCTGGCGACCGCACATCTGAAGGATCCCAGTAACTCCCCCGGCACTGAGCGGCTTCTGCTCACTCCTCAGTGGCGCCTGAGCAAGCTGTCAGAAATACCAAGTGGGGCCACCCCACTTGTGACTCAGGAGGAGGAAGGAACTGACACCAAGCCCCTTCAGATCCTATTCAAGAGGGTAAAGTTCAGGGCACCCTGGACACTGGCAACTTCATACTCCCATGGCCCTCTGCAGAGTGATGCTAGAATGCATTCTGGTCTTAGCCAGACGTGCCCAGAGCAGACTGCCAGCCCCAGACGGCCTCCAGCACGGTGACAGCCCTCAGCGGCTCTATGGCGGAGAGAGTTCTGAGCTGCATCTGTGCTGGCAGTACGAATGGCTGTTTGTTATTAAACACAGGCTGCCTCTCCGTCTCTGGTTCCATTCGCACATCAGGGCAAGTTGCAAATCTTGGCTTACAAAACTATAATGTGTACAAGCAGCATTCTCGTGCAAACATTTGCACCTCTTTTCACTGGAGTGGGTCACCAGACAAGGAAGCCACAATTAAGCATTGTTCTGTCCAATCCAGAGATCGTGGTTAACTGCTCCCAAGCAGATCAGGACAGGAAACTTGACCTTAAGTTGGCTTATAAGTCCCGGTGAGTTGGGGAGGATAGTCGTGAACTTGGAGAGAACAGAAAGTGATGTTCCAGTGCCGCTTGCTGATTTGCGTACACCCTGATACAAAAGGCGAAGCAAATGGGCTGCATGAACCAGTTCATGCTCAGTCCTTCAGAAGTTAAAATCCATGGCGTACCATGAAATGTGAAGTGTCTTGCTCTCATGTATACACCCATGCACAGCCCACAGTCTGAGGTGGACAGCTCCTAGGCTGCTTCCACAGGAAGATTTATAATCCCACCACCCAGCCGAACTCACAGAATTGTTTTTTGGTGGGGGGGGGGGGCATTAGGCACACTGGTCTTCCTCTTACAACTTCTCCGTGCCCCCCCACTTCTTCCAACGTTATTCCTGCCACAGAAAATCCATTAAGAAAGTAAAGACAGAACAGCCACACAGATATTCAGTCTTGTCTTCCCTATCAGATACTTTGCGCTAAGAGTAAAAATGGAAGAAGTGTTGGGAAGGTGCAGGAGGATTATGAACGGAAGAGGAGAATGTCGGAACTCCATGGAAAATTCTGTGCCTGAATCCAGGAGACTGCCCAATAAAGGCCTCTCCAGAAGTATCCAAAAGCCTAAGGAGGATTCCACTGAACACATTTCTGCAAAACACACCAATTTTCTTCAGGGAAATCCACCCAGCATTCCTCTGGCCCAACACTGCCCTCTTCAGGAAAGAAGGGGGAGGAAGCAAAGGTCCAGAACACTTGACCCCTATGGTCCAGGATGAAAGGAAGGTTTAGTTAGGTTTGGTACCTTGCGTTTTACAACGTACTTGAACCTTAGTTGGGCTCCACCCATCCAGGACATTCCAGTTTTTCCTGCCATCGCTCCATGAGCCCTCAGGCTGGAAAACCTACGGTGGTTAGGGAAAAGGGGGCACAGGCCTCGGGAGACCCCGAAGGGGAACTGCACCTTCTCCTGGCTGCTTCCTCCATCTGTAGAAGTCAAGGTCCTTGAGAATCTGGGCTTGCTTGCTTTCTATAATCTGCTGTCTGGCATTTGTCCTGTCCTGTTTTTACGACAGCTGGATTCCGGTTTGTCTGCAACATGCAGTTAACTCCATGGGCCAATGAAAAAGCAGCTGCAAACAAGCCCCTTCTTCCTCAGCAGGCCTGTGAGCGAATCAGCCGGCCTTGCGCTTGCCCCCCTTGCCAGCTCTGGAGCGCGCTGCTCCCTCCCTCCCTCCCTCGAGCAGTCCCCCCCAGCCCCCAAGCCCAGCCAAACAGTCCCCACGCAAGCGCTTCACTTGGTACCTTCTTCGACTTGCTGAAGAAGGCCTGCTTGATCTCCTTCGGGGTGGCGTCCTGTTTCACTCCCAGCAGCTCATAGTAGCTGCTGTTTCTGGCTGGTGACCTGTGACGAGGATGCGACTACGGTTATTCTGATGACACAGAACTGTAACATTGGAGGGGGCCTGGTAGGCCATCTGAGCCCAGCCTGGTTCCCTCCCAATATTTTGGAATTCAACTCCCAACATCCATAGCCCACATGGGCACTGGGCAGGAATTCTGGGGGCCACAGCCCCAAACAACTGGAGGATTAAAGAACAAGCATACATAGTGAAAACAACCTCCAGCAGCTGCCGTCTAAGCTATGGATCATTGTCATATGCGGGGGTTGGGTGTTTACCTATCCCACAGGGATAACGCAAGGATACAGCTTGCAAACCTCCATGAACAGGAGCAGTCTACCTCCGAGCAGCAGATGCTGGTGATCAGCAACAGCCGGAGGAGACGTGATCTGCTTGGGAGCTTGTCACAGGCCACCTGGCTGGCTGCTATCAGAAAATGGACTGCGGGACCAGACAGATCTGTGGTGCAATGATACCCATACGGACCATTTTGCGAAGTGGAAAACGTTGCCTAGGGAAATACCCCAAGCAGCAAACAGACGAAGGACAGCACTGGGAAGTGACACGTGATTGTTTCATCCCTCTATGCAAGACTCAAGAATAATAACCAGGCAAACTACATGAAAGAAAGCCCATTTTTTTCCCTTACTCCGTGTGTGTGTGTGTGTGTGTGTGTCTGGAAAGAGAGAGGAAGACGGGGGGAGGGAGAAAGAAGAACAAGAGATTTGTCAACAACAGGGCTGAAAAGAGCACATGTAAGATGCAGCCGCTGTGTGCGTGGTATCCCCAAAACCTGCCAGCCAAAGCGTCTTCACTGTTATTGATAAAGCTCAGAAAGGGGCAAGCTGCCAACAGAAGGGGGCATGTTTTTCTCACCACCCTATTCTATTTTCTCCTGCACTTGCCTTGTGCTTTGGGAATGAATTGTGATAATTCAGCCAGAGTACATAATGTTTTAGAAAGCTAAGACAGGTGTGACCCTGGGGAGCCGGCAGGTTTACGATTGGCAGCTTCTTTGCCACTGAAGACGGCCTCAGAAAAGGTGCTTAACGCGCCGCAGAAATGAGAGGGGGCAATCACTTGTGCTGGGGCTGGTGAGGGCTGTGAGAGACAATGCGGTGTAAGGGGTGGGGCTGGGCCTCAAGCGGTCTGGGTTCCAGTCCCCGCTCAGCCATGGAGTCAACCAGGTGTCTCTGGATGAGTCACAGACTCAGCCCGACCTACCTCACAAGGTCGCTTTTGCAGATTGGGATAAGATTGACAGTGGGGAGAGAATGATGCATGCTGCTTTGAGGGCTTTAAAAAAGAAAAACAAGTGGGATATAAATCTAAAATACTGGATCCAGTGCTTGCTAACCCAGCATCCAACAGTTCTGTTGATGGGACCCTGAAGGAGCAGAAGACCAAGTCCTCAGGATTCATGACCGGTCCAGCCAACCCAGAGGCTTTTGTTCTGCTGCCAAGTGCCGAGAGGCAATTTTGCACACCTTTCTTCAGAGATCTGAAGATCAAGAAGGCACTCGAGTTGCAAGCTAAAGTCACATGCTTCCTGGTTTGAGTCCCTGACAGCCTGAACGGGCCTGCAAGGTAAGGGCACTCACCAGCTGCAGTGGGTGGTAGAAAAGGCCCGGTGGTGCCTGGCACTGCGGCACTGCTGGCAGGAACGGCAGAGGAAAGAGGGAAAGGCGAGGGCCATATTCGCTCCTCCTGCCAAATGCTGGGCCCTGGTCCTAGGAAGGAGGCATGGACCTATCAAGGAAAGAAGAGGGAAGCCGTCAGGATTTAAACAGTTTGCATGTAGCAATGCTCCTTGTTGGTTCACAGCACTTCACACACAGTAGCCCTCACGGTATCCCTTAAGCAGGAACAGTATTTTTGCTATTTTTAACAGGAACCAGGAGCCGGCTACCCTCTATTGGTTTCTAACCCAGGTTCCTATTGCCATTATTTACCACACTTAAATCTTGCCCCAGCCTATCCTCCAGTGAACAGTATGCATGTTTCTCTCCCCTCCGCCAGCTGTATCTTCACAACCACCCTGCGAGATGGGTTAAGCCAAGAGTGACTCGCCCAGGGGCCCCCAGTGAGAGTCAAGGCTCAGGGGGTAGATGTGGGGTCTCCCCAGTCTTATCCTTTTATCCACAAGGTGGGAGATTGTCTCAAGATGGCAGCAGCAAACCATGGCTTGCAGGGTACAGCTCCTGCCCAACTGCACTAATTCCTGGCGCCAGCTGCAAGACTTTATATTGCGCTGCACACATTCAGAGCATACATGTGCCCACCGGGATGCCGGGCAGAAGGAAACACTGGCTGGCCCATCTCCTCTGATCTGCCTATCTGGCCCACAGCCTGCCAGCTGGTCGTGGGTGCTCACAGGGCCCATCAAGTGCCACTCAGGGGAACATGGCTTCACATCTGTCAGACGCACAACAAACCTCCGAAGAACACGGCTGTCGCATGGGCTGACTTTGAAAAGCCCGGGGCAAACAGATCATTGGCATCACCTTAGTCTAGAGTCAGAAATGATCAAGGATGTCACTTTTCCATCGGCGTCCCTATCCATCAGTTTGTCTGTTGATATGGCCACCACCCTCCCCCTCGCCTCACGCCCTGCTCCAAGGACAGTGGCTCTGTACACAGAGCAGTGCCTTTGCCAGGATGGCCCCGCGGTTGTGGCATGCTCTCCACGGCTACAGCCAGCTTCCCTGCTCTCACTGCACAGACACCCAAGGCCATTTCCATTTTGTCAGGGATTTGGGGATGAGTGAAGATTCCTTAGATCGATTCTTTCCACCCAGCTTGATACTTATTTCCAGCTAGCCCACTCTTTGGCCCATGGAGTGCAAGACCTCCAGCTGCTTCCCCGCGACTTCATACATCCACCTCCTGTCCATCTCCTCCCCTGCTCTCTTCTGCCAGCTCAGCACCAGTAGCTGTTTGTTTGTCCTTGTTTTGGAGTTTGCAAAAACACCATCTGGCTCATTACGGAGCAGAGTCCACTAAATCAATTCTACACCGTTAACCAGGACAAAACCCCGCAAACAAACAGATAAAAGGAGGCCAAGCGAAGAGTTCCCAGAAGGCCAACTGAAGGTGCTTTGCAAGCAGTGGCAACCTTGCTTGGTTGACAAGTGGCTGCACTTTGAATAGAGCGAGACCTGAAGGAGCAGTAGTACTCTAGTTAGGGAGCTATCCTATACATAGCACTTAAACCTCCCCCCCCCAAAAAAAACAGTTCCAGCATTCCCCATTCAGCATAGCTGAGAGTTGTAGGACTTCCTTTTATTAAACACACATAAGACTGTAACCTTATTTTATTTAAAATTACGTTCAGGCCACCATTATGTGTAGAACCTTCTCAAATCAACATAAGGCTGCAACCGCATTTAAAAAGAAGACTCACCTTTCCTCAACCTATTGGTCAAATACATGCCTAGGTATATCTGTACACAAGAAACCGACTTCCTGCTTCAAGAGGAAACATGCATTCCTCTCAGCATCTTGGAAAGCTATGTCTTCCTATTTGTGAGGAAGGATTCTACAGGATTCTTCTATGGGATGGCACTTGCCACCTGCAGCTTACATTCAACTATGTCTTTTATTTGAAAAGACCAGGCTTAATTAGTTGGGATTATTTTCTGTCCTTCCTCCTTTGGATTGCTTGAGAAGGGGGGAAAAACAGGATATAAAAGTAATATTAAATAAAATCAAACCTTTCTGCTGCAGCCTGATGCCCTCGAGATGTGCTGGACTACAGATCCCATCATCCCCAGCCAGCACAGCCACTGGCATTTTTCATCCACCTGAGTTCCTTTATTAAAGCTCAGTGTGTTTAGAAGGTGAATGTTCACAGCTAGAAGCAAGTTCCACGGGGAACTTGCCCCCTAGGTAACTATGCCTAGGAAGGCAGTTGTTCTGACGTGAATGAAGAGGCTGTTATGCTTCCTCTCTTAGGGATGCAAGCGTGAACGTGGTCCCAATGAGCTCCTGCACTTCTAAATACATCACTGGGTCTCAAAACAAAGAGCTTCTCCACACGAGTCTGTTAATTGCTGTATCTTCTGGCTTCATTGCGGAATTGAGATCTGAGCTATACACAAAAAGCCTTGCCTGTCCTGCTTTTATTTATGTATTTAATATATTTATATCCCACCTTCTTCCTTTCGAAGGACTCAAGACAAGGTACATAATTGTCCTCCACCTCTCAGTCTTACCTCTCAGTCTTATCCACACAATGACCGCTAGGTGAAGCCATTCCGTAGCAGAATAGCACACATATCCAGGCGGAAACAATGCTTTTGAAAAGAATACTCCATTTTTCCCATTCAAAAAAATATGGAGGGGAGTGCTCTGAAAATACAGATGCAAAACTGGAGTATTGCAACATTATCTAAATAACTCATTAACAACATACCATAATTGCACAAAAGTTCCTTGCCCTGCACTCTGTTCTAAGAAGCCACTTAGGTGCTTCTAAAAAGTGCACAAGCAGGGCATGAAAGAAACGGATACCGACAAAAGTACACATGTGCACACACAATGCCTTTCCCTAACATTCGATATTCAGAGAGGATGCCTGCTTAGGAACATGGCAGTTTTGTTCAGTTATCTAGCTACAGTTGATCTTTTAGCCTTTTAAGTAATGCATGGACACAACGAAATACATAAGCACCCCAGCAGATGCTCGAAAACTTCAAGGAGACTTCCAGATGAACAGCTCCTGGCACTACCATTCAAATGGCTTTGTGTAGTTATTCTGTCATTTCTATCCTAAGTGATTTCCACTGTGGAAAGAAAAAAGATGGAAGAAGCAATATACAAACATATGAGGCATCCAAGTGGAAGGTGTCTGGAACTGCTAAAATTCTGAGATTGAAAAGGATTATACAATAAAAGCCTGGTCCAGGAACAGCCCAAAACTCTTAGCTGCCAATATAAAATTAAATGTGTCTTTCATGAAATAAAAGGAAGCCATTTAACGTCAAGCATCTTTTAGTCCTCTTTCCATCTCTTTGGGCATAATCCTATACATGTTTAGACACAGAAATGCTCTACAACTCCTAGCATTCCCCAACAAGGAATGCAGCTGGTAGAGTAAAACTAGAAAAGTCAAGGGCGTGGACAGTAAAATGAATGGTCATGGAAGAAAAAGCACAAAAATGAGTGTCAACATGGTCCCATCCAGCAACCTTTTGGCTAATATGGGGCAGGATAAAAGTCCAATGTCATAATTAGCAACTCTTGATAGTGGTTTGCTGCCACTCTCACAATCAACTTTTGTTTGTGCAAAGGATAGCGTGTCAGCGACTAACACTACAAATCACAACAGTGAAAGCATAATCACAGTTAGTGCAAAAACACCTTTTCACATTGTAATCCTTGTTTGTAGCTAACCCTTAATTATGGGTACTTAGAACACCGCACTGAAGCATGGATAAGGAAAACAAACCATGATTAAGAATTATGTTTACACGGGGCAAATAAATTGGAAATCTGGGAAATGGGAGGATTTGGGGAAATGAGCTTACTTGTTGGCAAAGGCAAAAACAAAATATTTGGAACAATTTACTCACCACCTCTCCAAGGAGCAATTTCAACTGAAAGGCATCTCACAAACTGTTTGGAATTATGCCTGGGGCTCCCAACCCCTATAAGCAACTTTTATAACACTAATCAAAAGTAATGCTAATTAGAGTGGCTCATACAGAGGCAGCAGCTCATGTTTAAAAGCTCACCATTCCTTTGGCTCAGCAAAGCAAATGGGAACCAATCCATCTACAGCTTTATTGCTAGAACTAGTCCTCTCTTTCCCCACCCCGTTAAGTTTTTTTTACAAGTAAACAAGGCACCTGTGAACTGGAATGTTCTGTTCACAGTAATCCTATTACTCAGAAGAAGGTGACACCTATTAAACTAGGGCAGGTTAGTCTTGCCCCAGGAAGAACATCCATAGCTAAGTAGACTGTAGGAACTAAAGACCAAAGAAGCTCAAGCAACCAAGGCTTAGAATAGAACGTATATAAAGAGAAGGAAGGGGAAGGAATATTTTGAGTGGGTGACCACTGTAAAACACATACAGACTCAAAACCTTGCCGGAGACGTACTTGAGCATGCTCCTAATGTTTAAGCTACCCACTTCATGCTGCATTTAATCCCCTCCCCAGAAAGGGTCTTCATGGTACTGTACCTGTACATATCATCTGCATGAGCAAGGAAGAGTGAGTTAGCCAAAGACAGAGGACTGAATCCTGCAGACAAGCACGAACAACTCATCAACCCTGAAGTACTTCAACAGATGCCTGCCCACCTGCATGGACCCAGGTGAGAGCCTGAAGGGTTTATCTAGAAGTCACTAGTCCAGCGCTGACCACCTGGACTAGTGTAGAAGATTTTACTGGGCCTAGCTGGAGATGCCAGAGACTGAACTACAGGTGCCTTTCACATGCTTTTCCAACATGTCAGCAATATAAAGATGAAAGATTTATATAGGCTGCTTCCTTTATTTTTAGATGAAGGCCCACCACCTTGCCCTGCAGAACCCCAGCAAACCCACAGAAATTTTACCTTCTCGGTAGTGATATGGCTAGTTCTGGGAGCCTCGTGCCTAATTAGCAATGTGAGTCCTCCTGCCCCAAATCAAAATGGAACACCTTCAAGCTAAAGATTTGTTTTCTCTAGGGATCCAGAAAGCAAGCCTAGATCTACTCCTACAGGAAGAAAGATTTGGGTTAAGCATTAAAGGAAAAGTTCTTGACAATGCAGCCCAATGTCCTAGTCAGTAGCTGGGCTCTCCCTCACTGGTGGTCTTCAAGCAGAGGCTGGACAGGCATCTGTTGGGAATACCTGAGCTCCGGTTTCTCTGGACTGAGAAGGTGGTTGAAAGAAACGGCCTACAAGGGCACGTCTAACTTTATAATTCTGCCTTCTGCTCTGAAGAAAGGAACAGCCTTGCCCTATAAGGGCTCGTGACAGATACAAAGTGCAGCTGGCTTTAATGCTGGAAGGCTTCCTTGGCTAAGAAGGTGGGGGGGCATCATAAACACCATTATCATCACAAACAGGAGCTTAATGGAAGAGCTAATGCAGCCTCCAGCCCTGCCCAAGAGGCAGGGCTGGGACTCACCCACAGACATGCGGCTTCCCCTAGAAGGGCCTCCACACCTCTGGTTGCTGCTGTTTGTACAGCACTCCAGAGAGTCATCACAAGCCTGCTGCCAGCAGTTTACCGAGCTGGGTTACTGTTTGGCTGTCAAGATACATAACAGGACAATCATATTGTTTCTTTTACTACATTCACTTCCTGGCTTTCCTCCCCAAAGCTTAAAGGAGGTGAGGCCAACGGGGTGGTTAGGCTATTGGATCTCTCTCATCTCTAGGCCAGGCCTACTTGAGAGGGGAAGATGAACAAATATTTAATTCAAATGCCATTTTGGTGCATAGTTACAAAAAAAATCCAGTGACCTACCTCACAAGGGGAGACAGAGTGTGACGCTGGGTATAAGGCAGCCTTTAAGTCCCATCCTGTTCTTATTCGATGCTATCATCTAGAACCAAAAGAGGCTTTTGAACTGAGTATAATTTGACTCACTGACATAATCAATATGAGTTCTATTCTTTACTGCCTTTACCATTATCACCACCATCACCATCACCACCTGTAGGCTGTAGGAGATGAAGCAGTTTGTATTTACAGCCCCAGCCAGTCACAGATTGGTGGGCTGATCTTCCCACCACCAAACCTCTGGGGTCTGGCTCTCACTGTTACATATGGTCCAATATCTATGATAAACCAGCACAGAGTGGAGACTTGTGGTCTCCATTAGTCCATGAAGTACATGGGTGACTATCACTGACTCTCAATTTAATCTACCCCACAGGGTTGCTGTCAGGGTAGAATAGGAAGAAGAAGGGTAGAACAGAGGAGGAGGAGAAGAGAGAGGGAAAGGGTTATGTAAACCATCTTGGATACCTTGCACAAAAAAGCAGACTATAAATAGAACAAGCAATTAAACAATTATAGCGAGCCAGTGTGGCATAATAGTTAAGTTTCGACTGGGATTTGGGAGACCCGGGTCCAAATCTCCACTTGGCCATGAACTTTGGCTTGACACTGACTCTCTGCCTAACCTACCTCACAAGGTTGTTGTGCTGGTAAAATGGAAAGGATGCCATCTCAGGTTTCTTGCACGAAAAAAAAGGCAGAGCATGCATATAATTAATACATAAATCAGCCAGTACCAATTAACTAGGCGGGGAAGGGAGTCAACATATGAAGGGGGGAACCCTGAGAGAGTCGTCAGATATATTTAAGGTAGCAAAATGGGAGCGACACCGGCACCAGACACAGCTTTGGGGGGAGGAAGGAGAAGCAGTTAACGGTGAGGCAAACGTAGCAGCGGGGCAACCGTGCTATAGAGTATTGTGGAAATAGGTGGCACAATGAGGGGCCGCCATTAAAAAGGGCCAAAGACTGCCAAAAAAAAATGGAGGGGGGCTGACAGGAAGAAAAGAGGAGTGGCCATGGTGGGGACACGACGGTTGCCATAGAAACTTACAGCTCACCCGCGGGTCACGACCGCCATTTTACTGCCACCACCTTCGCTTCGCCGACCTCATTAAGCCTCCTACCGGAAAAGGCGGAATAAAAAGGGCGTCATCTGGGTACCTACCCAATCAGCTTTGGCCTCAATCAGTATGGTTCCGCTTAGGCCCGAAGTCCTACAATTCCCAGCATGCCACAGCAAACATGGCTGGCTGATGGAATGCTGAGAATTGTAGGACTTTTCTCACTTCAAGGCACAGAAGCGCGCTTTTAATTTTTAAGGTAAAACCATAGGCTAAATGTTTTAATACCATCTTTGTACCCATTTTTGGTTATAACTATATCTGGAATATATATTTTAATATGATTTAGTATTTTATTTATATCGCAGTTTTCCTCACAAAAAACCCAGGGCGACTGACAAGTCATATAGTGCAGCCTACAGACACCGTTAAAATAAGCCTAAAATTGACGACATTATCAAATACATTGTGAACATCAGTAAAGGGGCGACCGGGAATTGTAGGGAGTTGTCTGAACGTGCATAGGATGGGTGCCCTAAAACAAAAAACTGTTGCCAATACTCCAATGGGTATGCAAATAATTATTTTTAGTTGGTGCTTGAATATATGTATATTATATACGTGTGCATAGATATTATATTTAACTATATGTGTGTGTAATATTATATTTAACTACACATGTGTGTGAGTGTGTATTTAGTGTGGGGAGTGTAGAAAATGATACTACCAACATAAATTTGGCTGATGGTCAGGTCAAAAGCTGGACAGAGCAGTTAAATGATGAATAAGGAACCCAAGGCACCTCACAGAACGCTTCTCTCCATTCTGTCCTCACAACAACCCTGTGAGGTAGGTAAGGCTGAGAGTCAACAATGGGCCCAAACTCACTCAGGGAGTTTCATGGCTAAATGGAGACTTGAATGCAGATCGCCTGAGTCCCAGTCCAAAATTCTAACCACTACACCAGACTACACCCCAACATTATATAATTTGTGTGCCCGACAGCCGTGTGAGTGGGTAGAATTGAAGAAAGAGAATGATTCACCATCACTAGAGACCAGAGTTCATATCTTCACTTAATAACCTTGGGCAGTTTATTTACAGTTATAACCTGCCTATCAAGGTGGCACGTACTTCCCTTGTTATTCTCACCACAACCCTGTGAGGTAGGTTAGGCAGCGGCATAGCAACTTGCCCAACATCACCTACTAAAGTTTTTTTTGCTGAGCAGAGAACTGATCTGGATCCTAGTGTGACAATCCAATCACTGCCTACCTTGTGGGAACAAAATGGAGGGAGAAGAGAATAATGTAATAAAAATAGAAGAAGGGTTGTGCTGAATCAGGCCCAAGTGTGGTCTATTAAAAGCACAGCATCAGGGGCTACCTGAAGGAGCTCCTCTTCCTTTACATGCCCTCACGCCCCTTAAGATCTGCGGGAGAGGCTTTGCTCCAGGAGCCCTCTTTAAAGGAGGTAAAAAGAACAACTACCCAGAGCAGGGCCTTCTCTGCGGTGGCACCCAGGTTATGGAATGTGCTCCCTGGAGAGGTGTGCCTGGTGCCGAGTCTATATTCTTTTTGGCGCCAGGTTGAAACCTTTTTATTTAATGGCTATTTTATAAATCAGTTTTATCATTAACAGTCGCTTTTTTGTTTTTTGTTTCTGTGTTGGTTTTTATATAATTTTACTGTTACTGTTTTATTGTTTTAATTCTGTGTTGTAAGGCATCCTGAGATACCGAGGTATGAGGGGATGACATTTAAAAGTTTTAGATAGATAGATAGATAGATAGATAGTTCAGAGCTTTGGTGACACAAGATCTGTGGCATCAGGTAATTCTGCCCTTCAATGAACTGTGGTTCCCTATTCACGTGCATGAAGATGGCCAGTGACCACAAACCGGACAACTCACAGCCCATAAGCCAGACATGCAGTGTAGCAGAGCAACCCGTGACGCAAACTGTGCTCATGAAAAACACTTGCCACGCAAATGAAGGCGCCCAAAATCCAGGGGATTAGAAAACAGGAAATGCCCGCGGTTTTGCCAGACCTGTCTAGCTTGACTTGAAAAGGAGCAGCATAGAAAGCAGCGCTTTCTGGAAACCAGTGGAAAAATGGGACCGCAGCCGCTCAGCAACAGAAGTTGTGGGAATGGTGCCAGTTGCTGGGAGCAGAGGGTGCAGGCCAACAAAACCCAGTTTTGTCAAAGTGGCTGCCTCACCCTTTCATTGCACTGGGGAGGGGAATATCGGTCCCTTTTCTCTCATTGGGGGGCTCCTCCTACAACAGACCCCCTCAGGATTGCTTGGGGGAAGTGTCAGACGGGGGTGTGGTGAACAGCTGCCAACTGAATGGAGGTGATGGGGCTTGTAAAAGGCAGGATCCTTCTTACACAGTTTAGTTATTAGTAGTAAACCTAAAGCTAAAATATGCTGGTAATTTGAGGTCTTGGTTCTCACTTTCACCTTCAGCTGTGCCCTGCACCAGAAAATGGATTTGGACCCTTGGACTGCACCCCTGTTCATAGGTGGTTCTACTGTTAAAGTCATTTCTTAGGTGGGGTGGGGTCCTACCTGTCTCCAGCGTTGCCAACTGGCCAAAAAACTCACACACACCTTCTGGTCTGTTTCTGTGTCTTTTGCAGCCATTTTGAACTAGAAGAGATTCAGCAGAAGATTTTTCCACTCCATTATCGACAGCTAAATGGCTCCAAATCTATACTGCTATTACAGGTGAGTAATAAGGAAATCAGCCCCCCCACTAGTTATAGTGCCCTGTAAGACCACAGAGAGGGACTGAGTGGGTACCTTTCCCACCCTTTCTCTAAATTATTATCTGTGCCCATGAAGTGTTCCCACTGAGATTAAAATTAATTAGTGGCAATTACAAATCAGATTATACACATCCTCCGAGAGGCATGAGGGGCAAATCTCTTACTGAATGGAGCTATTGCCAGAGGGGTGAGCAGGTATTTGGCACAAAAGGATGGAAAGCAACGTTGGGTTTTGCACGTAGCAAACCGTCATAATCCTCTCTTCCGAGGACAGGAATGAAACTCGGCATTGATAGGCTCCACAGCTGTAACCACTGAGCATGACTGAATTGGAAGAGGCATCCAGGAGCCCTGTCCTGTCCGGCCTGTAGCTTGAGTACATGGCAATATCATGGAAGCATAAAAATCAGCTCATATACATACAGTCGCTATTCCAGATTGGCCTCCCAAAGGGTACACTGCCTTGGGATGGTTGGAGTTGTAGTCTAAAATTTTTGGATAGTGCCAGGAGCCTTTGGGGAGCCTTTTCTGGAGCAAACAGCACCTAAAAAGACACCTTTAAAAGGCCATTATATGGTTGGGGAAAGTACAGGAAAGAGTGACTCAGGGAGCAATCCTATGTATGTTTAGGCAGAAAAATATCCTACCAATTCCAGCATGTTCCAGGCATGCCAGCTGGGGCATGCTGGAACTGGTAGGACTTATTCTGAGTAAACATGAAGAAGATGGCATCCTAAAATGATCAAGCAATCAGAGTGACTCGCTTACAAGAAAAGCTTACCTCAGCTGGGATGGGTTAGCTTAGAAAAAAGACAAATAAGGGGAGACATGATATCCAAACGTATACGTGGTGTAAGAAAGTGAATAGGTAAATATTTTTCTCCCTCTCTCCTAATGCTACAACCAGTAGGGTTATCGATGCAGCAAGATGGTGGGCGATTCAGGACAGATCAAAGAAAAGACTTCTTCACACAGTACATAGTTACGAAATTCACGTCCACAAGATGCCACCAATTTGATGGCCACCAATTTGGATGGCTTTAAAAGGGGACATTGGATAAATTCATGGGGAGGGCTACTAGTCAATGGCTATTTGTCCTAATGGTTATATGTATCCTTCCAGCATCTTGTTGCTAAGTACAATAGGTGCTAGGGAACATAGGTAGGAAGGCACCGTCACACTCACACCCTTCATGGAGTTTCCTGTGCGCAGCTAGTTTGCTACTGTGTGTAGCGCTGGACCGGACAGGCCTATGGTTTGGTCCAGTGCAGCTCTTCCTACATTCTTAGGAAAGGAAGGGGGAAATACTTGGAAAATCAACCATGCAGGGACCAGCGTCTATGAAGGTACAGCTTTCTCATATGCACTTTGGCTAATAACATGTCAGGCCTGCCAGTCTGCTCCTTGGGTGTTTTGCCTCAAAGGATCTTATTCTTTATTTGTTTTGACGACTTCATCTATCTCCTTGTTAATGCTGTCCCAGTTGTAATTGAATCCATCAGTCTCCCCCCCCCCCCTTTTGAATCCCAGTGCACCCTTCTGTGGGCATTTTCTTCTCACATCCTAAATTACAACATAACCAAGAAGCAGCACAGCCAGGGAGGCTGTCACTCTCTTTGCATCTATGTATTATCTTGGCACTCAAGTATGAGATTCTTCTGCAAAACTATTTTCGGCAGAAGCATTTGAAAAGTCATTTGATCAAAAAGAAAAAAAACCCCCGACAATTGATTTGATGCATGTGTTTTGAATTCAGTATATTTGAATATAGTTCTGCTTTACTTTTTAAGCATCTTTATGAATGGAGGAAAAAGCATTTTTGGTTTAGATATTGATATAACCTCAGATGAAGATTCATGCCGTCTTGTGTGTAAGAAGCTAAGGCCTGTCTACACAAGGGTCTTTTCTCTTAGGATGCCTTACTCCTAACACAGCAGCCAACCTTTCATGTTCCTGTGATTTGACAAAAGCACTAGGGAATTTGAGGTCTCTGGAGCATTTGTGGTGGAACAGAATATTTGAGAACAACTCTGTGCTGATAAGCCACTGTAGCATTGACTGCATTGAGATAATAGCTTATTAAATGGTCAGAAGCATACTGTTTTGGAATGTCACTCTGAAATATGGGTTGGGGAAACCCTGGCCCTCCAAATGCTTTTGGAGTCCAACTTAGGCAATGGGCAGTGGTAATAGGCATTGTAGTCCAAGAACTGCTGGTAGGCCACAGGTTTCCCACCTATCTTTTAAAACAAAGACTGCATTCACATGGAATGATACACCAGAATTCAGAATAATCCTGCCTTTAAGGACCTGTGCTTTGGTTCCCTCTGTCTGTTACTCCCATGTTGCTCCTCTCCCTTCATGCAACTCCAAAATAAATCAAAGATGTTTTGTTTAGCATGTCCTCATGGTAAACTGATATTCTTGGCTCCTTGCTGCAAACCGACATGAACAAACTTTGGTCTGGTGGTTGTGCAAGTGGGAAACAGCTAAGAGAGTTTGCAGTCCTGGTTTATGGTTCTGTGCTCACACAGCCAAAGTGGAATAATGGGGTGCTGTATATGGCAGCCCCAAAGTCTGTAGCAACAACTTCATGTGGTGGACAAATCACATCTGGGTTCTACCAGTTTGGTTTTCAGAAGGAGTCTCACATGAGCAGGCACCCTGGTTTTACAATAAAAGCCAGAGTTTAAATATTTAAATATTAAAGCCAGAGTCCCCCATCTGCAATTTGATGTGGTGCAGTCCAGAGATAGGATCAGCACTTCACTGGGAGCAATGTGAAACCTAAACTGGTATGTGGGTACCCATACATTTTTTGGGAAGTATATATAACCATTTTTGAGACCTCTTGCTTCATTGGTGGAATTTTTTGAAATCAAGAAAAGCAAACCAACCCGTCGGACTCACTGCTCACTGCAGTGGGCAGCAAAGATCTCACCATAGTTTCTCTGCAGTCGCAGAAGGTTCTTTCCATTAAACTACAAAGATTGCATTCCGCGTTGTAGTAATAGGAAATGGGCAAGCCTTTGCTCCATAATTAAATTGAAGAGCTCTAATCTTATAACTCTTTGCCCAAGGGCTCACTTGTTTCCATGTCCATTCAAATGTACATCATCCATTATAAGGTCAAAAGCTGAATCAGATTTAATATCGGAAGCTCTTAACCCGTTGAATGTAGATCGAGGCTGGTAGGGGTATGTTGCATTAACGTGATGGCTTGATTTTTTTTTTCCAACCACCACCTCACTATAAGTTGGCTATTTCTTTCCCGTCAGCCTTTGTATGCTTCCAACTTCTTTCTTAGCTCCTGGACCTCTGCTTTTAGTGTCAACTTGATCCACATTTGGAGTGTCATTTTGCAAGACAAGTGACATTTGGAGTGTAATTTGCATGACGAGTGACACCTACTTAAATTCCTTGTTTGACATAACTGGTAAAAGGTGCAGGAGCCCTATTCTCTTTTCTATCTGGCAACCTAGATCAAGCTGCTGTTAAAAGTACAGGAGCAGGGCAGGAGATTTGTCTGATCATTTGGCAACCACAAATAGAAAGCACCGCGCTGTTCTGGCTACACTAGACAAACAGGAAGTGCCTTCCAGAAATCATAATAAGGATTATGTTAAAATTGGGAGTTACTCCCAGAGCCGGTTGGCATTCATTTCCCTGCCTAATTCTAGCCAAGGGGATGGCAATAAAATCCGGGCAAGTTGCTAGGAGCGCCATCCTATGCATTGTTTAGAGAAAAAGGAGGTCCTACAATTCCCGACATTCCCCAGCGAGCGTGGCTGGCTGGGGAATGCTGGGAGTTGCGGGACTTTTCTTTTGGGGGTTGTCTAAACATGCATAGGATCGCGCCCTAATGCCAGCGCAGCCGACTTCCTTCCGGAGGGCAGCAGCAAAAGCAGGCGGCGGAAGGGGAGGCTCTGCCCGTCTCGGGGCAGGCGCGTCCTGGGAAGCCGCCGGGGCGCCCCGCCGGAGGAGCGCGTCCCGCCCCGTGTCCTGCCCTTGCTGGGGCGGCGTTGGCACACGGAGGGTTAATCGCCGACCTCCCGACGTGGCGTCATTAGCATAAATTTGCCAGCTTCATAAGCCAACCTACGTGCCTTGCTAGCAGATGCGCTGGGGAAAGGCTGCTTGGCTTGGCGCGCTCCAGTAATAAGTATAATAATATCGTTGCTAATGTTGTTGTTATTAACGTTCAGCTTTCCCCAGCTTGCTTCCCTCCAGATGTGTTGAATGACAACGCTCCTATGAGGATTGTGGGCATTTTGATCTAACATATCTGGGGACTGGGGAAGGTGGCCATGCAGATTTAGGACGGTGGTTGTTGTAGTCCATATCTGGTTGAGGGTTATAGGTGTTGTAGCCTAACACATCTGGCTGAGGGTTGTGGTCCAGACTGTGCCAGGTTGGGACGGGCTGATATTTCAAAACAGAGCCAGGTGTTGCACAGGGTCACACAAAGAAAGATGTTGTAGGTCATGTACTGTGCTTATCATTTCACACTGATCTGGAGAGGTGGAATTGCAACCCTAGGAAATCCATTTGTAGTTCCTTAGTTGCACTAGGCCAGAGTTCCTTCCTGACTGTCCTACCAAGGATCAGAAAGAGCAAGAGAGGGGACATGGGGTTTTAACTGTTGTGAAACAACAACATCAGATTAGCTGGCATTGGGAGCAAAGCAACGAGTCGGAAAGGCCCCCGGAGTGTTGATGTTGCGCGGTACTTCCATGGCAGAGGGGTCTGGAGAAGTTCAGTCTCTCATCCTTACTAAGCTGCTGTGATGTTACAGAATCTCAGTGAACATTCCAACTACTTAGGGAAAGTTCACAGTCAAATTTCTGTGAGGAGGGATAGCTGCATTTTTCTAAAATTCCCATAACATGTATTTTGCTGCTTTGCTTTCTTTTGCAAGGCACCCAAGATGGCTTACAAGGTTCCCTTTCCATTTAATTCTCAGAACAACAACCTTGTGAGGTAGGTTAGGTGGCAAGTCATCGAGTGGCCCAAAGTCACCCACTGAGCATCATAGCTCCAACACTCATAAGCACAACATCACACTGGTGCACCAAACTGATATACGTCACTTTGGCTGGGATTAAATCTTTCACTTGCTTTTTTTACATACTGTGATTTTTTGCTTTCTTGTTGAATTGAAGTCCTTTCCTGTCAAAATTGTTAGAACCGAGGGTTCTGTGCACTAAAAGAAACTGACCAACTAAGCAAGTTGCCATTTTCTTCATTGGTTCTGCTGTTGTGCTTTTAGCTGCAGCCTGAATTGCAACAGAATGGTCTTCATTCTCATGATACTGGGGGAAAACAATCCCTTTTTAAATTCCATATGTTGATCTTTTAGAGGCAAGGAGCAGGGCTCATTACAAACATGGGCAACTCTATATTACATTATAATTTCTGTTAATGTCTTTGCCTCAGACAGCATTTGATAGCACAGGGCCAGGAAAAATTCCACACTGGAAACTCTACTGCGACAAAGGCATCAGAGCTGGGACATCCCTGGTAAGGAGGGAAGATGTAACTTTGTCCATTTTGTGTTCCAGGTGTCCTTAGATGGGCTGGGCAAGCAAAGGATGGATCCCGAGATCAGCCTCTTTTTCCAGTCCCCGGTTCCTGAGGGTATCCCAGAAACTCAAGTCTCTGTTCAGCTCTCCCCAGAGTATGACCGGCAGCAGCTGCCCAGCGACAATTTTGAGATAGAGACCACATGGGCAGCACGGCGTGAGCAGAATCCGTGGCTCTTTGATGCGCCCAAATTCCGACTACACTCCATCATGCTGGAGGGGACCATTTTGAGTTTTCAGCTTGGGCTCACCTGCTACAAGGACTTTGTAGGCACCAACCTAGCTGAAAGAGCCGGGCATCTCCAGGAGCAGGGATTCAAGGACTTTGGGAACAGCCAGGCCTATCTTGCTGAGCCCCTGGGGGTGGGCGCCATGGTGCATACCACAGATGATCAGTTTGTCTTCTTGCGACGGAGTCTGTGCGTAGGGGAGGCACCAGGAAAGATTGACGTACCTGGAGGGCATCCTGAACCACTGGTTAGTAACATTCTGTGTAGTCTGGGGAGGTGGAGTGAGGAGAAAAGAAGAGACAGGGCTGAGACTTCCAGCTGTGTGCCTGTGAGCTGTAGGCACCTCTGTTGGCACACTCCAGGTTCCCTTTCCCTCCTGATTTTTCTTTTATTCCTTAAGACATACTTTTAAAATAAAAAGAAACTAATTGGGAGACCAGCATGCTGCAAAGTGAGGTGCTGCCGCCAATGCCATCTCTGTTTAGATTTTATAAAAGTGTTTTTAAGTTGGGGCAAGCAGTCCCCACTTCTCCTTGTGCTTAGTTTCTTGGGTAAGTTTTTTTTTTTTTAAATCTCACCAATTTGTTTTCTGGGAAATTAAATTTGGGACTGTCCAGGACCACTCCAGCAACCCTATGCAAACCATGCTTCCCATGGCTGCCATTTCAAGATAGTGCCGATGATGTTTTCAGAATTCCAGATGTGCCCCAGCTCAGAAACATTGGCCTGTCGGGATGGGATATTCCTGAATGGCCCCCCTAGATTTTCCTCCCAAGGCTCCAAAATGCCCCTGACTTCCTCATTAACCAATGTGAAGCACAGCTCCCTTGAAGCTACACAAGTTGTTCTTCCAAGTGCATCCTTTCTCCTCCTCTGCTTCACAGGTTGTGACAAGAAATTCCTCAAAAGAACCCCTCAGACATGAGGACTTTCCCAGAAAATCTGTGGTCCAGGAATTGTTCTCCTCCGTGCTGCGGGAGATTGAGGATGAGGTGAGGCGCTAAAAGAAACTCCAGGGCCAGCTGTGTGGGCTGCTTTCGGTGCCACAGCGGCTGAACCAGCTTGTTGATCCTTCCTAGGTAAACCTTCCCTTATCCAGTCTGAGCAGGCCGCTGTTGCTTGGGATTGCCCGGAACCAGACCAGTGCTGGCCGATGCAGTGCTGAATTCTACGTCAGGTAGTACACTAAACCCAGTGGGGTTGGGGAAGTAGAGTTCAGCCTCCCCAAGGTCCAGGTACTGGGTTGCAGTTACTTACGAAGTTATGAGGCGGTCTTTGAGTCCGATTTTTGACCAGTGTGGGCCTCCAGGTTTTGGAGGCCTGTTAGGCAAAGGATCCTCATGGTTCCCCTCCTTCAGTACCAGGTACTCTCCAGGGTACCCAGCAGTGAAAGATCTTTTTTGCTACATCAGATCTCGTAACTGGAGATCTCAGAAACCAAGCTCAGGATGTTGTGCAAGTGAATAGTGTGGTTTTTGCCACTTTCTCCATCCCCTTCTTAGTGTCCTGGGTGCAAGGGAGCAGTTTTGGTTCAACGTGCAAGTCAGCCCAGCCATGGGTTCTCTTGGATGAGCTCTTCTCTCTGCAGAAATGCCACCGCTGCTAATAAGGGCATAATCATAACGCTGACCTACTTCAAGGATGGCTATATCTATCTTATTATATTCTGCCTTTTTCCCATCAAGCAATTTGTAAAGGATTATTAAGAGAATAAATCACTTTCAGTACATAAGGGAAAAAGCTGCATGTATAGTAACCGATTTTTGGAGAATGTTCTACCCCTTTTGTTCTTCTTACATTTTTACTTTACTTCTTTTAATTGATTTTTAAGAAGTTCTGGCTAACAGAACAGGCACCATCACTGTGAACAGCTTACAAATGGATAAAAAACTGAAAAGGTCCCAACCTTCATGCTTACAATCTAAAAGACACAACACAAAAGAGAAAGGAGGTGGGGAAGGAGGTGGGGAAAAAAGCACTAGTCCTTAATACGACCAGGTATACAAGCTGGGATGGAAACATTTCAGGGTAGCCTGAAGGAATGACTGCTGCTAGATGCAAGTTGCAGGTGAGCCAAAGGCCGCTGTTGTCTCAAGTAAAGTCGATGCCATGGCTCTCCCCCCCCTTTTCTCCCAGTGTCCTTTCACTGTATGGTAATCTACTGTACCTCTATCATTACTGGTTCTGTTGTTGCTCTTAACTGCCTTGAGGACTGAATGGTGGGAGACAAATTTAACAACGACACACTAAAATAGGATTTTAAAAGAAAATATTGGATATTACTGTTTTCTCTATCATGCCCCTCTGCTCACAGGCTTTCGAAACTAGAAGCAAATGCCTCTGTATCCTGAATAGAGCCTTGGTCAGTGGATCATTCTGGAAGGGCCAATAAACATTTCTCAGTCATTGCTTTGGGGGGTGCAGAATCCGCCAGGTGTTGATGGGCTGCAAAGGACACTGGGAGCTGGTGAGGCATCTTCTAGGAGCCCTCTCTGATGTAGCTCATCCAAGCATTGCCAGCTTTCCTATAGCCTGTCAGGCCACTTTCTCCATAGCCTGCCCAGCCTTGCCTTGTGTCCTGCTCGTTCGGATGCTCGCTTGTCCTTCTGGGGTACCACTCCCGCTTTGTGCTTCTTCTAGCACAGGTGCATCGAGAAAGCTCCCCGCATTCTGTTTGCAGTGCTGCTGGCTTCGTGTCAGCCTGATTCCCCCTTTGCTGCTCCTCCAGAAGATCTGTAAGGCCAGGCAGCCCAAATGCAGCATCCCTGTGCGGCACCAAGTGCGTCCGACTCTGGGATCTCTTCCCCTGCCCAGGGTCTTGCTGCCAACTCCCAGTTTTCCTTCTTGCTTCTGATGGATCCCTTCTTAATTCCACCTTTCAGGTGCAGTCTGACATCTGAGCAAATAAGGATCTATTATGTTGTTGGAGGCGCTGAAGCCCATGAATCCACAGGCATCCTCTTTGTCAGCAGAAAGGTGCGTGCGGGGGCTCTTTGCTGAAGGGGCAGAAGCAGGTCTGGCAGCTCCACGATGGTACCAGCCAGGGGGGCTCAGCATCAGCAACTGCAGACCTCCCTAGCCAAGAAGGGCTGCCGCCGCCAGCTGTTTTAATTCCCCCACAAGGCCTTTGGCACAACACAGCTTTATTCTGGGGCCCAGGTGGCTGTAGCCAGTCTTATGCCTTGGCAGGGAGCCCTCCTTAGATCTCAGACCCAGGCCCAGTTCTTTGAAGCAGCTCTGGTTCATCCAAGAAGCCTAGAACAGGGTTAGCGCCAGCTCGCAAGCGTCCGGGCCGAAGTCCATGCTTCATAGCAGGCCCATTAGGCTCTGCTGTACTCTGCTAGGCATGGAGAATTTATGGGTAAAAAGAACTTAAGAGCAAGAGCAAGAGCCAGGCACCTGGCTCAAGCCGCAGTCTTGCACACACTTACAAGCCCACCCGTTTCAGCAGGGCTGAGCTTTAAATAAGCCTGTTTGTCTTTTGCTATAGCAGTCAGCCAGGAAAGAGAGGCACTGGCCTTCTTTCCGTTGGGCTTAGGCAGTCCCAGTGCCACGTCACGAGGGGGCAACCTGGCTGCCAGGTTGCAGCAGGTGGCCACTCGCAGCCCCTTGACTGTGCAAAGCCCATGATTCCACCTGGCTTGGCGCTCTAACTGAGCAACTTCCTCTGTAGGAAGATCTTTCTCCTGACTCCTTACCTCTCTGAATATGTGGCTTTCTCTCTGCGCAGGATGTGCTCACAATGAAGCAGAACGACGAGCTGTGGCATGAACTGTCCCCTTCCGCCAAAGGGGCCATAACGCTCTACGAAGTGGTGATGGGCGAACATGAGTGATACTCCTGCTGGTGAGAAATGTCAGAGGAAATTTACTCTGATTCTCAGGGACGGTGGAGGGCACCTTACAAAGCATAAATGGCCGGAAGATCACTAGTTGTGCTTTGGGAGAGCAGGAATTCTTGGGCCAGTGGTACGGAACTTGTTTTTTTTCCATTTATGCGCCTCTTTTGAAAATGAACTGGTCGATTCCCACCTAAAATCTTAGCTTTCCTGCTATGTTAATCTCTCAATAAAGTTGTGTGTGCACTTTTTAAAAATCTCACTCGGTGGTACATTTTTGAAAAAATGCAAATGCGGCCTTACAATTTTGAGGGACCAGCATTAACCAAAGACCCCAGTTGTGCTTTAAGAAGGTTCCAGATAGACAAACAAGCAAACAAAAACCCAGTGGCAAAGAAAGAAGGATCATGATCCAGAAGGGGACAGGGAGGCAGGTTGTGTCGCAAAGGTTGCTGGAGTATGTGCTGGAACCGGCTGGTGGACGAAGGGAAAGAAGGGGTAGAACAACCTATAGTAAGCCCAGTTGTTTGCCAGGCAATATTGTGGGTTGTTCAGAGAACAACCCCTCCACCACAGCTTAGTCACAGAGTGACTGCATGACGTGTGAATGCGCCCAACATGTAACAGCCTGATCATTGATTTCAGCCTCATCACCTTCCTGATTTTGTAGGATAATTCTTTTAGGATAATGGTTTCTAGACATTTCTTGGAGTGTGGAAAGTTCTTGCCAACCTATGGCTGATGCACGGATGTTCCTATTCTCATTAGGTCTTCCATAATTTTTAGTCCAAAGGCCACGATGGAGGGTCGCCGGGGCTAAGCAAGAGTTCCCCATCCCTTTGCCCTCATGTTGTTTAGCCTTTGACCTGCCCTGTGACCTCTGACAAATTAAAAAATGAATTTGGCCCTGTGGCTAGCTGAGGATTATGGGAGTTGTAATCCAACACCTCTAGGCGGTGTCAGGTTGGGGATGGTTTGACCCAGGACCTGATAGGAACAGCATAGGAAATGAAAGGCCCTCCCAAGGATAACGTATTCCAAAATGTGGAGCCCAAACTGAGAAGCCCCCGTTTCCAGTAACTACTTTCCTACCCTCTAAAAATGAGGGCATTTGAAGATGATGATGATGATGGCAGCAATAACTGGACAGGTTTGTATGTAGTCCTTCAAGTTCCCTTCTCCTAGTACATGTGTGTGTTCTTGCATAACTTCTGCGTATGTGTGGCATTGAGGAATGCAGAAGCTTGCCGTGTAAAAAGTCACTGACCTTCTCAAATGATTAGGGCTAAAACCTTGTTTGTCTTGGTGAAATTAAAGTGCAGGAAGCCGACTTTTGCTCCCAGTGCTGCACTTCAGTGTCATCCCCGCATGGTCACGTGACCTTTAGAGACACCTTCGCTCTCAGACAGGTCTCGTGTTCCTTTCGCACCTGCAGGCGGCAAGTGTGCAAAAAACAGCGCCAACGACGAGGGGGGACGGGGTGCCGTCAAGGTTGCCTGCTTCACCCGAGAACGATCAGACTGCTCTGGCCAAACTCCCAGTTTGCACCCCCTAGTAGGCAGGTCCAGGCACGGGACCTGTGCAAGCCTAGGAGGCTGAGAAACTGGGGTAGGCCTGGGTGGCGTGAGAGCAGCTGCATTTCAGGGATTTAGCTGATCTCCTCTAGAGCCTTGATAATCGGGATTATTTGCAGCTTGGAGGCAATTAATGACCCAGGATCCTGGTCCCCAAATCCAGATGACTGTTTGCCCAAGGCCTGAGCAGATTAGTGTCTGAGCTGTGACCCGAGATGCTCAGCTGCTGCACTTACTTAACCGATTCTGTGCGTTAGGGGATATCCCCCCCACCTCGGCTGCTCCTCGGTGTTCAACGATGGCTTGATCTGTAGGCTCCGGGCAGGTGACTGTCCTCGCTGATGCCTCCAGCAAAAGCTGCTATCGAAAGAACACAGGCGAGGGCAATGGAGGAGCTGGCAGTCCTAAAACCAGCATGTCGTTGTCCCAAATAAGGTGGAGATTAAGGATGACGTTGCCCGTTCTCTTTGTTCTTACAACAAGAAAGTTATCAATTCGTAGTTTAGATCAGGGCATCAATGCAGCCTGCACTTTTCACGGCCAGCTACCTGCCTCAAGGAACCTACAGTCTAAAATCCAGTAATGGCAGGAAATAATTCAGTGGGTGGAAATAATATGGGAAAGTTATTTTGCACAGGGGGTTTTTTGTAGGGGAGGGAATTATCACAGTATTATATATAATGCATTAGTTATTGGTATATATGATATACGTTATAATATTATAAGCAACATAATTAGAACGTTATACTATAGGATAGTGTATCACATATGTGAAATGCAGATATAAATGTTGAGAAATAACAAGTGATTATACCTATTAAGAAACTCTACCCTTGGCTTAAATTCCTGCAGCTTCTGTATCCTGCATTCCAGGACAGACCACCTCCTGCTTCCCGGGAGTATTTTATACTCCTTTCTTTCTGCTCTCTTAGGCTCAGCCCCTCTTGCCCTTGAAATGACTTTCCAAAGACGGGGAGGCAAAGCATTGCACAGACAAACTGCGCTGTGCAAGAAGTAGGCACATAAGAACGTGGACAGCATCACCTTGTGGCCACCCGAGAATAATGTTGTCGGGAAAGATGATTTGAGTCACCGTATGATTGATTCTCCCGCAATGTGCAGATCAGGTCTTGCCTGCTAAATTTGCCCAGCCAGCAAGCACACGTCCACACACCTGCAGTCCGAACCTGCGAGGTTTGATACACAGCAGGATGCACTCCCAAAGTGCACCAACTTTGCTTTCTCAGAGGGATGTTGTGAGAGGGATGTCAACAGAGGCAGGTAATATTTCGGTCCTTCCATAGTTCCTCCTCTTTTCCATTCCACAGGGCTGCCTATGCTGGGCGCGGCATTCATGTTCATGCTCAAAGCAGGAATCTTGCAATGACAGCAGCCCAATAGATGGCTCTCTGTAAGTGCCTCCAAGTGAAAGATAACCCACCGCATCCAGAAACGTTGGTTCCCTCATGAAGCGACTCTTACAATTAGGAAGTTTCCCCTGAAGTTTAGCCAAAATTTGCTTCCCTGCAATTTCTCCTCACTATAGGGCTACTGAGAGCAGGAGTGTGCCCCCTTCTTTCCATTTCATTCAGTGTGCGCTGGAGACGAAATATTCCCCAGCTATCAATTTAACTTTGACTGCAACTCCCATCATCCCCAGCCACCGTGGATTATCCCCAGCTACTGGGGCTGATGGGATCAAACCCATCTTAAAGAGTTAAGTTGGGGAAGGGTTGAGAAAGCAACCTATCTCTCTCAGAGGAGAGAAAACTACAACTCCCAGAAGCCTCAGCGGCACATCAGCTGACTCCTAGGCATTCAGTCCACCTCTACCTCATTCATGCTTTGGCCGTGTCTGCGGTTCTGGGGATAGCAGAAGCCCCCCTTGAGGTGGTGGGAGCAAAGACGACGACGAAGTTTGGAAGAAATTATCATTAGGTAGTTGATTGTGAGCTAGAAGATTTTTGCAAACCGAAGCAGGAGGGATTTTAAGGTTGTTTTTACTCTTTTTTCCCTTGGCAGCGCTTCTTCTGGGTTTTTGCAGTGCATGGAGGCAGAGGAATCAAGCGCCGGGGGACTTCCCCAAAATGCTACAAGAAGCGATGGAAACCGGGGGAGACGGAGAAGACCCAGAGATCAGGTTGGATTCCCTCTTCAGCAACAACTCTCCCACTCCTGTTCTAGCTTGCATCCGGTTTGCATTGCCCACTCAGATCTTGCTGATTAGCATTTCTTTCTGCTACAACGTCTCCCATCCACCTACGTTTACCAGCTGCATCACTTTCTGAACTTTTAAGAGGTTCTTACAGACAAGAATGCTATATTTTATACTATAAATCAACACGGTAAGACTGCAATCTTGAGAGGTGACCAAGAACTACATTGACAAGCAGTTAAGAAAGGCACTTTTGCACTCAGTGCTCTCCGTGTGAATAAAGAGGACTTCCCACTGCATAGTTCTATGTTTTCTTTGGAAAATTCATGCGATTGGGGTCCTGAGAGGGTGCAAAGAGAACCCTGTTTGCTAGCTTGAACTCTGGTAAAGACATCATATAAACGTCATTAACAAAATTAATACCCATCCATCCCTTTCCTGTCTCCAAACCTTGTTTCAGGACCCAGATGTTCGACTGTCCAAAGCCCTGTCTTACGCTTTACGTCACGGTGCGAATAAGTTGGGGTTACACATGGGAAGTGGTGAGTGTTTCTCCCCTGCTGTGTCCTTTTCCCCACCACTGCTTGGAAAATAAAACTTCACTTGTTTCTTTTCTGTCACAGGTGGGAGGGTGAAAAGACTGCAAAGCCTTCTCAAAATAGAAGCCCGCCTTTTGTGGTTTTGTTTTGTAAACCAGTTTAGTGGGACAGAAACGGATTATGAATAAAAACTAGGTTAAGGCTCTGTCCACATACACGCACGTACCAGCCCAGCAGCAGTCTGCCTTGACAAAGCCAGGCCTTGATACACACGCAGGGCAAAGTAAGAGCTTTGCAAGAGGCTGCCTGCAGAGAAAATCCTTTTGCAAGAGCTTACGTGTACACCAGTACGAATTGACTCAAGCAACAGGGGGAAGTCGAAGGAAAGGGATTTCTTTTTAAAATGCACGTTTGGTTTCTTGAACTGCTCCCAAATTGGATGCCCCTTTGGTACTAAAATCGCAATTTCCTTGTTATGGTACAATCTCACAACTGTGTCGTATGGATTTTGTGAATCTTGCTCAATTCAGGAGAGAACCTCCTCTTGCTTTTTCTTCTGGAATTGCAGATGGTTTTGTGGATGTCGCAGAGGTTCTTCGTTTGCCCCAGTTTAAGGCTTGGTCGCTGGATGACGTGCAGCGTGTTGTGGAGATGAACGAAAAGCAGCGCTTTGCAGTGCGCCCCCATCCGTCCACTGGCCACCTCCAGATCCGTGCCAATCAGGGACACTCACTGCCGGTAATCAGCATGTGAAAAGCTGTATAAAAATCTGAATAAAAAGGGCAGTGTTGGTGGAACCTGGGGGTTGGTGGAACCCACTGATCGGACTGGTTTAGAAATTCCAGAAAAAGAGAACAGGGCAGGTTTATCATGCATTTTAGAAACATAGAAACAGAGTGAGTCAGAAGGGTCCTCCCGGGCCATCTAGTCTGACCCCCGGCTCTGATCACGACATGCCCACCATGTGCATGTCTAGACTATCCTTTTATTTATATCCTGACTTTTTTCCCCTTTCAAGGAGCTCAAGGCAGCTTACATAATTCTCCTCCTTCTCTCAGTTTTATCCTCACAACAGTGAGCGAGAGCCAGTGTGGTATAGTGTCTAAGAGAGATCTGGGTTCGAGTCCCCTCTCAGCCATGGAGTTCACTGGGTGACTCTGAACCAATTGCTGCCTCTCAGCCTAACCTACCTCACAGGGTTGTTGTTCCCCGGACAGAATGGAGAGGAGGAGAACCTTGCAAGTGTCACTTGGTTCCTTTCCAAAAAAGAAAGGCAGGATACAACTGCCATGCTGCAATAAGACTATTTATTCCTTGAGAGCCAGTGTGGTGTCATGACTAAAAATGCCCCTTCGCATTTCTGCCGTGAGCGGATTGCAGTTGACTCCCATGTTAATTTCGGAGACATTTAGGTGTATGTTCATCCTGCTATATTGCGTGCGCAGCTGCAGGCCTGAGAAAAGCACGTCCTGTTGCCACCATGGCCATTTGAAGAAGGGAAGAATCGCAAGCTAGTCTTTAAAATGCAATGTAATAATAAAAAACACATGCATAGTGGGAGGGAAAGCAGGAATAAGTAGCTATTTGTGTTCTTTGCCCCCAAAACACCAGGTGTCGGAACTGGAACTGACCCCGCTCCTGGATCCATCCGATTTTCCAGAGGTGGTGGCCCACGGCACGTACCTTCGCCACTGGACGGCAATTCGCCGCAGCGGCCTGTCCCGGATGGGGAGAACACACATCCATTTAGCACCGGGATTGCCGGGGGACGGGACTGTCGTAAGTGGTGAGCGTTCGATTCCCCTAGCCAGGCAGATGGGAAAGCAGGCCCTAAATCGTTTGCTTCCTGATCAAAACTGGGCTTAGATTGACAGGCAGCTCTCAGTGAACTTGATCACGTACAAGACTGGTCTGAGGTTCAGGGGATGCACCTTGCTGTGGAATTCGTCCTCCAGAGAGATTTGCGCAGGAGCATTATTACTCTCTTATAGATTATTATATATAATAATTATATTATGGTACATTTATATCCTACCCTTTTTCCTCTTGCAAGGAACGCAAGGCCACATATGTCCTCCTGATTCTCTCCATTTTTATCCTCACAACAACCCTGTGAAGTAGGTTAGGGCCAAGAGTCCATGACTGGACCAAAGTCACCCAGTGAGCTTCATGGCTCATTGAGGACTAGAACCCTGAACTTCTGAGACCCAGTCCAGCACTCTAACTGCTACATCAGCCAGCTAAATCCTTTGTGGTTTCCTTTCTATTTTAAAACAACATTAATTCCCTGTTAGTTTAAATTTGCTTCTCCATACTCTTTTTGTCCACTGTGCTTGTTTTGTGGATTGTCTGGGATTTTAAATCTGTTATTCTTTTTATCTCATGCATTTTATTAGAATTCCCACTCCTACCTTTCCCCGTCCAGCTCATCTTCGCTTTGTGCTTACTGCCCCCAAATAGTCAATCGCAGACTTCAGCAAAGCACACATGGATTGGCCATTTTGGCCACGAAATGATTGGCATGCGGCCATGAACTTCACTATTAATAGGAATGATGTCCCACAGGCAAGGTCTCTCCTTTCTCCACTCACCTTGAAGATCCCGCAGAAGGCTCAGCAATTCCTAAACAAACTTTAACAAAGCACCACTACTGTGTACGCACATGCACACACAGAGCAGCCAACTTCGGAACAGAGAGATTTTCTGGGCTACGGATGAGGAAAGAGGGGCTGTTTCTGGTAAAGCGGGTGTTTGTGACAAAGGTTTTCATTTTGACTTCTATCAAACTTGGGACTCTCTTTATTATTGGCTAGAGAAACAGGACTTCGTATAGATTTAAATATGTTTTTAAGTTATCATAAATGGAAAAGGAAGGGTGTGGGGGCTGACCCAGCAGGCCCGATGTTTTTGATGATTGATGCTGTTTTTAGTTTTTCTTTGTTTTTTAGGACTATCATTTCAAATAAAACTTATTTAAAAAAAACACAAAGGTTTTCACTTTGCAGGGATCAGAAACAACTGTGAGATGGCCATCATCATAGATGTTGCCAAAGCACTGGCAGGTGAGTGAAGAGAAAACTGGATCAGAGGAGGAGTGGGGCACGGGATCAGCCAACATGCAACCTTGTTTGCCCAATTAAGCGTTTATAGCTAATTATCTGCATCTTGGGTTGAGGGACATGAGGAAAGTCCTACCGGATCAGACCAAGTATCCATCCAGTCCAGCGCTCTGTACACACGGCGGCAAACCAGCTGCCCGCAGGATGGGTGCAAGACCTCCTCCTGCCCAAGCTCCTCAGCAACTGGGACATGCAGGCACGCCACCTCTGGTGACGGAGGCAGCCCATGGCCAGCAAGGCTGGTAGCCACTGATAGTTTCCTCCTCCTCTGTAATTTGCCCAGTCCCCTTTTAAGGCCGTCCAAATTGGTGGCCATCATCAGTTCCCCTGGCAGCAAATTCCATAGTTTACTGTATGTTGTACGGAGCATTTTCTTTTATTTGTCCTAAACCTCCCACCAATCAGCTTCATGGGATGGCCCTGGGTTTGAGTTGTATAGGAGAAAGAGAAAAAAAACTGAGGGAATGAGCCTTTTGCCCCCAATACAGAGAAGCAGGGCAAATTTCAGTCTTCGTAAGACCGATTTAGAAGGGGTCAGGGCAGTGACTGGCATAGTAACACGTGGGGCATCTCATTCCCCTGCAGATGGAATCGCCTTTTACCGCTCAGCAAATGGAGTCCTCCTGACTCCCGGCGATGCCAACGGTCGTCTCCTCCCGCAGTACTTTCGGGAAGCCCTGCAGCTTCGGCCCACGCGTAAGTCGCAACTGGTCTCTCCCACTTTGCCCCACCTGCACTTCTGCAGCAGCCCGCACGCCTCCCACCTCAGCCTGTGCTCACATCTGCGGCTTGCTTTTCCTCCTTTGTCCTATGCACACATTTGCAGCGGTCTCCATGCAAATGTCTTGCTTGCCTCCCCTGATCGACTGACCAGGTTTCTGAACCTTTCAAGCTTTGTGCAGAAGAGGGAATTTCAGACGGGTGGCCGCCACCTCTTGTGCACCTGGCCACCCAAGGGGAGACTGAACTGCACTTAGATGACAGTCAAGACATTGCTTTGGTTGCTACTATTCCACCTTTCCTCCAAATTACCCAGTGTGGCACATGTGGAGTTTTCCCCTTGTTGTCTTCACAGAGTTGGGCAGGTGACCGCTTCAGCATCCCCTTACAACCTTCGTAGTTGAACCTGATTCTTCCCAGTCTTTGCCTGTTAGTGTAGCAGCTGTTCTCTGTACATGCTCAGGAGAACTATGGCTTCATCTTCCAGGGCCATGCCTTGTTAGGTGAGGGCCAACCTCCATAACCCTGCCTCAGACATTCATACCTTCCCATTTGCTCTTCTTCTCTCCACCAGGATGCATGCTGCCTCTCAAGTGACTGAACCATCGGACCCTCTACAAGACAGGAATTTATTGGGTGCGTGGATTATTTATTACTAAACAGGAAAACTCATATTTAAATATGTTTTTCCTCTCCATCTCTGTGCACGTGTGTGTGTGTGTGTGTGTGTGTGTGTGCGTGTGTGCGCGTGCGAGAGAGAGAGAGAGAGAGAGAGAGAGACTGATTCCCCCACCTGAAGTGCAAGGTGGACCAGGTTTTAATACTTGTCCTTTAACTTACTCATAAGTAGACCACCAGCTCTTTAGGCTCTAGCTCTTAAGCAAAAAGGCACTTACAGTCAGTGGTATGGGAAATCACACTTATTTCATCTGCTGGGTATCTTCAGCCTGGATCCAACCGTGTCATTCTCATTTATCAATAGCTTGAAGAAGTCTTCCTCGACCTGATGCCCTCCATACCTATAGGATTACCAACTCCCAGCACCGCTGCAGGGCACCAGGCGGTGAAACGCTGCCTCAGATCGTGCAGCCTAAGCAGTTAGGTTCGTGCATGAAATACCTCTGGTTGTTTCCAGTTGAACAGATAAACTGCAGGATCTGGACTTAGAAAGGTTTATGTATAAAAATGAGAAAAGCAGAAAACAGAACAGGAAATCAGCAGCTAGATGGTCCTCAGCGTAAGCAAACAAAAAGGTTTCCTGCTTAGTGTGCTAGGACAAAATCTAGTTTAGAAGACATCCCATATGTATCTGGGATGACGGAAGGATGAACGGTGCAGCAGTTCAAGGGAGACCAACCTGAGGCGAGGTGAGACTTGCACACCTCATGCCTGAGGAACCGATGAGCTGCTCCTTCCCATCATCCTTGGCCCTTATTCCCTCTGGCTTGGACTGATGGTAATTATTTCATTTAGGCTGCCTCCCATCACTGGAGTTCTCCAGGCAGTTGGCAACAATTCATAAGTCAAGATGATCACATACAACACAAAATACAATAAAAATGGGATACAATAATAAAACCAGAGGAACACTCAAAAGCTTTAAAATGGCTAAAGCAACGGAAGAACATAACACAAGACAAGCCACGCTGGAGCAGACGCAAGGTCCACCTAGTCCAGCACTCCGCACACACGGTGGCCAGCCAGCTGCCCGCAGGATCCCTCCAGCAGTGGGTGCAGGACCCCACCTGCGCGAGCTCCTCAGCACCTGGTGTATCCAGTGACAGCCTCCTCCCCCATAAAACCGTCCGATCCCTTCTTAGTGCCATCCAGATTGGTAGCCCTCACCCCTTTCAGTGGCAATGAATTCCATAGTTTAACCATACACTGTAAAACAAGGAATGACTCTGTACAGACACCTGGGATGGGCCATCCCTTCGAGCCCCTGGGCTATCTAAGCAAGCCCTTCAAGGCCTCAGCATGACCGGTTGTCCTAACCTGGCACAAAAAGATGAAAGGTTTGGTGCCAGGTGGGCTGCAACAGGGGGCTTGTTTCATAGATGGGGGGCTACCACAGATCGATCCCTCCCCTGGGTGCCACCCCCAACCCTCTCAGGGTTGGCACTTGGAGGAACGGCCGCAGAGGCTGGGCATAGTGTTCGAGTAGATTGTGGATGGAGAGAGACTCTGATGGGAATTGCAGTCCCAAGCAGTGTAAGGCTTTATAGGTTCCAACCAGCACCTTGAGTTGTGCCTGGAAGCTTGGTGGCAGCCAGGGCAAAGGGCTGAGATCGGTCTCCTGTTGGTACCTGTGGGCCCTGGTTATTGGTCTGGCTGCCACATTTTGCAGAGACCACCTTCAAGGGCAGCATCCCACAGAGTGCATGGCAGAAGCGGCTGCACAAACCTGGCCTGGGACTTTGTCAACATCCTTGAGCTGTGCCAACTGACACTTATCCAATAAATCTGGAGCCGGTTACACTCCGGGTAGCTCCGTTGATTCATCCACCTGAACTCTGGAATCTAAGCTCCAGCTTTTTTTTCTGGAAGCAAAAGAATGCAGTGAGCCTCAGAAGGCTCTAAGATGCCTTGGGGGCAGCGTGTCATAAGCCCTGGACAACCTTGACCAGCTCTAATGGGTGGCAAAGGGAAGAATTGATAAAGGCAATGAGATGTCATTTCTTGGCTGCCCCCACTGCCTCCAGAGAGGACACACCAAGGTTTGATTGCATCCGCTGGGAATTTTCCTCCACCTGCACTCAAGACGGGAGTTGGAGTCCAACAGCTTCTCGAGGGGCACAGGTTCCTCGACCCTGATGGCTCTTTTGCTTCACTTAGATTGGAAGGAGAGTTAAGAATCAGGGCTATTTCCTGTTGGCCACGACTAGCCATATTTTAGAATGGGAGCAAAAGCAGCAGAAGCTTAAAAACCTTCCGAGAACTGGCAGTTATGGAGAAAAGAGGAGGAGGAGGAGGGTGTGATTAGGTAGGCAGTCCCAGAAAGCTGGATTTTATGCCGGCAGACACCTGCTGTGATGTCCGTTGTAGGGAGCTCATTTCTCTTCCCTTCCCAGAAATAATTTGCTGCCTGGAAATCAGGTCCTGGCACCCAGGAGGTGCCCTTTTCCTGTCATGGCCAAGAGAAGCAGAAGCAGGTGTTGTGTGAAGTCACACAGGGATCAAGTTTTCAGGCAGCCTGGGGGTGGGGTGGGAGAGGGCAACCTTACAAATCCCACCCCCTCCCAAAAAATACAGGCCTTTTTATGGGCAGCACACAGCCTGCCTGTTCCAGTAACTCCATTCCTGCAGGCCTCTCATTCCATTGGCCGAATTGAGGACGATTTCTCTTGCTGAGCAAGGGTTCCCACTGCTCTGGTGCCTTCTTAGCTCCTGGGGTAGGTTCTTGAGGGACAAACCCAGGCTCCAGTTTGGGCCTCTCCATCAGTGCTGGTTACAGAGTTCCATGAGGCAGCAGTGGGACCTGGCCCTGCCTTCCAGAGAGGGGAATAGCTGAGGGCGAGAGGGTTCAGAGGGCTTCGTGGCCCCCCGTCAGCTTGTGGAAGAGTTCCTCATCCAGCGTCTGACTTCGGTCAGCTGCGCGGGTGGACAGGAAGATATACCCACCAATGTATTCGTGCACAGTTTTACAACTAGCGTGGACGCAGCTGAAAGCCACGTTAATGTGCTCATCGAATTCTATGGCCACCTGGCGGAAGAAGAAGCAGAGTTTGAGAACGTCTTGGCTAGTCACCTGGGTGCACATGAATTTCCGACAGGCGAGCCAGCAAGGAAGCGTACAGACACTTCTCCTAAGCCACAGAAGGAAGGGGGAGAGATGGGAAACTAGCAGTTTTACTTGTGGCTTTGTTCCTAGCAGGGAGTTGCTGCTAAGCTGCAGTTTAGCAAAGCCAGCCTAACCAAATGTTGCCTTACCCATAAAAGGGACTTTTGCCAGGGAACCTACGGCGCAATTTCCCCTCCTGGCTAAATAGAATTACCTGCTGGATATCCCAGTTCACGTTCCACTGGCGCATGTTGCTGTACCGCCACGTCTTCACTATATCCCCGACGGCCAAGTCAATTCGGATCAAGCGGTTGTTGGCGATGCCCAAAATTTCATCCTTCCGGCTGCCCTTGAACCTGCAGAAAGACAGGAAAAAATCTCTCCGTATAAGCTTATCCCACAAGAGACAGCATCTGATTAGATAACCAACAATTGTATCATAACTTTAGCCACAGAGGAGAAGAACTTCTAGAGGAGCCTGCCCCACCCAGCTCCCTTCTCTACCATGTTCAAGATTTCACTTTAAAAAGAGAAAACAAGTCACTAGTCCTCTTGTTTAAAGAAACAATGGAAAAGTAGACAAGCAGCACATGGGGCTGCAGATCCAACACAACTGGAAGGCCCTGATTGGGTTTAATTCAAAAAACCAGAGAAGTTGCACAACCAGATATGACACTATCTGGAACTACACTCTCTTTATAACAACTCTAACACAGAAATATGACATAAAGAACTCTTCACTTTTCTGGACAGCAGCCTGGTTGGTCATTGCTGTTACCTGCAAATCAGCAAACAAGCTTTATCATATGGAAACTGCAAATGTGGGACCTTGTGCTGATGGGAAATTCTCTGAACACTCTTGGGTACAAAGAGGCCAAGTAGAAATCGACACTTTTCATGCAGCATGATAATCTACTGAATTTGCTAATACTGAGATGAATCCATGACAACCTTCTAAAGCACACAGAATGCTGTAGCATCCTTTGGAAGAATGATGAGTGAGAGCTTTAGCAAATACTCTTGTTTGTACCAAACAGAGACGCCAAACAATCCAAGAGGTGCTACAGAAACTGATAAAAAAAATTCAATAGTAAAGAAAACCCACACAGCAAAACAAAACCAAAAAACAAAGGAAAGGAAGCAGACCACTGTACTTGGCCTTGGGAAACTGAAGCAGCTCCTTACCGAACTACGAAGTAAGAGATGCCAAAATCAGGGAGGGACTGCCAAGCTTGGATAAATTTCATCTTGGCCTCAGGAAGTGAAAGCTGGGCCACATTCTGGTAGGCCTCCAGGATGCGCGGAGTTAACTGTGGGTGTTGTAAAGAGAAAGGCACACAGCTCAGGTAAAGCAGTTTGTGGGGCGAGGTGGGAAATCAGGTCTGCTTCCACCCCGTCTTCGAAGACTTTATCATGTCACACCCAGCCAACTAGTTTCCGGGGCTGCGGAAAGAGGCACTGAGGTGAATTTATAAAAGTCAAACGCACACAAACACTAAAGGAACATTGTGTGCCAACTCTTTGGGAGTCTGTATATTCTCCCTGTGGTGGGTATAACCTCAGCCCGCCTGCCCCCCCCCCCCCCCCGCCCGCACAAGCATTGCAAGAAGACAACAAACCGGCATCCAGAAACTTGCACCCACAGAGGAGTGAGCTGCCCCCCTGTAAATCAGGCAGCCCCTCAAAAGGAGTATAGCAAGCCCTTGGGGTCAGCCGAGCCCAGAAATACCTGCTTCGGTTTGAATTTCTTCTGGTAGCGAGGGGACACAAGCCACTGGGCACCTTCCGCCTCCGGGACTAGGGCTGTGTCTGGGTTGCTCTGCTGGAGCTTCAGGAAGGACCGGATGTTCTCCACCTCAGCTTGGTACGACGCGTCAGCCATGGTCTTCCCCTTCGCTGCCAGCCTGCATCCGGCCATCCAGCGGGCGTACTGCTGCTCCTGGTCGGGAAGGCCAAGCAAACCCCTTCTAGAGGCATGGACAGCACTGACGTTTGCTCAACGTGCTCTTACAATCTTGCGCAGCATTAGAACCGAGCAACCCAGGAGGCATGGGCGTTACTAGCCCCAGATTCTGGGGGCAGGGGTGGTGGTGTCGAGCCAGTAACCTTTCAAGGCCCCTCCCTCAGCCCCATTCCCTCAGCACCGGCTTGCGTGAGAAGCACAGAGCAAGGGAAAAGGAGGCTGGTGCATCTGCTGGTCTTTGCTCTCACCACCAACCTTCTCCCAGGTGGAGTGAGGAGCAGACAAGCAAGCTGCTAGAGTTAGGAGATGGAGCAACTCGGAGGGGGGGAATGTTATTCAGCCCCTGGCAGGGTGAGGCTCTCAGCGGGGGGCCCATCATGTTTACCCTTGCTACTGGCCCTGGTGAGGGATCTGGAAAGAGTTGAAAGGGCTAGACGTATCCCTTTAGGCTGGGGACGAAAAAGTTAATGGGGCACAAGATAGCTGGTCATGGGCTGCTAACAGAATACGGTGCAACACATTTTTGTTGTTGCAGAGGGCAAGAGATTTCAGTGGGTGGCGACTGCATGAATGCGGCTTTTGTTTAAGCTTCAGGAAAAGCTTCCTAAGGTAAGAGCTATTCAGCAGTGAAACAGACCGCCTTGGACACACTGCTGGTAGGGATGCTGTAATCGTATTTTGCATTATAAAGTATTCATTCCCCAGGTCTTTGCATGTCTGCATTGCCCAATAGCTGAAGCTCATGCTCTAGACTGTTTGCAAAACTTGAAGCCGTGAAAATACTACTTCAGAAAACAGTAGTGTTTTTAGAAGCAAAGTTAAAATCCACTTCAAGGCAAAGTAACACTTAAAAATACTCAGAGGAACTAAACATCTTGAGAGAGTAAAAAGATCATCTCCCCATGGTAGGAAGGGCTACAGGTTGGTCACCAGGTAAGCCCTTCTGCCGGCACTGAAACGATCCTGTCTTAAATAGCGTCTTGCCTCCTTTTAGCAGGGAGTTAGATTAGATGACTGCCAGGGTACCACCCAGTCCTGCAGTTCTAACTCTGGTGTTCTCTCTGCCCACCCATCACCTCTTTCCTGCCCCACTTACGTCTGAACAGCGTAGGTGTACTTCGCTCATCCCATCAGGGGAAGGCACCAACAGCTTGATGCAGAATTTCTGACCAGATATATTGACATCTGGTACCACTTCGCAGCCTGGAGTGAAGCAGGAATAGGGTTAGCAACACAAGGTATTGAATGATCTGAAGCTAACAAGATCCATTAGCCCCCGTTTGCAAGGGAGTGAACCTAGAATTATTTCTTTTTCTATCCCTCCTTTCTCCCATGGTGGAAACTCAAGGTGGCAACATTGGCATACAGCTCTTTTTTCCAGCATGCTGCTGCCACCTCGCAGCAGCTGCCGCCTGAAGTGACTGCCTCACTCTGCTTAATGGTAGAGCTGGCCCTGTTGGCCGTGACAGGCATGAGTCCCTTCCCAGCCCAGCTTCCAGAGACCCTTTTAACTGGAAGTCCCAAGGACTAGACCTGGAGCTTGCAGCCTGCCTGGCTCCAGGATTTCAGAAGTGGGGGGCCTTCCAGCACGCTGGAGAAGTGTGCCATGCAGACCATGGCAGTGTTCCCATGCACTCTGGACAAAGGTAGCGGTAGCACTGCTAGGACAGCGGGCCCTCTGGTCTTATGTGGGCCCTAGCAAGGGCCCTACCTAGCTGCCTTCTGGGGCTGGCTTCACATGTCCTTCACCGCTTGGGCGGTGGGCCCACCAATGGCAGATTCTGCAGGTGGGGGTGACTGGACTCACCCTTGAGGTTGAGCTGCTGGATGGGCTCTCCCAGTGCTTCCTCAGAGCTCTTGTAGTAGGAGATGGAGGTTTCCTTGAAGACCACCCAGTACTGCTTGTAAGCCTTCAGGGTCAGCTTGCGGGGCCTGGGGTGATTGGCAGAAGAAGTACACAACTATCAAAACCATACTCAGGAAGAAAGGGCAAGACAAGGTCACATTTCTCCTCTCTCTGTCCAATGCCATCCTTAACAACCTGGGCAAAATTCTCCACTTCACCATCTGCATTATTCTTGGGGCTTTCCCAACTAAGGTCACCTCAGTTTAGACTTGAGATGAACCAAGGAGAGATTAAACTACCCCTGTAACAGAGAGCATCCAGTTTATTGAACACAGCGATGGAAAGTGGAGGCAGATAATAAGAAATCAATAAACGGGCAAAACGAAGCTGACACATGCCCCTCACTTGCATGGCTTTCCAATATAACAGATGTTGTTTTAGAATCTTAGCTGTTTGGATACTTGTGTGCTGCTTGTCCAAAAGCAAAACACAGACAAGTTCTGGATTGTTTGGGGTTCCTCTTTCCCTTTGACAGTAAACCACAAGCTAACCCTTCCCTGCCTGGGAGACAAGGAGAGAGGCGGTGAAGCAGCTTCAGTGACGCAAACAGTTGTGTTTCTCCTAACAAAGCTGCCCTTATCTACGGCATATCATTGGGGAGGGAAGGTTCCAGGCACTTTTATCTGGTGCTCTTCCTAACTGACATAAGGTGAGGTTACACTTCAGGGCCAGAAAATACTGACTTCTAGACACTGTGAAAATTCACTGCATTACTTTTTGAACCTCAGTAACTTCTTTGCCCTTCTGGTATGGCCCATCCCACACACCATCTGCTCAAAAAGTAGGAAGCCAGAAGCAGGAGTCAGAAAACTTAAAGCCCAGCCCTTTAAGGAATCCCTCTGCTTGTGCATCAAGATTTTTGGAAGAGGCCCTTTTCTGAATGCCTTCAGTGAACGAAATCCATTACAGAATACTTTTGCAAAGGAAAGGGTCTTCTATTTGGCAATACCCTGACTTGGGGATGTCTTTACCTAAGGGAGATCCAGCACTGGATCAAGGCATTCCTTTTTACAGGCATTTTAAACATTAATCATTTAACAAAAAATGTGTTGGTTTGTTTCTATTGCTGGTTGAAAGTTCCCAGTTGCAATTTTTCATTGTTATATTGAGATTGTCTTTTTTCTGTTACGTGCCCTGCCCTTTGCACTCATGGTAAAGGAAGCGAGTTTATCAAAATCCCTCTAGCTAGCTTCATTTGGCTGCAGTGTTTAATCAACTGCCTAAGCCAGCCTTTCCCAAAGTGTTGCTCTCCAGACACATTGGATTACAGCTTCCATAATCCCCAGCCAGGATGAAAGGTATAGTACATTGCTCCTGGAGGATATCAGTTTGGGGAAAGACTGGTTCAGATAAATGCATTGCTTTTACTGATGTGCAGCAGAATTGGAGTGAGACCTTGGAATTGCATGCAAGCACTCCTGTCCATCTTAAAATGCCATACCAAGATGATCTCATGAAATGTAAGGTTTGGGATCTTGCCTGAATATGCGGAGGTAATCCTTCAGCTCTGGGATAGCTGTGAGACTCTCCTGTACGGAAACAATTCAAATGCTTAGTTTGTTAATATATTTATAGACCACCTTTCAGATTTAACCCTTCCCATTGCTCCTTACTATTTAAAAAAGAAAGATTAAAAAAGCTGTAGTTGAAATGATTTCAGTCTAAAGTAAAGCTCAGTTTAAAAACCAATGGGAGGCGGGGGGAAATCTGTATCAAGAAAAATGGCCCTCAAGGCAGCTCTCAATAATAAATAAAAGCTTGATTAAAACAATTGCATTAAAGCAGAATTAAAACACAACTTTACCAGAATAAAAACAGCATCCAACCCAACAGACACTATGCCAAAGGGCTGCTTCAGTAAAAAAAATCTTTGCTTGCTGGTGGACAGAGAGGGAACGAACCCAGCCACTCTCAGTGTGGAATTCCACAGCTTGGGAGCAACCACCAAAAAGGCTCTGCGCTGTGTACCTACTAAACATGCCTCTGAATGGGGTAGTTTCACAAAGAGGGTCTCTGCCAAGGAACCTGTGGGAGAAGGGCATTTTTCAAGTAGCTCAGTCCTAAATGAGGCTTTCCGCAACCAGCTGCTGTCCAGATGTACTGGGCTGCAACTCCCATCACCCCCAGCCAGCACAATGGGAGTTGCAGTCCACCACATTAAGCGAGCACTAGGTCAGCAATGGGTACATTACCAGATGGAGCCACAATGAAGCATGTACCTTTTTCATTCTGCTTTGAAACAAGAGGAGAGACTGTGCTTACCAAACCTATAGCAGGAGACAGCAGCAAAAGTGAGCGAAATCTGGGCACTTACCAGAACGCTGGGAGTTGCTGAGGACGAACCTTCCAGCTTGACTTCCAGGGACTCGAGGGCCTTGTCCAAGTCATCAAGTCCGGAGTCTCCAGACTGCTCTGCAGGGCTGGTGTTCAAGGACAGCTGGTTGATGCGATACTGGTACAGGGGCATACAAAGAAGGCCTGGTTAGCTTTGTGCAATGAAAGTATGAGGCCCAGATTTCAGACAAAGCTCTGAATGCTTACAGTTCACCGTAAAAACCAAAAACAGGCCAATTTTTCACAACCCAGATGTGTTAAAACCATATTTTCCATCCTCTCCAGCCATCACACTTTGCTGTCTTAATTTACGATATGGTGCATATTCCCAGTGAAGCATCTGTTTGTTTGCCCAGCCATTTGATTAAATTTCTCTCTTTTCTTTTGACGCATTGTGTAAATGCTTATTTATCTATCGCTCTGTTCCCTTCTGCTCGATTACGCGGTTTTGGTCCAGGCTGTATAATTTTACTGTGTTTTATTGCTTGTGCCTCGCTTTGGGACCGTTTTATAATGAAAAGCCAGTAAGGCATTTCTTAAGCAAACAACAGATAAATATTCCCAAGATAACATTGTTTAGCAGCAGAAGCAAGCTCCATTTTATTCCTGTAGTCTTGATGGTGTAATGATTTTAAAGCCATAATCCTATGCATGATCTGAGAGAGAAACCCCTTTTCTGTCTTGCATCCTAAATTATTCTGAGCAGCTGTGAAGCACAGAGTGGTGATAGAGGGCAGGGAATGACCAGAGTTAGACCAGCTTCCAAAGGAGGATGTGTGAAAGACAACGACAAATCCAGGATTGCAAATGATGAGCCACATCCCTGTTGGAGGAACTGCATCGAAGGAGACTGCAGCAAGTGCTTGCAAAACCACCCAGCAGGACAAGGATGGAGAAACATAAGCACAGGGAGCAAATCGGGTCCCCTGCCAGTTTGCTCCCCGAGAGTGCTTGGTGGTTTCCTGGCTTTTGTGCAGTCCCCCACTTCTAATGACCTTTCCTGAAACTTAGTAACTGGCCATAAGAACTTTAAGCTAAAGAACACTGGTAGGTTTGCTCATTTGGGGCCGTGCCTTTCACTGCTGGCTCCAATCCAGGCCGGATTGGAATGCAAAACAGAATGTCTGCAAAACAAGGGCGAAGGCAGGGCAGCCCGCTTGGTCTGGAGTTGGGCCCAGGAGCCTTGCCATCACTGATAAGAAAACTATACCTGCAGTGCCGCAAACACCACCATCTCTTCCTCGGTGCAGTCAGTCTCCTCCAGCAGAACTGCCCAGCGCGCCTGCTCGTACAACTGGTTGATCCTCACCGCATCGTACTAAGGAAGGAAGGAAGGAAATTTCACTTCTACCATGAAGTTACTCTTAAGATTTCTTTTACCCCACACTTCTCTCAAGAGGCTCAAGGCACTGTACAGCTTTCCAGGGGTGATCCAAAGACCTGGGGCTTAAGCCCACAGCTCACAACTGCATATACATATCTGTGCACACGCTTAAAGGACTGTGTGTCAAAGGATGTATTTGTAAAAACACGGCGTTTCTGTGTCCCCCAGTGAGTGCCATGGCCAAGCGAGGACTAGAACCTGGGTCTCCCGAGTCGCAGCCCAACCTTCTGACCATCGTATTTGTTCTCACGTCTCCCTGAAGGTGAGGCTGTGCTTTTGTAATGTGCTTTGGGCACTCATGCTGCACACATGCGTGGTATTATGATTACTGGTGCAATAATATTTGTCAGGGCTGAGAGGACAAGGGGGTTGCTAAGTCTGACTATACACAGGTGGGATTAGCCAGGCTTGCAGAACTGTGGAAGAAAAAGACCATGACTTGACCCTGCACGTGCTGACTCGTTTCCATCATTACCTGCCCCATGCGTGTTCTGCCATGTCATCCAGACCTGGCAAGGTGGGCAGTGAGAGCGACTTCCAACCCCCACCCTCCACCCCACAACTCATCCTTTAGTAGAAGGGAGAACATCTTTCTTCATGGCTCCTCTGTTCAGAGAAACCTTGTGCAGGGACCGTATTTGTAAACCGAGGTGGAGGATTGTGCAGATTGGTGTGACTTATTACATGCTTTTAATTTTTTTCAAAGGTTTCAGGGAGGGATATTGCAAAACTTCTTAAATGTGTCATTTCCCCTTCCTGAGTTTTTCTGTGTGAGTGGGGCAGAAGGGAAGAAAGTGGGGTTGCTACCAGAATAGAAAAATTCAGTCTTGTTTGAATATTGAGGGAAAAGAAGGAGCAGAGTGAGGGTTAGTACAACTTGCATGGCGAAGCGGATTGTTTTCTGAAGTTTGCACTTTGTAAATAAACTTTGCACCTTATAAGGACAGAAAAGTGCATTGCAGAAAGTCCCCACAAATGGATAGCTGCTTGTACCATGCAGAGACACATCTGAAAAGATCAAATGCTAAACAAATGGAGGGTTACAGGCATGCATTTTCAAGTTTTACTTTGTAGTCATGAGGACTAGAAGCTTCTTTTGAAATAGACCCAATATTTTCAAGGAGGATTTTGCAGGAGCTCCCAGGCTAGAAGGTGGGGTTTGAGTGGGAACAAGACATATTCTTTCTAGAAACACGTGAAGCTGTGAACACGAATTGAGAGCAGCACTGACCTTTGGCTCCAGGTCAAAGAAGCTGTAATACTTGAAGCGGAGCCATAAGCGCTCATTCTGTTTCACGTCCTGCTGCAGCAAAGTCCGTGATGAATCCAACCACCTGGGAGAGCATAAAAGGAGCAAAAGGATGACTTTTTTTTTCCGATTTATATCCTGCCTTTTTCCTGCAAAGGGTTCTGTTTGCCATAAGTAGTAGATGAAGTATTAGTGGGATACTTGGGGCCTCTCCTTACCTTGTTTGATGGGTGCCCCTTAAATACTATTTTAAGAAAACCACAGTAGCAGACATGATTGGACTAAAACAACCGCCTTTCCCATCATTGAATCACGGATTCCATTGAGAGGTCATGGAAACTTGTTTTTTAAAAAGTATCAGGAGACAGCATCGTTTAAAATATCAGTGACCAGCAGTACACAAAACTGAGGCTGTCCTACTTTGTCCTCCACATGAGAAGTCCAGACTCCCTGGAAAACCATCCCGCCAGGGCAAGTCGAAGGCAGGAGAAGAAACATGAGAAACATGTTTTCCCCCAGGCCACTGTGAGGATTGCAGCGACGCTCAGAGGGAAAAGGAACGTTTGACAGAGGACATCAACTCCCTTGCTAATCAAAAAGTCCAGGTATTTCGACCCTGTGAGCCCAGGCTCCACTACACCACTGACATATCTTTCAGGTGGTTTTCCCACAAGCAATTGACTGGCCCCCATTGGAAACAGAACGCTGGGGAGATCAACTTCGGGCCTCATCTAGAGAAGCAGCTCAAATTCTTGCCTCAGATTCAGTACCTGGCTTGTTGTGATAGACCCCAAGGTCTGAAGTTGCCCGTTTCTGCCCCTCACCTGCTGTTGATATGTGTCTTTTCGGTGAGGGATCCTGGCCGGTGCATTCGCATGATCTGCTCTGGGGTCAGGCCAGTCTGACTGACCGACAGCATCCGGTAGCAGGCCTCGGTCTCAGCGCTGTCCGAGAAGTGGGCAGGCATCCCACGGAACTGCTGTTGCTCCACACCTGATGGGAGAACAGAACCGAAGGGGGAGCACAAATGCGCTTGCCCCTCTCCAAAAGCGCAACGCACGGGGGCTTGAGCAGAAATGGGACAGGGAACTGGGTGGCCCCCTTTTGCCCGGTCGATGGATCGCTCCCTTATTGTCCCCACCTGAACCAGAGAGGTCCACCTTCCCCAGAGAGGTTCGCCTGGCGCCGCCGTTATTTGTTTTCAGCGCCAGGCTAAGACCTTTTTATTTAAATGATATTTTAACAACTCTTAATACCTACAGGTTTTAATTTTGCAGCCAGGGTGTTTCTGGGTTTTTTATAGTTTTATTTCTATGTATTATGTTTATTTATTTATGTGAGCCGTCCCGAGGCTATAAGCGATGGGACGGCATACAAAAATTCTAAATAAATAAATAAATAAATAAAATAAACCATCTGTGGATTCCAGGTTAGGTCCTATGTTTACCAGACACCACAATATCTGTTAAATATCTGACTTATCTAAGTCAGCTGACTAGGAGAGATACAATACTACTACTGTTTTCTCGAATTGTAAGTTTTGGCCGTGTCCAGTCGTTGTTGCCTCTTTTCAGGAGGATTCTATAACATGGGTAAACTTTGTATTGGAATGCATGTGTTCTTTTAATTACCTACTTCGTAGAAGTTAATGCATGGTCAGTGGTTTTTCCATATGCTTTTGACCACTAAAGATGAATATTGCAAGACTGGAAGGATAAATAGTCACCTCCTATAATGCAATGGGTGGCAAATAGACAGCAGTCTTGAGTACATACAGACACAAATCTTTGGTCTGCTTTTGCTGAAGCTTTTACTTAATGGATATATTCAAATCTAGGTAGCTATCTTTTTCTTTTACAATTTGCTTTTGTTTTGTTGAAACTTTGAAAAAGAAATCATGGCTAATTTTTATTTGGGTGACAGGAAGTGTGGTGAGCAAACAGGCCGTGGCTTCTGTCGCTCCTCCGTCTGCTCTCATGGTTGTTGGGGATACAGGTGAGAAGTGGGAACAAGGAGATTGCCATGGTGAAGAGGATGCACAACTCTGAGGGTCTCTTGCTTGTGGGCCTCTGCTGAGAAATGGGCCCTTGGCATGAGCCGTGGGGGCAAGCCCAGTTCCCAGGCAAACTCACTTGCCGGTAGCCGCACCCCACTCAGGTCATAGGTTTCCAAGGAGCTTCTTTCTTTGTCCTTCTGCTTCCGCTTGTCCTTCTCCTCCGGGGCGCGCAGCAACGACAGCTCCTCAGGGTGGCGAATACCTGTGAGGAGGCGGCATTAGTGGTCTCTCAGATGATCTAACCAGTTGCTTTCTAGAAGCCAGCCTTCACCCGGTGCTTCGCCTGAAGACAGTCCACGGCTCAGTGGCCAGGTGTGCTTGTTAAAAAAACGATCAGGCAGAAGGGAAGGGGATCCCTGGAAAGTCACTGCCACCCAGCATAGATCAGACTAGCTAAGATCTATTAGCTAGTTGATCCTAATGCACTGCGGTTTCCTAGATTTCTTGCTTCCTTTTTCTGCTAACAGATTCCTGGTCTCCCAAAGATAATTTTGGGTCTTTTATGCTCTTTTGTTCTGCCCTCACTTTGGCATCTTGTCTGAAAGGTTCCCCAAGAATTCCAACACTCTTTCTAGGGTTCTAGCCCTCATGGTTGCAAATGAATGTGCAATAGGCTAACCTTTTCTTTCTGATGCCAGGCAAAACCCTTTTTATTTCACATGCGCAGGGAAAGGACATGACTGGTTTTAAAGGGAAAATGGCTGGCCCTCCTCCGATAGGCCGCCCACAGCTGGTGGCCAATTTCTCAGCAATTCCAGGGGGGGCATGTCACCCTAGAGCAGTGGGGACCGCTCTAGCTGCCATGCCAAGACCAAGAAACGTTCAAGAGTTCAACTGGCAGGCTGGTATTTGGCCCATTGAAACCCGACATTTCTTCCATTGTGGAAACCAAGGTGGAGTTACCTAGTCCAGGGCGATCACACCTCTGGGTGCTGTGCTGACCTGCGTTTTCTCCGCAAGCCTGCTGTACCACATATCCTCAAGACCACGTCCCGGGGCGCCCTATGCAGAAAGGATGCCTCGATGCCAAATTCGAGACTTTGGCGGCACTCGCCACTCACCAAGCACCCTGCAGATGTCGACAACCGTGCGGAAGACAGGCTGGGCAAAGTTGGTCCGGATTCGGACGTAGCAGCGGTTCGGCAAAGAGAGGAGCACTGGCTTGTGTTGCGGAGTGTAGCAGAGCTTGGCGCTGGCCAAAATCCCGTATTTGTCCAGGCTCCAGTTTGTCTTCAGCAGCCAAAGTTTCTTCTGCTCCCACCAGAGGGCATGGTCTGACCAGTCCTTTTTAATTTCTAGATGTGAAGGAGAGAAAGCAGGAATGTGGGGAAAAACACAGATCTAAGACAGAGTACATTAAAATGGATTTCCCCCCCCTGCTTTTTAGCTGGAAAGATAAGCTGAAGAGTAAACATGACAGCCCCTGTCCTGCCTACAAGCTTCCAATCCAAAAGATATGGCACAAAAGGAACATGGAATGAGGAGGGAAAAGGAAAACAAGTATATTTGGGCACCACTTCTTAAAGTTGCATAGTAGTTCTTATGATGATCTGCAGGAATGGAAAGAGATGAAAAGGAGCCGGGTGGGGCTGGTCTTTCAAAACTGCTGAAGGAGAGGACCCATGTTCCCATCTCCCTCTGCTGCAGCCTGATGGAACGGCTGATGCTTAGGTAGCTGCAGACAGAGAAGTCCAGTGCATTTAGCAGCAGCATGGAAGGTGATCCAGGAAGCATAGAGCTCAATCAACCAATCAATTCAAATCCAGTTTTAGTTTTAATGTTTCCCCTTACTGTTTCTATCTTGCTTTTAAATAGAAACCTTTTTTTCCTAAAGCATTTTACATTTTTAAAAAAAATACAGAAGAACAATTGATGTTAAGGAGTTCTGGAAGATCGCTCTATTTTTCCTATGACTTACACTTCTCACATGAAACCGACATGGTATAGTCTCGTTCTGAGGACTTTCCTACTTCAAAAGCGTTTGATAAAATAGACACAGCCCTGAGCAGCTCCTACAGATCGCCTGGGTTCTTCTGGCTATGGTTATCGCCCGCCATCCCAGCAGCTGAAAGCTGCTCCCGGCCAGGGGTGACAAGGCCCAAATAGATTATCAATGTGCTGCCAGGATCCCGCAAGGGAAGCGGGGCCTCACCACACTCCCCAGCTGAGTCACGGCACTTTGCCCACATGTGCTACTAAAATGGGGGGGGGGGGGCACATCCTTCTTGCTCTTTTTCTTGTATTCTTGTGAACCTGAAACCCTCCAAAAGTTTTTGGACTGCAGCATCCATCATCCTTACCCCACCATGGTGAATTGCAGGGGATGATGAGAACTGTACTTCTGAAAGCCCATGGGCTTAGCTAGTGTTATAGGAGAAGGAAATAATCAGAAAACCTCACCCACTAGTGCTGTATTTATTTATTTATTTATTTATTTATTTATTTATTTATTTATTTATTTATTTAGGAGACTTCTATGCTGTCCCATTCGCCGAAGCCTTGGGGTGGCTCACAACCATAAATAAACTTCAAAATAGAGTAATATAAATTACCAGTATAAATTAATTAGATCTGTATTAGATCTGTATTAGATTCTCTGATCACTTGTACCCTTTTTATCCTCACTGCAACCCTGTAAGGTAGGCTAGGCTGAAAGGGTGTGACTGGCCCAAGGTCGCTCAGCAATGGACATGCTAAGTGGGGATAAACTCAGGTCTCCCTGAGCCTGGCCTGACACTCCAGCCAGGACTGGCCAGTTTCCAGCCCTGAACCTGCTTGCTGCCTGTGTCTCTCCAGCAAAGCAGTTAGCCATCTGTTTCCAAATGTCTGTGCCTTGCTGCCCTTAAGGAACTACGTTCAGGGACCGCAGCTGCCCCGAAGGCCTGGGGGCTGCATGTAGTATGTGTTACCCACCCCTGCTGTAACCACCATGTGATACCAGCTGAATCACTACAACCAGCTGCCAGCTCTCTGAGCTCAGAGGGACAGTGCCTCCCAGTGAGAGGGCACCATTCCTTGAAAGGATTTTGACCTTGCCGCAAACTTATAACAATATTAGTGTCACATGCTACACACTCCCTTTAAAACAGGCAAGGGAAACTCTAGGCAAACTTACCTATCTTATCCACAATCTGCAGCATGATGCCTCCAATATGCATATTGCCGGTAACCCGGAGTGTGACTGGAGCCGCCTCGGGCCCCAGGTCTTCCACAAAAACGCTGAGCTCCCAGGAGTCATCAATATATTCCCCACTGGCTGTTTTCAGCCCGGCCATGGTGAGCCCTGGAGAGAGAGAGAGGGAGGGAGGGAGGGAGGGAGGAGCAAAATTCAAGGTGTGGAGAGGACATCTAAGACTATAAGAGCAGGCCTGCTGGATCAGACTGAACTGACATCTCATCCACCATGTCACTTCTAAGAATGACCACACGGCTGCCTTCAGGCTGTCCACAAACAGAACATGAAAGCAACCTCATCACAAAGCCGAGTGAGAGTAAGGGCCATGTGTCTTGCCGTCACTCTGTTTTGTCTTCATGATTCTGCCAATCAGACTTTCCTCCATGGTACCATTTGAAGCTAAATCACAGTGAAGACAGAGCTTGTTTGCTGATCAGGATATCAGGGGGACTTTCTCAAAAGCTTTGCTGAAGGCAAGTTATATTACATCCACATCATTTCTACAGTCCACCAGGGAGACTACCCCATCAAAAAGTGAGATCACTTTCGTCTGGCAGGATTTGTTCTTGACAAATCCACACTGGGTCCAGTCATCACTGTGCGGTTTTCAAGGTGTTTGCAGACTGATGGCTTTCTCATTTGCTCTGGAGTTTTCCCAGGGGGTGACGTCAGATCTGCAGTTCCCATGTTTCTCCGTTTCCCCTTCTAAGGATGGGAACACCAGCTCTCCTCCAGGCATCTGGCATGTCACCGATCCTCCATCGTTTCCCAGAGATACTGGATGGCAGTTCTTCTGCCAGCTACTTTAGGAAGCAGTTCATCGGACCTCGGAGAGCTGAACTCGTTTAAAGTCATGAGGTGTTCTCCTTGGCCACTTGCCTCCATCAAAAACGGTGGTCCTGCACCTTTGCCAGGGAGGACGTAGACCCTCTGTTGGGAAAAGGCTGGGACAAGCAGGAATTGAAAGCCTCTGCCTTTTTCACCGGTTGTCATTTTGCCACCCTCGTTGAGCAGCTCAGCCGTGCTTTCTCCCTCTGTCTTTTATGGCACCGCTTATGAGGAAGGCATGTGTGTGTTGAGCATCCACAGCTAACCACAGCTGATTCTTAGCGCTCACCTTCCCCACATGCCTGCCGTTCCATGCTACTTGCCTTTATAGTCTGGCCTTCCTTCCACTTCTCATTCATGTCCTCTTTTATTTTCCCAACATCTCCAGGCAAGGAGAGAAAACGCCACTGTCCAAACGCGAGGAGAGCGGCTACCTTGGGAAAAGCCGCTTCCTACAGACTCGGGCTTGTGTGTCTTCTGCATTTCAGAGGACAATTCTGCATTTGAAAGCATTCCTCCTCCTCCTCCTCCTCCTCCTCCTTCTTCTTTTTTCTTCTTCTTCTTCTTCTTCTTGCTTCCTCCTTTGGGCGCCCTCTTCTCTCATGCTTCCACCCCGGCTGAGCTGGGGTGCAGCCTCTCTGCCCGCCCTCTCACTTCCTCTAGGTCCAGAGGTGAACGGATGAGAGATAAGGCAGCTCTTCCGACTACCTACTGTTTCACCTGAGCAGAGGTTAGGCTCACTGGCATGAAATGCTCACGGGGGAACAGGGGAAGTTGCTTTTATTCCTGGTCAGATCCTTAGCGCAGTACACAGTTCCAGGCAAGCTTGTTTCCTACCCATGTGTGTCGAAGCCAGGGATCCAGCTCAAAAGCTTCTGAGCACAAAGCAGACACCTCAGCCAACAGCTGCAGCGCAGCCTCCATTCTGCCATCTCCGTTTTATGGGCTCAGCCCTTTGTCTTGCTGGTGGGTGAGCAACAAGCCATTGCCCTTCTTGGCGGCTGCGTGCACTCAGTCACGATGCAGCTGCCTGCTGCTCCTTGTGTGCAAGGGCCTTTTGGCGTGCGGGCAAAGCTTTTGGGTTGCAGGTGCTGAGAAGCTGCAACATGAGAGGCCGGAACAGTACCCGTCTGCTGTTCTTGCTGCAAAGGCACTGCTGCAGACAGACAGACAGCTCGAACAAATCGGACTATCCTGAGATCTGGAGCCCTTGACCGCGTCTTGGTGATCTGTGTTGCTAAGCTCTGAACGCCACACTTTATTTATTTAAAACATTTCTATGCCGCCCCATCGCAACAAAGCCTCGGGGTGGCTCACAACAAAAACAAAAACAAACAAAATCATAGAAAATGTATACACTAAAAATATTAAAACCCGGTGCATCTCGGCTAAACATTTTTAAAAATTCTCCATAATAAATTAACACTTAAAATAAGTTTTAAACAAAAAGGTCTTCGCCTGGCGCCGAAAAACAAATAACGACGGCGCCAGGCGGACCTCTCTGGGGAGCGCATTCCATAGGTGGGGTGCCACCGCAGAGAAAGCCCTCCTCCGGGTGCTTACCCTCCTAATCTCATTCACAGAGGGGACTCCCTTGCTAGGCCAGGAAGGGAATCCTAATCCTTATCGCGCTCGTGCCAGGAAGTAGATCTGATAAGAGACTGGAGATAAGGGGAAAGGGGATCCCCTGGCTAGCACAGAAAACCCCAAGAGCCACCACAGTGGCAGCAGATGGAGGGGAATCTGGTGGGCCACCAGGAGTGACCTGGGGGACTGCTGGTACAAGCCAGGGAATACAGGCTGCCAACTGGGTGATGGAGATGGGCTGACCAACCCACAGCCAAGTCTGTAGCTCTTCCTTTCTCCCAAACGCTCCCCTGGACTAATGTGCTGCCGGCTTTCCTTTCTTGGTGCTCTGCCTTCGCTAGGCTGATTCAGAATGCCCTTGCAAATCTGCCTTTTACTCATCTCATGGTGAGTCACCCTGGCCTGAAGCCTTGACCCATGTGCTGCGTGCAGGTTTGCCCGTCAAGTGTCTAGTCCTGATTGAACTTACCACGCCGACTGTATGGCCCTCCCCTATCAAGCAGTGACCTCTGTACATGGTTCAGTGTTGCTACATAGGGAAATTTTCAAATGACAGGGTTCAACAGATGCAATGTGGTTAACCGGCCATGGTGACATGGTTAACAAGCCGCATGACCGAGGGAAGGAGGCAGCCTTTGAGGCAGGGTATGAAAGCCCTTTCAGACTAAATTCTATTCTGGGGAAGCTTATTCTAATATTGAACAGGGCTGTGGAAAAGTGGAACCAGAGGCAAAGGCGTGTCAAAATGTGTGTGTCAGCTCTAACAGGCAGCAAGCCAGTGTTGGGAGAAACCTTTTGACACTTCAGAGGGGGAAGGGGTCACACAAGGGGAAGGGGTACGGCCTGCAGTCCCAGAAGGGCCACATTTGGCTGCCAGGAAGGTGTTTTTCTACCCCTGGTCTAAGACGATGTATCTTCTCATGCTCACATCTAGATTCATTATGTATTTCCCTCACTAAAACTATACACACAGGCCCACTATCTTCCAGAGGATCCAGGTGCAGCTTAAGATTCTCCAGATGTTTTGGTCTATAACTCCCATCAGCCCGAGGTGAGGGATTGTGGGAGTCGCAGGCTGGGGAATGCTGGGAAGCATAGGCCTACATGCACAGGTCTGTGCCCTCTGTTGAGTCTAAAATTCCCTAACTGCTCTGCCACCATATAATAAAACCTGTACAATATTTCCTATTACGGAGACTACACAAGGGACAGAAGAGTCACTGTATTTCGACCCGACAAGATGGAAATCTATGCCCAGCCATCTCTTGCCTCATCAACAATCCCACAGCTTCCATGTAAACACTCACACCTGTTAGGTCTGCTACAGCAGCAAAGGTGAAGATGCCTTGTCTTTGACAGGTGAAAGAAGAGGTGAAGGTAGGCATCTCCACAGCAAGCTGCAGACAGAGAAAGCTGTGGGGCTCTTTCTCCTGTTTAAGGAGAACAGAATGTGTGGAAGGAGACAAGGGAGAGCTGCAATAGCAAAAATTAGAAATCAGGCAGGAGGACGTTGGTTCTTCTGTAAGCTTTTGCTGGAGCCAGCGTCCTACCATAAATTGCTTTCTAAAGGCAAGTGCCCTGAACTGCCAGACTAGAATTTGTCATCAGTAAGTTCTGTCCCATTTGCTTAGCATTTAACCATGGCAAAGGTCCTTTCTCTTAGCAGAGCAGTTTGGTTATAATGGCAGGGACAGGATAGTAGGCTCAGCTGCCGTCAACGGGCTTCGAGCAGCCATGGAAACCTCAGTCGATGCCTCTCCCGTGCCTTCTCAGTCCCACAACCATCTCCTCCCTCAGATGCTGTGGATACTGCCTTTTCAGCCCCACACAGTCCAGGCAGTGGGCCGGGGTAACAGACCTTGTTCTCTGGTGCTTCTGGAGAGCATGGGCTTGAGTGAAGAGCCCGGCTAGTCTCAACCAGAGGTCCTCCCAGTCCCACTCTGGTTAGCCAGATGCCCAGAAAACCCACACGGAAGGCATAAAAGCAGCTGAGGCCCTTCTTTAACAACTGGAGAAAGGGGCTGGTTTTGAAAGTCCACCCAGAGAAAACCTGCCAGTGAACCTGCTTCTGAAGAGTTCAGAAGGAGGACTTCCCCTTCTTACATTCTTGCCAGACCTTCAAGGAAGAATCAAGTGTCTGAAACATACCTTTAGGCTGTGATCTCACCCCAGAAAGTTTTTTTTTTCTTGACAGTGGCCCAGGAAGCAGCTCTTGAGTCCTGTGGAAGGCTTAGTTGACTTTTAGGTGGACTGTTACCCGTCTTCAGGGTGTTCCTTTCCAGTGCCTTTTATCAACTTCCTCTCTGCTTGTGATGCATGCTTACTCAAAAGTGGAAGTCTTGTTTGAAACCTCACGAGCCGGAAGTCTTACAGTGATAGCTCAGCTCTCGTACTGAGCCAAATTTGCATTTGCAAAGATTATTTAGCGCGCAACTTCACACACCCTGAAAGAGTAAATTTACCTACTCCAGGTAGGCAATACTCTATTTTAAACCGAGTATTATTATCAGGCAGCCAGGAGGAGGAAAGGGGTGGAGAGCTCACCCAAATAGGGTTACAGGAAAATTAAGAACAGGCTAACAAGAGAAGGAGGATCTCTGCAAATCGCTCATTGAATGTTCCACAGGTGTTGGACCCTATCAAAGAACTCATCTGTTTTTCAGTAAGGAGTTGCTCCCATTAATGGAGAGGTCATCTACTCCATTAATGCTTATTTAGAGGCCTGAAAATTGGAGGAATCTTCTTTATACCATACCTGCTATGACCTTTGTGCCACAGTCCCCAGCATAGGGCCCCACACCCTAATTGGCAGACATGGGCACGGTTCTTTTTACTTTTCAGAGAAATACTCATGAAGGAAGGCCATTAAAAGGAAGTGTAGTTAACTCAACATCCATGCTCAAAGTGATGCACATTGTTAACCTTTGCTTTGCAAGCCCGATTCTAGCTCGCAGCTTTCCTGCTTGACTGGGGAAGTGTGAACCTTCCGGCTGGCTTTACTCTGGGCACAATGACTGAGTCATTCCTGGGCAAAGGAATGAACACTCGTCCACCTGGGACACAGGTTCTCAAGATGCCTCACTACTGCAACCTGTGGCTTCACCTGCCTTTGGCTGTGGGCCATGCAACAGTGGCAGTACAGAAAAGGAGCAGCCAATGCCATGGCCTGTTGCTTCCTGCCTTTGCGTCTTCCAAACAAACAGAGCGGCGACGAGAGAGGAAGATAAGCAACAGCAGCTTGTGCCAACCGTGTGGGGAAGGTAGATCCACCGAGCAGAGGAACTCCCTGATCGTGTCTTGCCCCAGGTCTCTCAAATGCTTGGAGCTGGCGCCGGTTGCACATGCTCCCCCGCTTCTTCCTCGTTCGCTTTGCAACTTTTATACTTCCTTCCTGCTATAAAATAGAGCTTCTTTCAAAGTGAATGCTTTGAGCAGTTAAGCAGACTCGTGCCTCTAATAGATCAGAAATGTGGAAACTGGTCCAAAAAGCATGAAAGAGCATGGCTGGGGGAGAAGGAAAATGTGAGTTGTGGGTTTCACCACTGCAGCCAGGTGTCTGAAGGGAGGAGCCCCAGAAGGCCATTACACCCAGCCTTACATTACCCGCTGCCCCACTGGGAGAACCAAAAGCAGCAGCTGTGCTAGAGTCCACTGGGCAGTCCAGGGCAACTAGGCTGGAAAGGGAGTTTGGACGCTTCAAGGCAGCCAGCTTGTGGTCCGGCAAGTCATTTGGCTTCCAGCTCTCACCAGCCCCGACCACCATACCCGAGGATGAGAGATCAGGGGACAACCGAGACATTTCCCCCTTGCCCACCCGTGTTCCGCACCAAGGCGATCCGGCGGAGAATTCAAAGCTTTGTCAGATATTTACTTTAAAGGATTTTCCCTGGGAAGACAAGACAGGAGCAACACTGGGAGGAGATGGGAGGGGTGCAAGACAAAGGCAACACTTTCTGGCCCCCTTGTAAAATTTCACGAATGAGGCAGAGGAGTTGCACAACCAAAGCCTTCTCGGGAAGCACCTTGCTGTCCTGGCCGGTGTGAAAGCCCAGCCTCTCTTTCTGCTCGGCTCTCTCTCTCCCCTTCCCTCTCACTCTCAGCTCATTGGATGGAGCTGCCTCTCCTCCTCCTCAACTCCGACAACAGAAAGGATGTGGCCTTGATGGGCACGGACCAGGAGAGCAACCTAACTGAGCACACACTGCTGCGCAGCCCACGTCCTTTCAGATGCACCGGGTTATTTTTTACGTGTTCTCTTGGTGGGGAGATCTGTTTATTTTTAAAACAGGATTTTCACTGTCCTGCTGGATCAAACTTGTGCCACATTTTTCTTTAATAAAAGGTTAAGTGAACCGTAGATGTGCAAGACAAGGCAAATATCAGGGGTTAACAGAAGGAAGTGAGTTCCGGAAGTGATTAAACGACGGGTGATGTGTAGGCATAGAACCAGAAGTGAGACCTGCTTTTTTTTGGTATTTGCTTTTCAAAGCAAAGAAGTTGCTTGATTAAAGGCAAAACTGTTCTGGGTAAAAAGGTGGCAATTCACACCAAAAAAGGTTCTGAAAAGGAAATGAACTAAACACAACGGAGCTAGAGAAATGAGGTTAGCACCAATGAAGACGGCTCAGAGGACACGGGCTTGGAAATTTCACAGCTTCTGGGTTCCACGTCTTCCTCTCTGCCCCCGTGTCTCTCCAGGCAGCCTGCCAACTATGGATGATATTTCATGCATCAGATAAAGTGGGCTCTAACCTGCTAAAATACACAAGAGTCCCATCGAGCTCTCCATGGCTTTGGAACAAGAATTCATGCACCTCTTGTGCCCTGATATTCCGACAGACTGAAACACAAACCTGCCTGTCACAGCTTCCTGGCCTGTTGTCAGAAATCCTTCTGCAGTGTGAGCTCCAGGTTTTGGGGGACAATTCCTGTTGTCACTAACTGCTCCTGCTACATTTTTCCTTGGTCCCTCTGGCTTGCTCACCAGGCAAAAAAGCCATGGAGAAAGCTGCTGGTAGCATCCCGTTCCTCCTCTATACCTTCCTGTAGCCAAAGCTCTCAGGGCAGTTGGCAACAACAATGAAAACCACAACATACAAGGCAAATACAGGATAGGCTGTGATCTTCTGCAGCAGGAATTTGGTGAGAGTGCCTACGCTTGCCGAAAATTTCCAAAATGATCCCTCATTTTTAACTTGGCTCCAATAGCTTAAGACCTGACCACCTGAGGGGCTGCCTGTCTTATCTTTTATTAAGTTATATAGAGCACCTTGTGGATGCAAGGCTTTCACAACAAGGCACAACAATTCCAAATGAAAAAAATATCAGCACAATAAAAACAAGAACACGAAAGACAGGAAAACCTCAAAAGAAGAGGTGATTAAAAAGAGGCAGCTGCACACCTTTTCTTTCCAAGAGAGCGTGGGACGTTCCCTAGTTGAGGAGCTGCCCAGGAAAACATCTTTTTCTCCATGTCTAACAAATAGGACTCTGTGGGTAATGAGACCTTCCCCAGAGGGCCCTGCCTTCAGATCTTCGTGCCAGGATGGTTGCAAAATCACACCATGCAACACTTCGTTTTTCTGTGTCATGGGTGCTGGCTTGATCCAACTTTCCTTGTAACAACATCTGGGCTTTTTAAAAAGTGCCCCTTTGTACTCTCATGCCTGTTCTTCCTTGTCTTTTGAGCACAGGGGACTTCCAGCCCAGTCGTGGCACAAGAGAGTGTACTTTTCTTCACTCCATTGGCCTAGACATGGGGGCAGTCCCCGGACCTCTTGCATTGCGGCTACACAGGTTCCACCACGGGGGTCCATGGCACCAAAAGGCGCTCATTTCAGCACCAAAAGATGCAGCTCTACACAACATCATTTCATTGTTGTGCTGCCCAGTGGACAAGACATGAGAGCTTCTGCTTCTCCTTGCAGCTGCAACAGATCTGCTATTTATAAGCGCAGCTTGCATTTATACTGGGAAGGGAGGGAGCCTGGTGCAACCGCTCACCTAGCACCCCAGCCTTCTAAATAAACAGCATAAAAAGTAAAACACAGACCCAGTAGTTATGCAGGAGGGGTGGCTGAGCTGTAGCACTCCAGCCGGAAGTGCGTGACTCATACTGGCTTAAATATAGCTTTTCTTTTGCAAAGCTCAGCCACATTAAGTCTCGCTTCGCATATGTACAGATGACAACTCTGCCGTGTTGAAATTATTTATGGAACTCACAGTCCAGCATTTCCCAGGGCAGATTAACCCAGTTTTAACAGCAAGGGTGAGGGAGTCCTTCCTACTCATTCTCCTAAGGTGCAGCACATCCGAAGACTTTTGTGGTTGTTAATTCACCCCCTGCTGCTCTAGGAAAAGAGGCATAATGCAACCCAGACTGTCAACTCCACTTCCCTTCAGGGGATTAAGCAGAATGAGTTAAGAGGGGGAAAGACAGGAAACCTTGCGCAAAGCCAGCAGCAGCGCTTCCAGCTGAATCATCCCAGGCTTGGAGCACATGAACCGCTGATGGCCGACAGTTCCTGCTGAGCGTTTGATGCTTCACCCTCATCGGCATCCTGACCAAGACAACTCCACTGCCCTCTTTTGGTGGGAGCTACTGTTTAAAATTGGGCTGGGATGCTGCAACGCACGCCAAGCAAACTGTTTTCTGAGGAAACAAAGGGAACGTTTCACACAAAAATAGGACCTATGTGTGGTTTGGAGGGTGACAGCAGCACTCTGTTTTGTTACCCAGGAGTTTAAAGATGGATGGAGTGCTTTTACTCGGAGCTGGCTTTGTGACAAGGATGCATCGTCACGGGAGAAACACGTGTTCTGCTCTCAGCAGAACTGGAGTGCGTCTCCATCTCTTTACTGCAGGGGTGTCCAACCTTTTGGCTCCTCTGGGCCGCATCGGAAGAAGAAAAATGGTCTTGGGCCGCACATTAAATGCACAAGTCTTCATTTAATGTGCGGCCAAGAAAAGTCTGTGCAGAATTTGTGGTATCTGCCCCCAACGTGCATACAAATAGCAAGAGCAAACGTGCATTTATTTTATGGGACATTGTGGTATGACGTTGCCGTTGGCAGAGTTCACACTCGAGAACCCCACGGCTGAGTCACCCAAAAATCGCAAAAGGATCTCAGTGTCTGTAGTTTACGGTTTTACATCGGGCCGCATCCGTAGCCCTCCTGGGCCACATGCAGCCCATGGGCCGCGGGTTGGACACCCCTGCTTTGCTGCTTTCCAGTGGAAAAGTTCTGGGAGGGCCGTGCTTTTGGGATGGAGGGGCTGCATCAGATCCTTGTGCAATTAAAAACAATGCCTAGAAGAAAAATGGGTGGGGAGCCAGAACAAAGATGAGCACCGGCAACTGGTATCAGGATTATTCCCAAAGGGGATGGTTCACTCCACACTTTGCCCGTTTAATCTCATCTATGAGAATTTTCCCAAAAGTGCACAGGCTTTGACTGAGCACCATCAGAAGCACATCCATTTTCAGATTATGTCTATTTCTACAAAGCGAAGAAGAGCTTAAACCAGGAAGTTCCCAGTTCAAATTTTATCACTACCGATGAATTCACAGAATAGTCCTATAAAAGCCAGTCTTCTCTCATGAGCCACTTCTCACCCCGCAAAAACAGGAATAGCCTTGGAAAATATCATTTTGATTTGGAGTCAGTGCAAAACCACCTGCAGATGTGGAGGCAGGGCAGACATTTCGCGCCTTACTGATCTCTTTGGCAGGCTGGTGAGAACCAAGTTGTCTCAAATAGACTATACACACACAGGTCACTCCAGTGCTTGGCTACATTTCAGAAAAAGTTGGAAGACGACTGACGAAAAGGGAAACAACAACAACGATTAAAAGTCCCTAAAAAAACAAGCCTGTTACTTCATACACATTCAAACGAAGAGTGAGGAACACAGCCTTGTCTAACGGAAGAGAAAGCAAGGTTCTGTTAGTGCAACTTCCTAGATTCTGTGCAGGTAGAGAATAGGGCAAGACGAGAACAAAATTTCCCCAGTTGTGCTTACCATCAAGTGGCGCGTGTGGTACATAGCACAGAATTTCACTTCCATCTCAGATTTCTAGGCCTGAATGCTTTGAAGTCAAAGCAAAATCCCAGCAGCCCCTGAGAAAAAGCAAACTCTCAAGTATTTGGGTGGGATAAAGATATTTCAGTACTCTGTGCAAAAAGATGAAAATCGTGACAACAGATTTTAGAATCTTGCTGCAAAGTTATTTTCATTCCTCCTCATTCTCTGGATGCTGAACATTTGCAGTCCTCATCAGATCGTTTTTGGTGCCCCTTCCCTTAGGATGTTTTCTTCTATGTGGATATGTAATTTTAATGCTTTGGTTCTTTCAAGGTTGGTTTTAAATCACAGTATGCTGCTTTAAACTGCACCTTGATGGCTTTTTAGTAGAAAAGACATTATATACATGGCAGAAATAAATACTTGTGGAAATGCTGAGGACTGTATCTCCCCTTCTTGTACAGGAAATAGGCTGCTGTCGCTCAGTACTTCTCTACCCTTTTTCTTAGCAGAGTAAGGTGACCAGCTTCAAAAATATAGTCTTTTATTGAGCTAGGTTGACTTTGCAATATAGAGTAAGTAACTGCATTATTAGTATGTCCATCTATCATAGCGGTGATCTCACTGATGGGTGGTGTTAGCTCTTGCCCACATCAGGAGCTGATTCCAAACAGAGTCCCTCCTCCCGACTTCTGCTCCAAAGGGGCTGGCTCCACCCTCAAGGAGGTTTGGGCTGCTTGTGGATTGGACAGCAGGAACACTTGACATTAATCAGTCCACTTATTTGGCTTGACAGTGAACTCACACCCATCCCCAGTGACCCTTCATATTCTCCTTAACCCACCCCTCAACCAGAGGCAATCTGGTTCTCTGGCATGAGCTGCTATATAGGACACAAAAGTCCTCTCTTTAGCACAGAATCTGAATGTTAATTCGTCATGGAAACTGTTGGCTGGATACAAGCAAGTGGAAAGTGGTCTCTTTCTGGAACACATCACCAGCCCTGCTGGATCAGCCCAAGGGCCCATCCTGTCTAGCATTATGTTCACACAGTGGCCAGCCCTATCCCTGACCCCACGGGCAGCACAAGAATGCCACAGGACCCTCTTTCCCATGCTCCCCAGCAACTGACGGGCATAATTCCTCTGCTACTGGCAGAAGCATAATAGCATTTGCACTGAGAGCTGCCTCCTCCACGGATTTGTCTCCTCCCCCTTCAAAACATCCAAATTGGTGGCTTCCACTACATCTTGGGGAAGAAGGTTCCAATTCAGTGACGTACTGAGCCTCCCACCAAATAGGCTCCTGAATTTTAGCATAATGACACGGGGGGGGGGGGGGATGAGAGCCACAATGAGGGGAGGAATGATGAGAGAGGGAGGCACATCTTTGTACACTTAAAATTCGCCTCCCCCTTTCCTGAGCTCTGCAACCCCACATATGTTGCCCCTTTCCTCAGAGGGGAGCTCCTCCAGCCCCTCGGCCACTTTCATTGCCCTTTTCTGTACTTCATCCCTTTTTTAGATGCAACACACATTGGCAGTTTTATTTTAGCTTCCTTTCTTACTTATGCCCAAGATGGAATTTGCCTTTTGACCGGTGCCACACGTCAGGGCAACATTCTCCCCGAGCTGCCCACTTCAACCTCAAGATCACTTTCTTGGTCAGTCACAACTAGCTCAGATCCCATCTCAGAATTAAGACACCTGCTTAGTCTTGGGTCCTAGTTCTCCCTTGCTAGTTTGCAGAGACCCAATCTCAAATACCAAATGATTGGCCTAAATTGACTGCAATAACATTGGCGCCATACCAGGTCAGACAGACAGACCAGAATTGCAAAACGAAGGAGGCGACCCAGGAAGCCAAGGCATCTAACTTTGCTCTTTTATTGGGTGTGCAGCAGACAAAAAACGCAGCCTCACAGCTGAAAGAAACCGAGAAACCAAACAACGAACAAGTGATGAGCTTGACTCACGCCATAGCCACGGCAAAGAGAATTAAAAACTGCGAGAGGGAGAGGGAAAAGACAAGGGCAGCTCACGAACGGAAATAACTGATGAGAGACAGAGCGGCTGGCCAGGATGATTGCTAAGCCAACCCCTACGCTGGCAGGGAAGCCTGGTGTGAGCACGTGTGTGAGCACGTGTGTGGGCAAGTGTGCAAGAGACCAACACATCGCTCAACTGTACAAGTCTCTGCCTCCGACAGAGGGGTAGGCGCCCTTGCACTGCGTCGCCAGCATTCAGAAGTCCCAGCTGCCCTTTTAAACAGGGGAAGGAGGGAGGGCGCAAAGTCAAAATCATCACCGAATGGCAATCAATCCGACATCCATCAGCTTCTGAATTTTCTGAGCGATGACTGGATTCTTCAAGTGTCTGCAGGAAAGAAGGAGGGAGAAGGGACTTGTCAGGACTTCGGCCGCCCCAGCCACCAAACGAAGAGGCTGAGCCATGGTTTGGCCTTTTTACAGAGTCATAATGGGATCCCTGTACCGGTACCTCCCCTGCAAGCAATCCACCCAGCGGAACTCCAAAAGCTGCTGACAATTAACAATTCAAGGAAGTGGAGCAAGGGCAAAGCTGTCACAAAAAACGAGCACCACAGATGTGAAGATGCTTTTAAATCCGAGACAGCTTTGCAAGACGGTCCGCAGAACAAAAACCTTCCTTGTCAGTCTCACGTCCACCCCGCTTCCCCTACACGGCCATGTGCTCACGCCAACCAGAACGGCCCAGGCCTAGAGGTCCTTCCCTGCCCTCACTCACTCGCTTAGTGCTTGTGGATCCTTTTGCATCTGCTCCAGGATCAGCCTCATGGCCGGGTCGCTCATGATCTGCTGCACTTCGGGGTCCGCCATGGCACGGCGCTTCACATCCTCGGGGTTGTCGTTGCGATTGTACTGGGACATGAGGCAGCGCTGGTAACCCTCAGCCGCTTCCTGCAGGAGATGGAGCGCAATGCTGGAGTGCTTGGAACTGATTATTTCCCCTCCTCGTCGTCGTCTTCGGTCCAATGGCAGCACATAAAATTCTATTTCTCTACAATAATTTCTAGTCTCAAATGGGCTGGATGAATACGTGTGTGTATGAAGGATGTGAGGAGCTCAACCTGATACGGATGACTGGATGGAACTTCCTTCCTCTCTCTCTCAATTACTGTAACTCTGTTGAGCTATTATTCAGTGAAGCTGGCAAATGATATAGTCAAGACAGACACAAAAGCGCTTTTCTGCACAATGCGTGATTAACCTGTGGTGTCTGCTGTCCCAAGTAGCGGTAGCCACTGGAAAAGAGGGCGTTGGAAGAGGCTCAGAAACGTTCACGGGGGAAGAGGTTTGGCAGCGGCGGCTAACTAAATGATAATGACACATGGAGCCTCCACGGACAGAGGCAATTTATCTCGGAATGCCAGTTGCAAAAGGACCAGCAGCAGGGTGTGGGAAGCTGCTTTGGTGCCCTGCTTGCTGGCTTCCTGGAGGTAACCGGTGAGCCTCTGTGGGATGGAGAATGCAAAAAGAGAACAGGGTGGGCATCACCCCACCGCTGCTGAATTTGCTGTGGCAGCAGCAAAAATCCTGAGCTTTTACTTCAAAGCAAGGCGAGTTTTATGCCGTTCCAGAGTTTCTTGATGCTGCCGAATTTGGGCAGAAAACCAAGTGGCAGAGGGGCAGGGCGACGGTCCTGCAGCCTTACCCAGCAGGCCTCAAATGCTTTTGCTCTCTATCAAAGGGGGCAGCACGGGTAGCATGATGAACGTGTCAGTGAAGTTAGGAAAACAGCAACATAAGGATGCGCAAATCATTTAGGAACTTCCCCAAGGGGGACTGGTGCCCGCCCTCCAGGGCTGCGCTTTTCTAGGAGGGGGTTTTATCAATGATTCGGCTAAAGCTTTAACCTGTAGAAGGATGGGACACAACACGCTTGGTGGGAACTCCCCATCCTCCTCCCCCCATCCCTGGTCCCTCTTTTCCGCTGCGGCAACAGCCGATTTGGTGCGCTCACCTTACAGCTCGAGTCCAGCTCAAGGGCCTTCTGATAGACATCCATGGCTTTGGTATAGTCTTTCATGGCTTCCAGAGCTGCGGCCTTGCGTGTGTAACCCTTGACTGGAAGCCAAGAGCAAGCAGTAAGTGCTTTGAACATGTGGATTGCGCCCCATCCTGTAACATCTGTGCTTTCTGTCTACTGTTCTTCAACAGGTGCCCTGCTTAAGAGCATATGAATCTCTTCAACTAACTGGCTGGCGGCTTTACCCTTTTTGGCCCAAACAATCCTTAAGGGCTTTGGAAGAACCTGTTGCTGAGTCTAAATCCCTTCCCTTTTCCTGCAGACCCCCATCCTCTACCTGCAGGAAACCCTTTTACTTCCCCCCTCCCAAGCCTTCAAGTTAATCTATTCAAATCCAGGTACTTACTGAATGAGGGCTCTAGACGGATACATTCTTCACAATCCTGTAGCAGGAGGAAGAGAAGCAAGTTTATTTTTAAAGACTGCATTTTCAGGGAAAAGCACAAAGCTTGCGATCCTTCCATCTGTTCATTCTCCAGCTTTTCAACTCAAACTAGCCTTACCACCAGCTTATACCCCCAGGAGTCTCCATCCCCTGCTTTCAGACTGCCATGTCCAGGAACAAGACCAAATCCCCAGGTAAGCCTGCCTTGGGGTGAGATTACTTGCAAGCACAGCAAATTCAGCAGCATCAGAGAATCTGAGCTGACTGTCCAATCAGACCCCTGCAGGGGACCATCAAGTTGCAAAGCCCAAGTAGTTCATTCCGAGCCATCCAAGCCTGGCATGGCATGTCAAACAACCAAATACAGGTAGGCAAGAGACTGAAGTTTGAAGCACCAGCTAAGCCTCGTTGTATTGGAAGACCCAAGTACAGTTCATGCCTTTGCCATGAAAGCCCAGCTCTCATCGACAGCTAGAACTGCGCCAAACCTAACTCTGGACATACACCACAAGAGTTTACCATCCTGGCATGGAGAACTACATGGCTGAAAGTGTCCTTATCAAAAACAACACCATGTACATCGAAAACTAGATGCCAAGGAGAAGGTTCGCTTCGCCTGTTTTCCCAGACACGCTATACTTCGACATGCAGCAAATTTCATTTTTAAATCTGAAAGCAACGCCGTCAGGAGGTCCCCCAACCACCAGCTTAAGTACAAGGGTCTAGAAGAACTTGGGGTGTTCGATGTGAACCGGGCCGTAGTGTTTATACTGTTCAATTACTCTGTAAGCACCCAAGTCTCATGAATTCTTAAAAACTTAATGCTCTTAAAAACCACAGGGAGGACAGCCTGTGAAAACAAAATTTTCTTTTGAAAGCAAGAAAGGCTGCAGATTAATGTCTTCACCCAGAAGCAGAGCTGGGTCCTTATTGTGCAGGATCAGGCGCCGAGCTAGCAAATCATCGGGATCTTTTTAAAATGAATGCTCAACTGACATACCCTTTCTGGTGACAGAACGCTGCAAGGGAGTGATGGGATTTCCTGTACTCAGGCCTTTGTAGAGGAAAAGGACTTCCAGTAAGGATAGGCCAGTCATGTGCTACAGAGGAAAGCTTGCCCTGAGATCACAAACCAGACACAAATGCATGGGGAGAACACACTGCTCTGGAACAACCATTCTAAAATGATGTTTATTTTATAGAGCTATTTTATAGCTCTTAAACCCCCGAAGAGCTATCATGGGGAAAAGGGCCAAGCCTTGCTCTTTGCAGCATCTCAGAGAGACAAGAGTCGATTCCAGGGGGCGTAGGTTACAGGAGAAATAACTTTCGTTGCTTATTAGGAGAAGCATCTTGTTGGGAAGAGCCATTTGACCAGGGGAAGAACAAACTGCTTGCAGGAGGTCTTCAAGCAGAGACCGGCCAGCTTCCTTACATTAAGCCAGCAAATCTAACTCTAATCCTAGGAAGCCCTTTCCATACTGGATTTATCTGCCACTGAACTGTAGCTCCTTGCAGGGACACGTTTTTACAGGCATGCTCAATGCACACAGAAAACTGCGGAAGTCAGGTCAGCTTCACCAGGGCCCCGCAGGAAGAGAGCAGGCCCTCAGGCATGCCCCACGCCCTTTGACACCCGTGCATCGTTTGGGGAAGAAGGCAGGCAACGGCGGATGGAAAAAGCTCTCTTCCAGGCAAGCGTGCCCACCACTGAGGAGCCTTTGACAAGCTTCCGGGGGCAGCTCTTGCCCAGAATACAGTTTGGAAGACGGGGAATCAGGGGTCTCACCTTCAGTGCTAACTGGAATTCCAGTAGTTTGGTGTAGCAGGCAGCCCTGTTGCTGTAGAGTTTGGCATCTTCGGGGTTGCGCTTGATGGCTTCTGTGTAGTGCTTCATCGCTTGTGGGTAGTCCCCTGTGAGAAAGAGCACAGGTTTAAATATTCCGCTGGTTGGAGGCTTTCTAGCTAGAATACTCTGAAACATCTTCATTGCTTTGCAGAGTAGATTTAGGCATGCGATGGCATCACCACTGGAGACAGGACGAACTGATAAAGGCGGTTTAGTAAAAGGTTATTTTGCACATATGGAAAGGTACTTGAGGATTGCTCTTTAGGACTTAAGAGACACTGCGGCTAATGCAAACTCCTTATCGACTTATTTTATGCCGGGCCAAATTCCCCACCCCTCCATCCCAACAAATACACCCACAACCAGGTCCGGCCTTCCTCCAACTCCACAAGGCTCTCCCCCTGCCATATTTCTGAGTGCCAGGGGAGTTTATCTGGGCTGCGATGCCTGCTTTGGCCACCTTCTTCTACAAGACTGCAGAGCAGCTTCCCGGCATCACACAGCCCTGGACTCCCAGCTCCTGATCTATACCAGCCACGCTGGATTATCCCACTGAACAACAACAACTTCCTATTGAGGTCTCAGCTGTTCACTGTCTACTCAGCTTTCTCTGGTCTTTTCTGTAACTCCACACACCAACCAGCAGGATACCTGGCTAGAGCTCAGAGGTGAGGGCTCAAAGGCACATCACTGCATGCCAGTTGCTAAGAACAATGGGAGGGGGATGTTTCCTTCTCAGCTTGCATGGGGGCTTTATTGGGTGGTTACTGCGGGGAAAGTGCAGGGTGAGGTGGGCCTGGATGCAGCTGGATGTCCCTTAGGTGACTAACACCGCAAGGCAAGCCAGCGCTATCTGTCCCCTCCTGCAGTCTGGACTGAGGAGGGGCCTGGAAAACACTGGCTTGGGAAGGCTCACCCACATACATTATGGCCAAGTTTTGAATGAGGCTTGGGTCAAAGCAACGAGTCCGTCATGTTCGCTAGATGAGCGAATGTGCCGGTCAGCCGCAGCATTTCCGCTCGACGTTTTGCTGTGGGTGGCTGAGGGGCCTCTAGGTGTTGCGAGGGCTCTTTCTGCACCAACAGGGGAAATGCACGCGTGTGGTGCTGCCGCTTCCAAAGTAGCCCTCTGCAGTGCACAGGGAAGCCCCTGCCCTCTGGGATGGTACCTGTCTGCTCACGCAGCCTTACACGCACACCCATCCTCACCTTTCTGGAAACACTCGTTGCCTTTGTTCTTCTCTTCCAGAGCCAGCTCAGGATTGATGTAGGCTAGTCTTTCCTGTTCTTTCAGGATTTTCTCAGCCTGAAAAAGTGCAAGGGAACATTGTCAGTTTTCGGAATCCCCGGGAGACGGGCAAGGAAGTCACTAGTTACTGGAGTGTCCACCTGTCTCCCTCCAGGTAAACCGGAAAACAGGGGAGAGGAGTTCTGGCTCTGCCCTTCACCCTAAGATTAAGCTATTAGCAGCATGTGTTTGGGAAAAGATTTATCATTAAGACATCATCTTCCAAACTTGCCATTCCTTATGGAAGTTGAGGACACAGGTAGCTCTTTTTGGGGGGGGGGATTTCTGCAGCAGCCGCAGGATGCCCATGCATCTTTGTTGGGCAGGTTGTCTGCTGGGCCTTGTGTGCAAGTTCTCAGGTGTGATTCCTGGCACCTCCAGTGGAAGCAAGGCTCAGGTGTAAGGGTGGGAAAGCCAGCGTTGGCGGCAGCATCTGGACGGGAGAGGGATCTGCTTTCAGTGCTGCATCAAGGACCTCGGAAGGGAACACTCGCCTGCTGGCACTTCTTCAGCACGTCTGGAGTCCGGTGCTCAGCCAAAGACTTGTTGTAAAACTGAATGGCTTCCTTGTACTTCTCCTCCTTGAAGAAAGAGTTGCCAATCCGTGCATAGGCTCTAGATGCAAGAACACAAGCTTAGAATCGAGTTGCTGGTAAGCACCTGGCAGGAGAAGAATCCTGACCCACAACTCGCCTGACGTTTTTTTGGGGCAGCTGTGGGAAAGGCACATTCCACGCTTGGTATTTTGAATGAATACAGGACGTCTGTGCTGGGATGCAAATCCACGGCACAGCCCGGTGTGGAACGTTGTGCACAGCTCTCCTTTATGCATCTCAGAAAGGATGGCACAACGCTGGGAAAAGTGTACCAAAGAGGGAGGCCTGCAATGCTTGGGGCTTCGTGGGGCGGGGGGGAGGAGCCGGGGGGGGGGAAATGGCAGAAGTCTATAGATCTATTCATGGAGTAGAGAAAGTACATAGGTCCTCTGCCATCATGCTGGAATCTGATGAAGCCATCAATGGACAAAAGGAATTACTTTGCCCAATTATTTTATTTTTTAAAATTGTAACGCACCCAGGAGCCTTATGGCTAATGGGGCAGGATAAAAGTCTAAATAATAAATTACTTATTCATATGGGACATAGTTACAGCTTGGAATTAAATATGTGGCATTAGGCAGAAATGTAGACAGCATTAACATGAGGTAGAAAAATTCAGTGACTATTAGTGCCTTCTAGTTAGAATGGCTATAGGTTAGTCCCAATTTCAGAGGTGCCAGGCCTCTGAATACCAGTTGATGGGCCGACAGTGGGAGCGTTGCCCTCACAACCTTCTTCTGGACTTCAGAAGCACTGGGTTGGGCACGGTGAGAAACAGAATGCTAGGTGAGATAGGCCTTCTGCTTGATCCAAATGGCCTGTGCTGTCTCTCTTGGCTGAAGAAGCGAACAAGCAAAGTTACCGAAGCCCAGAGTGTGCTGTATTCTCAAGCGTTCATCTCTTGCCATTCCCCTCATGCACAGAGAATTCTTCTTTCAAAGCTTGCTACTTCAAAGTGTTAAAGAGAAGCCTAACCAATTAATTCTAAAACTATGAAGAAAACACGTCTATTGATTGTGCGCAGAGTGCAAAATTTGCACGCACAATCTTCCAGGCCAAACCATGGATTCTCCAGTTCAGGAGGAACCGTCTGCCGTCCCTGGGAAAGACCCTTTTCTTTTTAAGGACTTAGAGAATGGTTCCCCATTAGAGCAGACCAGCTGCCCTCAATGTGGCTGCCGTTTGGTTTTAATTCCCCGAAGCTCTAAGCCTATGGCTAAGAAGACTGGGAGTTGTACTCTGAAATATCTGGAGGGGATGACACACTGGGGAAAACCAAAGTTGGCCATTCTCAGAGAGAGGAATTGAAAGTCTACGGTGGTCTCTACAGGTGAGACCATTGCTCAAAAGCAGCAAAAACAGTCTGTATGCAAAAGGCCCCCAAAATCAATTCTCAAAGAAAAGCCGGTGAGAAAGCTGGGCTTGTCCACCATCCCCCAGTGCCACACCAGTGGGCTCGGGGCAGATTCCCTGCTTCAAGAGAGGCCGACCGCTATGGTCGTGCTGGCGACTTACTTGGCAATCTGCCGGTAATCCTCCCGGTTCTCACGCCCTACCTCGATGGCCTGCTCGCACAGCTCTCGGCACTTGCTGTAATCTCCTCTCTCAAAATACACCGCTGGAGTTGAAGAAACATCACAGAAGTGAATGCCTGTTTGTATGGACCGGCTGCATCTTTCTAGGGGATCGTCTCCCACATACCTTCCCAACGCCCCCAGGATCCTTCAAGGCACTTTTCCAGGTGCCCCCCTCAAAGAGGACAAGTCACGTGACTGCATGAGGGGGGCACTTTTCGGCAATGGCACCCTGGTTGTGGAACGCCTTTCTCAGAGAAGCTGACCCAGCATCTCTGCGGCGGCCTTTTTGGTGTGAGCTGGAGTCCTTTTCAACGGTGGGGCTTATAAATTTGTTTTTGCACTGTTGTTTTCTAATGCCTTTTAAACTTAAGATGTTATGTACATGCTGTTTTTATGCTTCGTAGTTTCATATTTTTTGTTTGTATACTACCCAGACAATCTTTTCATTAATGGGCAACCTAGAAATGTTTTAAGTAAATAAAGACATTTCCAGCACAATTAGCCCCCTTTCACACCTGCTGCAGACTGCTAGGAGTAAACATCAAGGCTGCCTGGACTGGGAAGCAGCCCTGACCCTCACCTGCTTGATTTGTGATGTAAGTCATATTGGTGGGGTCCAACTCTTTGGCTTTGTCATAATGCTTCAGAGCTGCCTCAAAGTCTTTCTTCTTGTAAGCCTCGTTCCCCAGCTCTTTCTCCTTAATGGCCTGAAAGGGAACAGACACGTATTTATGAATGGTGGTCACTCCAGGACAGCAAGGCATGGTCTCCCAGAATTATAGGCTCTCTTACAAAGTTGCTTCTCTGGTCCTTAGGGACTCTGGGCTTTGCTGTTTTAGCACTGGGGCATCTGAAGGATCACCTCGGCATCTGAGGTCCAATTTGAGACAGGCAAGTGAGGCCCTGCCCCATCGCCAAAGGTCAGTCTAGTTAGCTACTAGAGACTTGGCATTCTTGATTATGGTGTGCCAGCTGGGGTGTATCCTCCCCAGACAGATCTCAAGCATCTTTTAGGTGCTAAGAGCAGAACAGTTCTGATTCGCTTGAGCACTGGGTTAGCTGTAGATGAGTCCATTTTTGTATTTTCTATCATTGTGATGTGTGTTAGCTGATGTGTGCTTTGGATACCGGGTTAGCAGAAGGTGGGGTGGATAAAATATGTAATGCATAAGATGGCATGACCATTTAAAGGTTTAAAGGAAAGCCGTCTGAATAAGAAAGGGGATAAACAAATGCAGACACAGACCATGGCAGCGGGAGCTTGTGGTGCCAAGAGCCCAGTCTCCTGGCCAGGAAACAGTACCTGCTTCTTATTCTCTGGCAGGTCTTCCTCCATAGGCTCTGGCTTGGGCTCCTTCTTGGGAGGAGGAGGAGGGGGCGGGGACATTGCTTCGTCGTCATCATCCGCACTGGCTAAGTCAACACCAAGCAGTACTCCTAGGGTTGTCATTACACGCGGGTCCTTCAGTTTCCTGCGGGGGCACAGACAGATCACACACAGACACACCGCCTGGTGAATGGAGTGCCAGAAGCCTAGGTTTTGATTCTGTCTCTGCCAGACTCCACCAGCTCCAAACCTGCTCCCTGGTTGTTGCTTTCCCTGGCAATATCATAAGGCTAACAGATTTATTATGGGATCTTAAAGTCCCTTGGAGTTAGCCCCTAAACCTCTGACTGTAACACATCTGTTTGTTTAAAATATCCTTCAGGCCTCTTGGTTCTTTCTGCTGAGGAAACTTCTGAACTTCACAGATGGAACCCAACTTGCAGAGTTACCAATTCCATTTTTTCCTTGGTTGCTCTGGGATTTCAGCTAGCTGTGTGGCAGGAAAGCCTCCCCCCTCCCCGACTCACACACAAATCTCCTAATTTACTGATGGCTTCGCAGAATCTAGGACGAGATTATTGACTATATTGTCTCGTGAAGATTTACTAGAAAGACTTTGAAGGTACCCTTGTCCTTGATGTAAGACAATGAAACCTTCAATAAAACCAATGAGACTTGTGTTCATGCCCATCTACTGAGTGTATGATCTTTATGCACTTTAACTTCAGTCCCTGGACTGGGATTTACCATTGGGTTCAGCCACACAAATTGTTCCTCATTCCACACAGCTAGCCTTGTCCAAACAGGATGCCGCCTACACCTGCGTTCCCTATCCTGTTTGGATACTTCCCTTCTTCACTTGATTCTCTTTTATACCTCAACACACTTCAAACAGACACCTTGTTATTTTTTATGGCACTTCCTGTGCCTGACGATGTGGAGGTTGAGCCATCCCCTGGCACAAAGGGCTGTAGCCCCTTCGGGGAAATCACCGCATGATGATTCCGTCATGTGAATTGGCACCCTGACACTTACGTCCCCAGGTCTGAAGGCTTGTTGCGGAGCTGCTCGATCAACTCCCTGTAGCTCGGGTCGTTCAGCAAGGCCCTCGTGCGGGGGTCATTCTCCAGCTTCTGGTAGAAGTTAGGCATGTTGAAAGGGTTCATGAGATTCCTTTCTGGGGTGGGTACGGGACGATGGAAGAAAGGGGTGATTATTTTCAAGGAGGCACAGCTGAACTTCGGCTGAAAGGCTCTTCTGTGTCACCCACAGTGGAAAACTCTGGGAAAATGCGGAAGGATTACCTCATGCAAGGCATGAGGTTCATGCTCTTACCTGCCTGCTTGGCTTGCAGGGCACCCCAGGTGGAAATACGGACTCTGGCAAATGACAGGAACTCTGGAGCCAAAACAACTGGGAAGGCCCAGCCTTGCATTCCGACTCAGACTACCAAGGAGGGCCGAGACCTGATTATCTGCAGGATCTCCCTTTCTTTCAGCACGAGGTGCCTGAGGTCATCTCCACCAGGCACTGCTGAAAAGAATCACTGCCCTAGAAAAGGCCTTGTCAATGCATCCATTTGGTGCTTCATAAGGGAGGCTTCGTTACCCCCTTGATCCTCTCAATGTACAACAATCCCAGAGGCTTGCTAATTTCAGGGATTCTCACCTCCAGCTCTGAACGCCTTAAAGAATCTGTGCCCATGGAGGTGTCGGCATTCCCCCCGTTTCTCGGGTCAAGCAGGTGGAGGCCTCACGGCTTGGAGCCCCTGAAGGGTCCTGTTGAAAATGTGACCCCGTTTCTTCTGACAAGCGGAAGGCCACTAAACAACTTGCCAGAGAGTAAGGCCAACTGAACTCCATGGGGCTTGCTTCACATTTGACTGACAGCACCACACACGCCTCTTGCTTCTTTCCAAACAAAGAATTTGAATACTGTTATGTAATAGCTTGTTTGCTTTCTCTGGCAAGGAACCCAAGGGTTCGTCCTCACAAAAGCCACCCTCTGAGGTAGGTTGGGCTGAGAATCTGGAACTGGCCCAAAGGCACCCAATGAACTTCATGTCCGTGTGAGGAGTATTTATTTATTCATTTAAAACATTTCTATGTCACCCCCATCGCAACAAAGCCTCGGGGCGGCTCACAAAGAATACATAAAAACATATATAAATAATAATATAACAATTAAAAAAAATTAAAAAACCCCCAGTGCATTCTCGGCTAAAAATTTTAAAATCCTAATGAATTCAATAATTTAACAATTAAAATAAGTTTTAAATAAAAGGTCTTAGCCTGGCGCCGAAAAACAAATAACGACGGCGCCAGGCAGACCTCTCTGTAGAAGCTGGGAGCTCCTGGGCCCAGCCCCAGCCCAGCCCCATAAAGTAATACTGTGAAGCAAGCAGAATTTTGTTTGTTTGTTGTTAAGCACAGTGTTGAGCAGTGTTTCTCTGAAAACAGTAACTGCTACAAGATAAACCTTAGCACCTGTGTTTCTTTAAAATGAACTTGCATTGAAAAGATTTGTCTGCTCCGTGATTAATTGCGGCACTTTTTAAAGTCAATGAAAAGTATGCAATAGAAGCGTTGCTCTGCCAGCAGGGAAAAAAAGGTGCACAATCACCAAATTCCCTTGTTGAACATCTGCAGAAAAACTCCAGCGACATAAACCTGGGGCTGAGGGCCAAACCATACCCAAGGGACAGGTTGGGGGCAGCTGTAAACCCACAGAAAACTGAATGGAAAGATGAAAGATTTACAAGCCACCCAGAGACTATGAGAATGGGATGGTATATAAATATTGCAATAAATAAAAATTAAATAAAAATGAGGAATTCTGCCCTCCCACCTTGTGAGTGTCATGACCAAGTCCAGACCCAGAACTCCCTGATCCCCAGATCAACACTCTAACCACCCCATCACACTGCCAATGAACAGGACTGCTCTGTGAATTTTATCCAGGGTACAATCCTATGTATGCTTAGAGGAGAGAAAAAAAAGTACTACAACTCGCAGCATCCTCCAGCCAGCATGGGCCTTTTTTTGCTTAGATATGCATACTGCAGCCCCCTGAGATAGGCTGGGGCTCTTTTTCCTTTGGACAATCAGTGAGGACTTGCATTAGAGGAAGGAGGCTTACATCAACCCTCTTTGTCAGAATTTTAATAAGGTCGACACACTGGACTAACCGGTCCCCAAGAGGTAAGAGTGTGAAGAAGCCTCCTGAATCAGACCAGGAGAACTCTCTTGGGCAGCATCTTATTTCCTACAGTGGCAACAGAGAGCTTCTGGAAGTCTGCTGGCAGGACTTGAGGGGCAAATATTCTCTCCTGCTTCTGCTTCCTGGGAACTGGTGTTGAGAAGCATGGCTGGAAGATGCTGGGAGCTGTAGGACCTTTCGGTGTCTAGACATGCATCAAGCTGCATCCATCATCAGTGGATTATAATGAGATGTTCAAGACTTTTGCTAGAGTATTTCCTGCTCCCTAATTTCCTGGCTGTTAGGATCACCACTGTTCCCGTAAACTGCTTCTCCCCAATCCAACTCCTGCAATCTGCCTTGCAGCCCCTGGCCAGACTTAGGTTTCTCCTGCCAACACAGAACATGATTATATCTGCAGCTGCAAGAAACAATCCATGTGTCATTACTCCGGCTATATGCAGAGAATGACTTCTTGGATTCCTGTCAAGAATAATTTCTCAGACTTCTGCTTCAAGTTAAACAGGGAACTAGCAAAGGTGCAGACCAGCCCTGAGAGAAAAGTATGGAGCCACAGTTCCCCTCACCTGCCAGCCGGGACTCCATGTTTTGCAACCCTTCCTTCAGCTGAGCATTGCCCGGTTCATGTTTCAACCCTTCCGCGTATGTCTTTTTAGCCTCCTCAAAGCGGTTCAGGAACTCCAAGGCAGCAGCCTTCCGGGAATAGCCCTGCAAAAAACAGGAGGAGAAAAACTGGAGGAAAAGCCAGAAAGGCTAAGGATCCACCTCCTTCACCAGGGAAGCTGGCGAGTGCCACCCCGAGCCCCTTAGTTCATTTAGGACACAAACTGCAAGGGTTGGGGACTAATTTGGGGCAGGTGTCAAAGGCGGCACTCGAGCGAGCAGGATGGCACAGGGACAACATAGCACAGGCCGGAGTGATGCATCTTACCAACAAAAAAGCACCCCACCTCTAAACCCATTCAGGCTTCGGGGACAGAAGCCCTGCTCAACAGCCAGGCCACCTCACCTTGCCCCACTCGGGCTTCAGCTCAACGGTCTTGCAGGCATCTTCCAGGGCCTTGTGATATTCGCCCTTCTTGGCATAAGCAGCAGACCTATTGCTGTAAAGCACGTGGTTGGCAGAATCCAATTTGATGGCCTCCGAGTAGTGCTTGATTGCTTCAGCTGTGTTGCCAGAGCTCAGGGCCTTGTTACCCTTCTCCTTCAATTCATTTACCTGATAAAATAACGATGACAGGAGTCAAAGGCTTATGAAGCACTCCATGTGTTAGTAACACAGCAACATAACCTATTTACACACTGAACTACTTACTGCATGCGGAGTACCTTGGGTGACTTACTCTCTGTCATATTCCCTCATGTTCTCATCATCTTAGAGGCATTATGCTATAAGCCGAGAGTGTTTGCAGTGAGACGAAGGAATAGCCTTGGCACAGAACTTCTTGCAGAGCTTTTCTATGGCCTTCATAGGCTTATCATAAACATGCTTGGTCGCTTTCTTGGCAGGGAATCAGAGAAACCGTATCATGGTGATGATACCCAAACACTTGTGAGGCATACTGAATACTTGAAGGCCCCGCACACGCATTATCTAGACGCAGTTCTGAAAATTACTTTGGTGAAAGTATTATCATCCCCATACTGCAGATGAAGACACTGAGGCTAAGATACCAGGACAGTTCAGGGCAGAGACGAAGTTAAACCCAGGGCCCTCCTACTTCACAGCTCTGCCTCTGAGTTGCCAGATTACACCAGTCCCCACAATGTTGAAATGGGTTAATATACTGCAGTGGCACTTGTGCAGTGCACAGGGGAGCGCTTCCTATCCTCAGCATCTGAACGGCCATCCTTCCCTTAAACACCAACTGCTGTGTTCTCAGGATTCACTCCAATCTCCAAACAGCAATCTGGGTGCAAAGACACTGGAATTATGTTTTGCTTCACCAGCCGAGCCTTGCACAGGCTCAAGCTAGCTGCATGCAGCTGCAGGGTCCTCCACAACACAGGACTGCATTCTGATGCATACTTCTATACGCAATGTATAGGTTGCACTTTGGTGGTTTTGTATGCCGTATCACAGTACATACATTCTCTCTCAGCAGCTTAAAATATTCCTCCTTTTAATGAATGGCAAGTGGCAGGAGTGCTTTCTCACAGAGTTGAACATTCGGGGGACCTCCAAGGGCCAAAGCTGTCCATGACTACGGTTAAGATACTTCCCTCTAGGAGGAAATGCAGTGAAAGCTCTCCCAGATATGACTCACTGCTTCCACAGGTAGCGTCTTCCATTAAGGAGCTTCAAAGGAAGTGGCACCAAGGCCAACGCAGCCTGCATCCATTTGCAGCTTATAATACAGTGGTACAAACAGAACAGTACCCATGTTGTGCCCAAGGCCGCTCGGGAGAGAACGACAAGCAAGCTGGGGGTGTGATGCCTGTGTTTGCAAAAGGAGAATCGCCTCCACCTTTGAGCCGCACTGATTTGGAACAAATGTGCATGGCTATCCATGTAAAGACCCTATATTAAAGGAGAGACCACTGCACAAAGCAAGATTTCACACACACAAGCCTATGAAGGCCAAAACTCTGCAGAGCAGTGGCCTTCTTTCAGAGAAGCATAATATCCTTAACATGAAAGAACGAAAGATGAAGCCATGGTTCTGTGAAATGACGTAGAAGGATTATTGCCAGGTTGCCATGGTGTAACACTGGTACTTTCACTCTCATCTGCTTGCCCTCCAGGCCGTTTTTCACTTGAAAGATGGGGAAAAATCTTCCTAGAGCTTTGGCACCTTTTGTTAAGTGTTGCCTCACGCATTTTTTCACACACAGAACAGATGCAATTAGAATGGGGATGCTCTTATCATTAGTGAGGAGTGATTGGATAGGGCTCAGGAATAAAGTACATAATTAAGGAGGGAGCATAGAACCATTTTCAGTCCTTAGATGTGCTAAGCACTACTTACAGTCCTTCCTCCCATTTCCAGCTGTTTCTTACGCTTCCCTCTAGTTTGACCATCACTATGTGCAACCAACACTCCCCCATAGATAATTTCCTACCCCAATTTCGAGGGCAGGAGTCATAAACCCAGCCAAGCCCTCATAAACGTGCAAGACTCAGCTTCCAGGATGAGGTTGAGCATTGGCATTTGTGCAATATTACAGAAAACCTCACCCGCATGTTCTCCTACTCAACAAAATCTCAGCATACTGTTGTTTCTAAGAGAAAAAGCCATTCAGGCATCCTTTCGGCTCCAGCTGGCATGGTCAGCAACACTGGGATTTCTCCTCCAAAACATCTAGAGATTGGGAATTGCTATGCCCTTTTCAGCCTCACCCCAACCACTCCCACTTTATACAGTCCCACCCCTTGTCAGCCACCACTGCAAACACCATCAACTCCTCCATGCTGGCTGGGGGTGATAGAGGTTGTAGTCAAAAACACCAAGGGGAAACCTGGTTGGGGAAGGCTGACCTACTGCATGGCCTAGAGTGTGGTCAGAAGGCACATCAGGCATCCACCGTGCTGAAGCTCAGCAGGTCTAGGGCTGGAGGGGAGACCACCTGGAAACTGCATGCAGCCACGTGAAGTTCCATCATGCGGGAAAGGTGGAATATCGACATGATACTGTATAGCTGAAGCACCACATTTCTGTAATAACCTGGATAAATATCCCCACACTTTCTGCCTTGAAGGCTCTCAAATCAATACCTGTTTCAGACCATCACACAGTCCTCTGCACTTCCCTAACCCTTTCTACATGCCCTTCTCTCCATATCCTGAAACCCTCTCTCCATTCCAGATCCTTCCACATAGATCTTCCCATAAAGCAGATCGAATCATATATCCATCCAAGCCTCCTCCAAGGCCTCCTCCAGACCTTCCCATGATGTCCTGGTGATGCATCTTTTGCCTTCAAGCTGCCCAAAATTCTCCCCATTCAAGAAGCCCACACACAACATCCCATAATACTTCAGATATTATTTCCCTTTCATTTCTAACTGCCAAGCCTCTCTGAGAAATCACAGAAAATTGTGACCTTATGTCCATCAGTTCACGCAAGGACCTGCCACCCTCCCCATCAGACCTCAATTTCCCATAATGCTTTGCTCAGATACAGCCTTATATCCATACAACTTCCTCCCCCCAAATCCCCGTGACCCCTTGCATAGTTATGCCCCTTCCTCCACAGTTGCCTCACGCACTCTCTCCAATTCTGAACCTCACGCACAACTTCTCATAAGCCCTCACACAAACAGGATCTCGCACCCATCCACCCACCCACACGTTGTCCTCCAACGCCCCGCCGTTTCCCATTTCCCGTAGTCCTCAAGAACCCGTCCAGACATGACGCCCGGGATATGTACGCCTTCCTCCACACATTCCTCCGAGACCCCCCAATCCAGACCCTGAAACACAACTTCCCATAATCCTTTGCCCTTTCAGCCATGCTATTTTTAAAGACCACCCCCCAGCGAGCCATTCCTGCCAATAGATGCGGTTCTCCCTCCAGACCCCCTTCCCAGGATCCCTTGCACCACGCACCACACATTCTCCCCCTCAAGACCACCCTGCTCGATTGACCTCCACCTTCCCGTGAGCCCCTGCGCGAGGCCCAGCCCGGCCCCCCATCGAGGTTGCCTACCTTCTCCATGACGCCGGCCAGATCTCCGCACCACAGCTGCCGCCGCCTCTATTTGAGACTTTTCCTCGCTCTCCCTCCCTCTCCTTCCTGCGCCCGCCTTTCCTTTTGCCTTCTGGAACCTGCTAGAACGCTCCTAGCCCGCCCCTGGCCCCTGATAGGCTCCCGCCTCTCGCGGGGCCGCGCCCACTTCTCCTCTCTGACGCGTTGATAGGCTAAAATTTTAAAAAAGCGTTTCTCCTCCTCCTCACAACTCTCAGTCAGGCTCTGAAGCCCCGCCCCTTCTACCACCACATTGGCGAGAATGTCGTTCCTTTCCCTTCGCCGGCTCCGCCTCAAATACAACCCCCCTGCGCGCGACGAAGAACTCATGACATTGGTCCATCGCACTTGACAGACTTAAAGGAGGCGGGGCTTGAAGAACTGCAATGGGAAGCCTCATTGGGAACCGACGTCCTTTCTCATTAAAAGGCCCGCCTTCAGGTTTCATTCAGCAAATTACACCGCGCTTTTATTGGGCAGCTCAGGCTGCTGACGTCATCAGACCCTGCGCCTATTGGCTGGAGGATTTTTTCCTCTTTTTCATTGGTTTCCGAATTTTTCCTCGTGGAGCGTCCTTGAATGGGGGAGGAGAAAAAGAGTGATGTCACCGCCATGCCTTTTACAAAGGGGGGAGACCGGAAGTTACCCTTTGCTCCCTCTGATTTTTCTTTTAGGTATGATATAATGCTACACCTTTCTGTCTCCTTTTCCCTCACCGTTTCGCCCATTTCATTTTAAATGTAACTATATTTTGTTAAGTTTTCGCCTTTTATTTTGAATCAGAATTTTTAATGATAGTTGTGTATGTTATAAAGGGGAGCTAGCATAATCCAGTCGGACTATTTTCATTTAAAACTGCAAGCTCGAGGCATCGGAATCTGTGGTCAGTTTGTGGGGTGCAGTAACAAGGAAACGCATCTGGACCTGTTTAACCTGGGGGGCGGGTTAGGGTTAGGGAAGGGAACAGGGAGAACAAGTTTTCTGTAGCTGTTCCTTTTTGTACACTTTATTTTAGAATTTCATAGTATGGCATGTCTTGAGGGACACAGACCACAATCTGTTTAAACCACTGTGCTGCTGCTCTGTGCTATAGAGGGAAACATGCAAGATTAATATCGCCACTATAATTAGAAGCTTGGCTTCTGACTTGGTCTCTGGTGCCCTGGCAGCCTGACTAAAATTAGCCCTGCCAAACAAAGGGGTAACAGGTCCATTCGGGTGAGAGATGAATGCTCTTCTAAAGGCATTGAGGAACTCAATCACTGAACCTGGGTGCTCTTGATCTGTAAACTGAGGAGGTGGAAACCAATGCTTCAAATTATTAATAATAAATCATTATATGGCACTGCTAGTCAAAGCCTCAGGCTTGTAGGCAGATTTGCCAACTGTCCCTGATTGCCTTCATGAGAATAAAAATTAGCATTGATGACTAAGGAATGGTTCCTTAAAGTAGTGTTTCCATTTCACTACCCCATTGAAAGACTTCCCTTGTGAGAATTCCTTCTCCTTCAGCTGTTACCAGTGACACTTCCAGCAAGCTGAGCTGAGGGAGAGTAGACTGTCTCACCAGGCCTACCGAAAATAATTATTGTTTTTCCTCTTCCCTCTCCATAGCTTTTTCCTTATATGCTGTGCCCTTTTAGATTGTAAGCATCTGGTTAACTGATTATATGAAAGCTGTTCTGGGATCTTCATTTGGCTGAAGAGCAAATGAAGCCATTCTTTAAATAAACCAAACAATCTGGTGATTGGGGCCTCTCCCTATGACTTCATTATCCATGTCTATTGGCCATGCTTGTTGGGGCTGAAGGTGACCCCAATCAACAAGGTGTTAATAATAACACCTGCCCAGAAATAAAGGATATTTCATGGTAAGCCTCCTATTCTGCAGTCTGCTGCCCTTCCTTCCACTGGGGCTGCAATGTCACTGTCTTCCGCTTCTAATTCTCCTATGTTCCCCACCACTTCTTCCATCCTTTTCCTCTCCTGCAAAAAGTGCTAAAGAGGAAAGAGTAGAAGCTGTACGGAGAATTTTGCCTGGTTGTGCTGGGAAGCAATTGGGACAGCTCATAAACCTTCCCGTAGGTCAGACCAGATGAGATGCCTGGATTTGCCTTCATATTTCTTCTTAGTTCTGCTTCTAGAACTGCATTGCCCAGGTAGGAACAGAGCCAAACAAGGAAAGAAAAGGGGGAGCAACTTGAGCAGCGTGGAAAAGAACCGCAGAGTTCTTGAGTTATCAGGTCTTGGCAAAATTACACCTGTAAAAAATTGCTTCCCCTTTTTAATTGGCTGCATCTGTTTGTACCTAATTAGCAATCCACACCTGGTCTGTAATACAGTGGTAGGCAGCATGTTGCAGTCCCCACGACCTGCAAGCAGAATTTGCAGAAGAAAAAAACACTTAGCCATTGCTGAATTCAGCATGCAGTGGCAGAAGAATGACGTGTGAGGAATTTGTGTGTCCAGGAGGTCAGCAATTGCTCTCAGATGCCTTGGGGCAGCCCGTCCTGCCACACTGGGCCAGATTGTGGCCTGAAGGAACATCAGGCAGCCACCATGCTGAAGTTAAGCAGGTCTGGGACGAGCCTGAGCCTGGAGGGGAGACCGCCTGGGAACTGCACGTAGCCACCTTAAATTCCACAAGGGGAGAAAGGTAGGATATAAAGAAAGTCTGGATGGTCCTTTATGATAGGGTGTTAAGAAATTCAGAAGCTGTTAGGTGCAACAGAAAATGTATGCTTATTTATTTAAACATATTTTCACACCAGCTGCTATATACAATGTATTCAGGGAGTGTACAAGATTAAAACCTAAACATCAAAATATAAATATGTAATATAATCAAGACATATTGCAACAGTCATCAGCCGTAGAAGACAAACAAGCAGAAAATCAGAATGACATTATATGCTATTGAAAGTTGAGGAAAGAGGGAGAGAAGATCAACATGCATCTGAGCCTCAGAACTGGTTCATGCTTTGTCTCCAGAAGGAGGGTGCTCCAGAGTGTGGATGCCTTCACAGAAGTGCTGTTCCTGAGTTCAGTAGGTGGCCACAGGTCAGATGTGGCACAAGTAGGAGGGCCTTTGATGGCGACTGCAGCAGCTGGTGGGAACATACCTGAGAAGGTGTTCTCTCGGGTATCCCTTCCTTAGGAATGAATCGTGCAAGTTTAACCGTGTTGCAGGAGCAAATCGGCTGCTCATGCGGGTCTCCCAGCAGCAGTGTTAAGTTGTAGTAGAATCCCACTGGATCTCCTCTCTGCCTTCTGCCCTAACTGCGGTTTCTTAACTTCAGAGTTTGCTGCAAGAGTCACTGTGTTGACACGAGTGCGGAACCTCAAGTCTAGGGACCGAATCCAGCCCGTGAGAGGCTGCATGCTCCCATGGCAGTGGGGCAGCTTTGATGGGGGGCTTTACGGGAGCCCCGTGGCTAATGAGGCAGGTTAGAAATCCAATCAATCTGTGTTGTGGCACTCCATCTCCAAAGTGAGTCCCCCCTGTTGAGCATCATGGATTGCTCCTATAAAGCTCACCATGAAAATTGCAGTGGAAAAGGAGCTCCGTTGATAGAGCAAAGGATCACTCCCTTTGTCCTGACTGCTGTGGGTTTGTTTCCTAGTTCTTGTGCTGGCGCCTGCTGGGCACTCTATTCTTAATGACTGAAATATTTATTTAGAGTTTTTGTATGCCATCCCCTTGCTATATAGCCTCGGGATGGCTCACACAAATAAATACATAAATATAATACAATTAAAACCCGGAAACACCCTAGCTGCACAATTAAAACCTATAAATATTAAACGTTGTTAAAATATTGTTTGAATAAAAAGGTCTTACTCTGCTAAGGCTTACTTAAGGCAATAGAACCTTAAGCCTAAATATTTATTCATTCTATTTATACCCTGCCTTTTTCCTGCAAGGAATCCAAGGATCTTTATGTGATCCCCCGTTATCTTCACAACCCTGTGAGGTAGCTCAGGCTGAGAGCAACTGGCCCCAAGTTGCTAGGTGAGTTTTACAGCCGGATGGAGACCAGGCTACTGGATTCCCAGCGCGCCTTTTGTCCTCAGTCTCATTTGCCACTGGGTTGCGACCTCAGGAAATAAGACTCCGCTTTCTGGATGAAAAAACGGTGTCGGAAGGGAATCACCGCAGGGTCTGTGCACCCACTGTCAGTATAGGGCGCAATTTTTAAAAAACAGGCTGCATTGAGGAAGCGGTGCGCAACCTGAAACTGGAGGGATGTTGGCCGCCTCCGGATCGGAGGGTGCGTGAGAAAGAGCGAATGCAAGCGCGACACGTGATACACGCACCTGTGCAAGCGCGACGCGGTGGAGAGAAAAGGTGTTTGGCCGAGCGCATGCACGTCTAAAGCGATGCACACGCCCGGCGGCTTTATTTTGCACGGCCTCGGGACTGGCTGAGGCCGCAGCCTGGGAAGCGCGGCGAAGGAGCCGGGGTGGAACTACATTTCCCAGAAGCCCTTGTGCCTGGCGAGGGAGGGAGGAGAGAGGCTTGGAAGTCAAAGGCCGTTATCATGTGTTGTCGAAGCAGCTGCAGCAGCTAGGAATCTTATCCCCTCTCCCGCTGAAATACCAGGTGTTATAAATAAGGGAGAAGAATTTCTCCCGCCTGGTGGGGACCAACCAGAGCCGCAGGCCGAGGCATCCTCCCTGTCCTTTGCCCGCCCTGGCCTTGACACCATGCCAGGGTTGCTCATGTCCATGCAGAACAGGCTGCCTGGAGCCTTTGCAAGGCTGCTGAGCGCCTGGGGCAGGTGCCCCGGAGCAGTGCAAGGGGGTGGCAGGCGGCGTGTGTGCAGTAGAGGCAGGGTCCCCGTTTGCAGAGCACCCGCTCCCTGGGTATTGGCAAGGGGCTTCCGGAGCTGGGCAACGGCTGCTCCGTTGGCCATGGCAGCCAAGGTAGATTTGACCACTTCCACCGACTGGAAAGAGGCTAAATGTAAGTGAGAGGGGGAGCTGTGGGGCTCAGGGCGTGTGTCTGTGCGTGTCTGTCGTGTCCCGCCGCTTCCCTCCGCGGGCGAGCTGGCTCCCCCAAGCACGCCCTGCGCTCTCCCCGCAGCGGGGCATCTCTGCGGGCCCAGGGGAGCCTCTGCATTCCTGCTGCCCCCGCTCCGCCAGCCACGGCCGGGGGCACTCTGGTAATCCCGCTCCGGAGCCAGCCAGCCAGCAGCCTTGGCTCGCCCCCAAGGCCCGGATATTTTGAGAGCGGCCGCCGGCCGCCGCTCAGCCGAGGTCTCCGCGGTGCATTGTGGGGCACTGAGCTCCCCGGCCGAGCCGGCGCTGCCTGCGGGAGGGCTTCCCGCGGTGCATCATGGGAAGTGGGAGCGGTCTCCTAGGAGACGGGCCCGGGCAGCCATGTGTGTCCCAGTGGGCCTAGGGAGGCCAAGCGCTTTTGCTCAAGGGAGCGGGGCTCTGGGGCAAGGAAGGGCGGCTCCAGACTGGCAGGGGTGTGTTTCTGGCCTGCAGGCCTGTGCCAGGCTGGAAGGCAGGCTGCCAGCGGGTTTTTTTGTTTTTTCCTCCGAAGGAGCAGGCTATGCTCCTGGGCTTTGGGCAGCAGCTGAGGTGAAGGGAATTAAGTGGTGCTTATCCTTGCTCTAAGATTCTGCCACTTTGCATGGCTTAACAAACAAACCCTAGCAGAGCTAGTGGAGCAAGGTGGCAACTTAGTACCATCTGCAGCCTGGATGCTAAGCACTGCGCATTAATCTGTGTGCATTCAGGATGTCATCTCTTAAGTGTGCAATCCTGTGTAAGTTTAGATGGCAAAGACCTACAATGCCCAATATGCCTCAGCCAGTCTCTTATTTTTCTTTCTCCCTGCACGGAATTGTGAGCTTCAGTAGCAATTTTATGCATGTATTGTTTTGAGCTTCCTAGCCCAAGAAGAAAGGCTGAGAACCCAGAAGGCTTTCCATAGCCATGGTGGGTGTTTTTGTCGTATGAGGGCTGTTGAATTCCCACACCTTTCCAGAAGGTTCTAGAGAATGTGCTGCATGTGCTGCTTGAAATGAATCAGCCCCATGAAAACTGAGGTTAAAACAGGCTGTCCTCACCAGATGTGTCGGACTTCAGCTTCCAGCATCCCTCACCATTGGCTCTGGTGGCAGGGGATGCTGGGAACTGTAATCCCATGTCTTTGGAGGGCAGCTTTACCTTGATGTTGTATATTTTGATCTGGCATGGAGGCTGAACAGTATTTTTTTTAAAGATGGGTGGCATGCCATGAAGTTTAAACAAATAAGCTCTAAACCCTATTTTTTTTACAGGGCTTATAAGGGGTGTTCATAGAGGATGCAGAACTATTTTTTATTTAATGTATTTTTTGTCTTGCAACTCAGCCAAAAACATTCCTGGAGTGACTTATAAATAATTATTTAAGCAAAAGGGCCCTTGTCCAGGGGACTAACAATCTAAAACAATGTGGCACAGAGAAACAAGTGTTGACTAAGGATAAGGAAAAACAATGATACCTTGTAGCTACCTTAGCTAATGTAGATAATGTTGCCTGGTGGATACCATATCATAACAATAATAGTAACTTCCATTGCTAAGAGGTGATGGGGTGCTACTTACAGGATTGTCCATTTCAGCTTTTAAAAAAACTTTGGAGACCAAGTGCCTGAGCATGTTCAGAGCATCTTTTGTGAAGGGAATTAGGAGGAAAGCGTCAAAGGGGGTGGACTCTCTACCTGCCATGCAGCTGATAAAAGGCTTAGGGTTGGGGTTAAAATTAAAAATTGGCAACTTGAGGGCATATATCAGCTCTGATGTGGCAGCTGCTCCAGGTTTTACGAGGCCTCGTGAGGACGGTGAGAGCCCAGCCGTGCTGTGGGCCTCCCGGGTGGTGTGTGAAAAGCATAATGGACAGCCTGGATGCTGTGGGATCTAGCAAACCTCTGGCCGAGGGCACGGATGCCCCGGTGTTTTGGCTTCTCTAGAGTCCAGCGAGTGCTAATGGAGAGTGAAATGACACAGGCCTTTGTTGCATAGCAACATCCCTTCCCAGATGGTTTTAGCGGAGTTCTGGACTCTTGGGGCTGATGTTTGCTAGAGGGCGCATGGGTACTGCAGCATCCCTGGCTCAGTCAGTGAACCCTTAAAAACTGCTGCCAGGGCGCAGTCGCTGTTGTAAGACAAGACCCTGCCAAAGGCCAGCTGAGCTCCCGTCGAAGGCTGAGATCTGTAGCAGCAGGATGTCACAGGCGTAGCTCCGTGGCCTCAATGCTAGCTCGAAGATCAGCCATTTTATAAACCAGCCCGCTCCAAATCGGAAGAGGGACACACTGCCCAGTGGTCTCCCCACAATGAAATGCAGCACATAATCAAGGGCTTAGCTAGTTGTGATGGCAACAAACCCTCGTGTTTAAATGTGGAGATGTCCCCATTTTGTAGAAATTGGGGCTGCGGGGTGTAATAGCCAAAAGGAAACTAGGAGAGGAGAACAAAACCTACATCACACACCTGGTGTTCTTTTTCTTGAGAGCTTTTATTTCTTAGCTTACTGGGGAGAAAAACACTCAGATTTTATGAGGAGAGGGTTTATTGCCTTTATGTCCCTTTTGCTGTTAAAAGCTTATTTCCTATGTGGCATGAGGAATTCTGTCTCCAAGGTCATGAAGACAACTCCAAGGTCATGGAGACTCCAAGGTCTGTCTCCAGAACTTCTAGCTGTTGTATCTGGACTGACCCGAAGTAACTCACAGTTGGGTGCTTTTTAGTGCTGCCCGCTTTTTACTTCATCTGCCAGCAGGCACTGTGACTGTAACTGTCTCCTTCTCATAGCATAATTTTAGCAACACCATCAAACAAATGCTTGTAAGGCTGCAGTCTTGCATGCACTTTTTTCAGAGACAGCCTCACTGGCTGGCAAGCCTGTGCATGTCCGGGCAGAAAAATTAAGGATGTTGAGAAGCCTGGTCCAAAACGGCTTCCAAGGCTTTCCCCGGGTGCTGAAATGCCACCCCAAGGAAACCGTTCTGCTCCGGAGAGGCCACTTTGGAGTTCCTTTTCCCTGGCTCTGACTCATCTTGTTGCCAATGGTGGGGAAACCCGGGAAAGGGCTGCCAAAAGGGCATATTGAAGGCAGGGGTTTTGGAGGTTACAAACCGTGGGGTCTGTAAATAGTTGCTAGTCTAGTGGATGAAGTCTAGCATGATGAGTTGCTGGGGAGACAAACGTTTGAAGCGGTGGTGTGTGAGCAGCTAAGTCTGGAGAGACTTCCCTTCTCCTTTGCCGTACGTCATCCTCTTTCTGGTATCGGTGTCGGCCTACTCCCTCCTGTCCATCCAGGGCTGTGAGGAAAGCTGCTTTTTTATTTATTTATTTAGGAGACTTCTATGCCGCCCCATTTGCCGAAGCATCGGCGGCTCACAACCATAAGTAACTTCAATAAAATAATATAAATCAACAGCTTTGCAGCTCTTTTCCTGGCCTTGCTTGGCAACTGTAAGGGCTGGGTTTGTAAACTTTTGCATCCAGTTCTAATGTCAGAGATCATACCCCACAACAGGTGACATGACCCTAGGATCTCTTCTGGGGAGCATAAGTTTCAATGGACCTGTTCATAAGACCAAGCTGATTCTCGTTTCTGGTCCAAACGCCTCCCAAAAGAATGTTTCCAAGTTTTTCTGCTAAGTTTGGATCCATGCTTCTCTATGTCCCACTGATATACTATTTCTTGTCTCTCCCTCTCCCACCTCCTTTATTTGCCGATTAGCCTTTCTTAAAGGCTTGAACAACAAGCAGCGGCGAGAGCATTACTTCACCAGGGATTTCATCAAACTGAAGCAAATACCTACCTGGAAGGAAATGGCCAAAAGTGAGTCTTTTAAAGAATGCTCTTTGATCTCTCTCTCTTTTGCAGTGTGTGTGTTTGCGTGTGTGCATTTCAAGAGGAAATCAAGGGCTGTGGAGCAGTTAGCTGACAAAGCTGCTTACTTTGAAAACTGCTCCATCACCAGATTGGGTGGATGCCCCCCAGTTTGGATGCCCTTAAAGGGGGATTTGATAAATTTATGAGTCATGAGGCCATCAGTGGCTACTAACTGTGATGGTTGAACTACCTGTGGTTTTGGGGGCCACCTGCTGCCAGGAAAGAAGAGCTGAAAGGGGCTCTTGCCTTCCATCTCCTGCCTGTGGGTTCCCTGCTGGGGCATCTGTGGGAGCAGAGAGCTAAACAAGAGTGGTCTAATCCAGCATAGCTTTCTTGAGCCGGCCTGACTTGCTAAAAAGCAGCTTGCTCTGTTCCCACCAACTTTTCCGTGTGTGATCTTTGTCCCCTTGTCTCATCCATGCCAGGTATCCGGGTCAGGCAGCCCGAAGAAACTGTTTTCCCCAAGAATAATAGTCTGAACGAGAAGATCTCTCTCTTCCGTGGTGATATCACTAAGCTGGAGGTGGATGCCATTGTCAACGCAGGTGGGTGAGACTTGGGTCTGAGTTTGTCTTTGGCTTAGTGGGAAGCGAAGCAGTGCAAGCCAAGGTAGGTGCTGTTTATCACTGTGTGGGAGCCCATGCCAAGATTCTGAAAACTTAAAACAGGTCCTGCAGGTTTTGGTCATCCTTCTCATTCTTGTTAGACTGAAAGACACAGGTGGCGCGATGTCTCTGTTGCAACATGCTGCTTCAGCATCCTCTTAAAGTAGCCTACCTGCAGTTTCCATTGTAGCGCCGTTCCCTCACAAAGTTGATCTCATTTAGGCGAAAGAAAGCCATGGTGTGACGCTTTTTAAGAGAGCTGAGGATCGCAACGTACACATGCATCCTACTCTTGTCATAAAACTGGACTGAGTAGGCAGCAATCAGAAAAACCGGGGTGTATGTAATAGGGAAAGATGCTCCTCTCTCTACATAATTTAAATTGCTCTTAAAGTCAGTCTTGAGCGTAGGAGTACCAACTCAAAAATGCTGAGTGTGAACTTCCGCTTTTGCTTGGAAAATGGTTCTGTGTGTAGGAGACTGGCTCAGAGGATAAAAATATGTGGAAGAGGGAGGAACGATGTTGCATCTCTGAGCTGGCACTGCCCTGTTTTAACTCTCATGTTCTGTAAATCTAAGAAGTAGGTGAACGTAAATAGATTTCTTTATGCATTGGATTGCAATGGCTGGCTATATTGTTGGCACTAGGGTAAAAACATTTTATTTCTTTATTTAAAACATTTTTATGCTGCCCCCATCGCAACAAAGCCTCGGGGCGGCTCACAACAAAAACAAAATATACAAATATAACAATCTGTGTATTTTTATACATGGGATGGGAAAGAAAAATATTCAAAAGGGACGTATGTGTGGGACTCTAAGATGTCTTCCTCGGTTGTATCTGACTTAAACTGTGATGGGGAAGGTCCCAGCCAAGGATCAAACTCAGAAGAGTTTGGACAAAACCAGATGTGCATATTTCTAGTTGTTGCATTTGGCCGCGCAGAACAGCGATTGGCTGGCGGCTGTCCACACGGCGTGATATTTTGGAGTGCATTTTCAGCTCCATAAAATGTGTTGTGCTTAACCCTGAAATGATGCTGAAATGAGAGTTCAGTTGCATAAACTTACAAGAGGTGCTTCAACCGTGGGGCATGTGAATGGAGGTGTGGCCGTCCATGTAGAGAACTGGATTTTGGGAAGATGCAAGATGCGAAGCTTTGAACCACTGGCCAGTATCTCAACCACGTTATTCAGGAACGTAGCACCATCATCGTGCATAACCCTGCACATAGCACATAATACAAGACAACACTGCCCTGTCCCCAAAAAACTTTCAATATAGCATTCCAGGCAGGTGAAGCCAAGGAAGTGGAGGAATTAAATGTACTGGTAAGTAGGAAACGTATATGTAATTGCTTCCATTGCACTCTAAGGTCACGGGGGTTGAGGGGAAGTGGCATGCTCGCTTTTAAAGTCTGTCTGCACAAGCTCTAAGCTGCGAAGTGAGTCAAGGTCTGGTTGTCATTCCCCGCCACATACACTAGAGGGTGGCAAAGCCTCATGGTTCTGGGTTAGTTCCCATTTTAATTTTCCTACCTCAATAAATCACGGCGTTTATTAGTGAAATAAAAGTCCTTGCTAACAAGAGGTTTTGCCGGCGCTTCGTAAATCCTGCTTTTGTGCATCATGAAGCCCATATGTGCTTAATTCATATGCAACGTCACAAGTGGGGCTATGATACGCGTCTATTAAATTCTAGGAGACCCGAGAATTATCACGAGCTGTGAGCCATTACCTGTGCGGATCGAGGCCAGGTGCTGCTTGCTGCCATCATGGTGGTGCCAGGCACGCTGGGCTGGGGGGTGTGGCATGTGCCTCGGGAAGGGCAGGGCTGTGTCACGCGGGCGAGGGAAACAAGTGGAGTGTCTATGTTGGCTCCCTGGCGGGAATCGTGTGATTGCGAAGGCTCTCGATGGGGGGGATAGGTGGGGGTGGAAGGGTGCGTGGTGGGACTCTTGGAGAAACGGGTGGGCCTGGCCCACCAGGGCAGGGTTTGGGGCCAGAGGAGGAAGGCCAGATGCTCTCTTGGCATGCTGTAGCTACTCCCTACCATGTGGCTGCGCAGGGGTACCAAACCTCCCTCAGCTACAAATTGAACTGAAGGAGTGGGAACACTGGCTAGGAGGGCAGACAGAAGAACAAGGTGCTGAGACACCTCTGGTTTTTCGCTGTTCTTGTCTAAACCTTCATGGTTTGGAAGCGTGCAAAAAGTTAGGTTCTAGTCCAGTGTGCCCTCGCTCCAACATACTAGTTTTATGCCTGTCGGGATGTGCATTTTTGTTAGTGGATGCTTCTAGGCAGTCTTAAAGTAGAGTTGCTCAGCCATAGTCCTAAGTTTAAGGAGTGATGACATTTTCCACTTGTAACTTTCTTATGCTTTCCTGTCCTCTTTCTTTTCTTTTTCTTTTCACCAAAAAATCTGTTGAGGAGAACGTTTTGCCAGTTACTTTTTATTTTCAAATGAATAAGAATCAGTATTGTATTATAATATATCAAAACAGCGGGAAGCAAGTTAAACAGCTTGTTTATAGCAGAGGAAGAAGTAACTGTAGAAGTTCTTGTAGGTGGACAATAAAGCACAAATCCTAGCTCAAAAATCCTGGATTGTAGAAAGGAAGAGTTGGCTTTATTCATGAAATATATTGCCCACGTTGCATTATAAAATAATCCCAAAGTGGGTCCAGCAAGGTCTTCACCTGCTGATGAAGAAGGCACCAGATACACTTTTCTGGAATTTGTTCTACCGCTGGGGTGTTACCACTGAGAAGACCTGTTTCCCAGTTAACGACCTGCTTCTCGGAGCAGGTCCTCTGAGGGCTAGTGGGTTGGATTTGGCCCCCAGGCCTGGGGCTCTGCACCCCTGATTTGTAGGGATTGGCCTCGCTTCTGTCCAAAGACAGCATTTCAAACTCCAAAGCACAAACCTCGGAAGCTGAGCTAGACAAAGAAGAGGAGGGGTTTAAATGCATTACTGAAATGCCAAGGTTTAATGAGCAAGATTAGCTTAAGTGGTTGCTGAGATCCGTTCTGCCTCTGATTCATGGGGAGACCCAGTAGAACAAGGTGGCTCAGAGCGGCAGAGGTTTGAGTCCATGAACCCAGTGGCTCGTCAGCTAGCTAAAGAGCGGATCAATTAAGTAATGTCTGGTTTTCCTGCTGTCTGGTCCACGAGTAGCTTGCAAATAGTTGGTGACCATGTGCCACCTCCTTTAGCAGAGTGGCAAGCCTGCATATACCAGTTGCTGAGGAGCTTGGGCAGGCAGGAGTCCTGCACCCATCCTACTGCAGGGATCTTGTGGGCAGCTGGTTTGCCACCGTATGTACAGAGTGCTGCACTGGACGCACCATTCATCTGATCCTGCACGGCCTTTCTTGTGTTCTAGTATGAACCTCCCTGAGGGTGAAACCAGCCCCTTTTGGGAAGGGAAGAAGGGGTTTCAGTCTGGAATGAGCTCCTGACATGGGCAAGAGCTAACTCGTCAGAAGAATCACCACTTCGATAGATGGTCTTGTTAACAGCATTATCATTACTCACTTGGTATTGCAAAGCCAGCCTTGCTCCATAAAAGACTGTATTTTAGAAGCCGGCCACCTTTGCCTGCTGGTAACGGAAAAGGAGGTTTGCTCACAACACTGATGTAAACCGACGAGGCAGTCAACAGGTAGATCCGACAGCAGCAGTAAGCATCAGATCCCTGGAAAAGGCCAGGAGAGAACAAAGGCGCCAACCAACTGCAAAGCCTCCTAGTCTTAGTTCTCCTTTAAAAAAAAAAAAGTCCAAGAGGGGGGCCTGGAAGTTGGGCACATTCCAGCTGAGGCGCCATGGAAGAAAGCCCTGTCTCTTGCTTCCATCCACCTTCGCAAAGAGAAAGCGAGGCATGCTTAGCAGGGCCTTTGAAGAGCCTGTTCAGGACAAACCATAATTTCCCTTTTGGACAGCGGGCTGGGGATGACTGTGGTCCGACACATATGATGGGCACCGAGTTAGGGGAGGCTGGGCTACACAGAGCCCGAGAAGCTGGGCTCCCCGTTTTGTGCTGCGGGCTCAGTGAAAAGCTCCTCTGAAGAGTAGGAGCCTGTGCGTGTGGCGGAAAGGAACAGTCTGCCGCACAGGCTGGAGCGCCTCGGCCTGCGAGTGGTTCTTTCTTTTGCACAACACCCCACTTTTCCTCTAGGCAGTGGGGAGCCTGAAGCCTTTCTGGTCTTTCTGGGGTGGGGTTCCCTCATGAGGCCCCCATCCCTTTAGCTTGAGGGATTCCTGGGTCCTTGAAGACACTTGGTTTCATTTTAAGGAAGCAGGAACTGCCAGCTGGAAGATTCGAAGCAACCTTTTCCCGGCTGGATATTTTATGGAGATGAATGGATCGAGCTGTTGTGTGTATCCTTGGTATTATGAATCGCTGCCTTATAACGACAATAGTTATGGGACCGCGAAGTGCAGGAGACAAAGCTCCAGGCAGATATTACGATGTTGGATTGTCAGTATAAATCGCTTTTCCTGTCACTCTGGCAGTCCGATTGCTCGTGAATGCTTGCTGCCGCTCTGTTAGAGGGAAAGGAATCGGGCTGGCATTCCCCTTTGCAAAGCCTGTTTTTTTGCAGCAAACCTTCCAGGTGACCTTGGGCTTGTTCCTCTGGAAGTGGGTGCAGTCGCTTGCTGAAAATGCCTGCGTGATCACCTTGCAGGCTCTTCATCCAGGTTTCCCTTCTGTGGCTGTTAGAAAGGGAGAAGCTACCTGTGCAATATTCGAAAAGGGTCAGAGCTGGTCTTTGACTACTTGACTCTGTATGCACGTGTGTGAGAGAGAGCTTGCCATGGTGATAGGGCGGTGACTTACATATTGCAGAATTGGAGGAAATGCATCACCTGGAAAGCGAACAAAACACATACAATTGTACATGAACTATAAATTGTGCAAATAGCAGAACTAACCAGA